CATCCAGCTGATGTCCGGCCAGGGAAATAACAGCGATTAAACGTTAAACATTAACAGTCGCACCGCCGGAGGAGTGAAAAACAAAACAGCCCAGTGCAACGCAGGGGCCACAGCAGAAATAACTCTCTGTATCTCCCTGGGCCTATTAGCGATGAGGGTTTCGGGCCACAGTGCTTCTGGTAATGAGCCCGGCAGCACAATACAGGCACCGGGCCGGAACAGCTGAGGGCAGACAAAGCTGGCAGGACGGGGACTTACTACATTTAACACAGAGCCATGCTAACTCTGTGTCTGTGTGAGTGTGTGTGTGTGTGTGTGTGTGTGTGGGATGGAGGAGAAGGCATGTGTCCCATCACCATTACGGGGACAAACTCAAAGACAGAATGTGGGGCCCCTGGAGAAATTGCTGCCAAAAAGGCAGCAGAGGAGTGTGTGGCAATCAGCGCGCTGACGGGTCGGGGGTTGTCCCGCGCCAGTCATCTGGAAAGTTCTCCACTTAGCTCTGGGTTTGAGACACTGGGACAAACCGACTCAACCTGGCAAATAAAGCATTATGTAGGCTGACAGGATTTGTCCGGGCCGAACGGGCCGCAGAACACGCCGTTGTTTTAAACCATTGAATGGCGGCGCTGCTCTGCGGGCACCGCCCCCGGTTCAGGCGTCTCTGTGGCCCTCAAGGAAACCCGAACTGTGCAAGTGAACCCATCACCTCGTCTGGTAATTGTTTAGCCGAAGCCTCTTCTGATTGTTTTGACCTTGTGGTTATATATATTTTTTTGAATCAAACCATCGTCTTTTGTCCAGATTGATTAATTTGTTGTGTCGACCCGACCCGAGCGTCTCGTTCTCCTTTGGTTACACCCAACAGGACCAACGGTGTGAATAGTTCACCTTTCTAAACGCCGGATTTATGGGAGCTGTGACAGATTCTCTTAACTTTCCAAAACAAACCACCTGACAACCTCAACCGGTCCGTGCAACGATTAGACCAGTGAGCAACCTTTTATCTGATGATCTGAAGAAAAGGTTGAAGATCATCAAAGATGTTAGAATCCATCATCGGATGTGAACACCTGCCAAATTTAATTGCAACCTTCCTCAGCGGAAAGTCCATGTTGTTGAGTATCGGTAACACGCCTCCTTTTCACTGTTTCTGAGGTCTAAAGTCGACCTCAAGAACAAGAACAGTTGTCACGACAACCAAAAGTGACTTCCTCACAGTGGCGCTACTGAGTGTAGAAACTGGGATACTCACTGCAGAGATACTCACTGGGTAATAGAAACGTTTAACTTCATCGTGGTGGTAGATGGAAAGTCAAAGATTAAAGAAGTACACAAGGACGAATCCTCAGGGGACCACAAACGTCTGCGCAAAACGTCTCGACGATCCATCGAACGGCCGCGGAGACATTTCAGTCGGGACCAAAGCGTTGGACCAGCCGAACGTCGGCGTGAGAGCCGAAGGGCCGCCCCCCCCCCGAACACCTGAGCGGACTTCAAATGACACGACTTCCTCCGATTTCAAGCGCGCTATCTAATCTCCTCCACCTTTAACCATAATGCACCTGGAACAAATGTGCCAGTCAAACAGAGGAAAGTGGCGAAACAGAGGGTGTTTCTGTTTGGGGGGCAGGCGGAGGCAGGAAACACAGGTGCCCTGTGTCCGACCAGCCTATTAAACAACACACAGGCCCCGAAGGCAGGAAGCTGCTATTGACTGGAAGACATCAAGAAAAACGCACCTTTCAAGGCACACACACACACACACACACATTCAACACTATTCACACACACACAGAGGTGGATAAAATCAGCCAGGTATCAGGTACTGCCCCGAGGGAGAGGCCTGACCTGTGGAGGCCGGGGGGAGTCAAACACACAGCTCATTCAACGTCACACACACACACACACACACGTCCCGATGATGCCGTTTCATCCATCAATTAAACCGCAGGCTAAAGTTCACCAAACCGTTGGTGCGATTTTACACGGCTTGTGGATGGAGGTTCAAACTGCTCCCCGCTTGGCGCTGAGAAGATAAAACGAGATAAGATGGAGGAGATAACTTCGTTCTCGCTCCGCTCCGCACGCTGCATTGACCTATTGAGCGGCGTGTTTGTCCTGCGTCTTAAAAGCCGCTGACGCTGTGCCCGAGGAGTGTCCTCAGAGGCCAGAGACTGTGAGTGTGTGTGTGTGTGCCGAAGAAGAAGAGAGGGCAAAAAGAGGTCATGCGTTTCAATGCCCTTAAGCAAGGCACTTGCCTTTACTCTCTCGATGAGAGGCTCCTTTTGCTGCAAAGAGCCAGCGTGAGCCGAAGAGGCACGGAGGGTCGGCTCTGATGAAATGCAGAGGATGATTTGTGTTTGGGGCAAATGATAAAAGGAAAATGTCCGGCCATGGGAGAAGCAGTACTGATGGGGGCAAGTGGAAGCTCGGAGGGGGTAAACACAGAGATATCGCTTCACGTCTGAGGGAGAGAGGCGAATAGAACCCCAGTTGAAAGCGCAGAGGGGCTACGAGGGCTCTTGGCGAGGAGAGTGGAGAGGGAAGGACGGACGGACGGACGGACGGCGGGACACCAAGAGTGAGAACAAAAAAAACAAGTTCTAGCAGCGTGGAGCGGGACAGATCAAGTGTTGGGGCAGATAAGAGATCAGGAGTGACAAGTAGAGCGTGCGAGGCGTCTGCGGCAGATGGAGAATGTGCGTCAGGAGGAGCGTCGAGGGCAGATTAAAAAAAGAAAAAGGAATCCCAGCGAAGAATGGGAGTGTTTACAGCACAGTTTATGTTTGCATGTTCACAGAGCCTCTCTGAGCCATCGAGGATGTGTGCGATGGCGACGAGGGAAACGGGGAAAGAGGGTGACCTTAAGTGCCCATGCTGGACAAGCCCCCCCCCCATAATGATCACAACTTGAGCTCTTGCCTTTTTAATTACCCACCCAGGCCTGACTGAGTCCCACAAAGCTGGAGAATGGAGTGGCGCAGATGGAACAAAAAAACAGGCCAATTCCTCGGGATGGGTGCCCTCTGAACCCAGCGGCTAACGCAGGCCCCCGCTGCTGCAGCCGCTCATTATTGTTGTCAGAGGAGGAGGAGGAGAGGGACGGCACTCCAAAAACAAGGCCACCACCGCCGCCACCGCCACCGCCGCGCCCGCCCCAAGTCACGGTCCACGGGCCACGTGAGAGGGGGGCTTCTAGTGGTCGAGAGGCGCCGGCACGCATCGAGCGACCTTCCGGCGCGGACTGTGTGTCCGCGATTTATTAAACATTTCGGTGCCACTCGCTGTAACGTTTCTTTTTTTCTTCGTCACGGGCCCGAGAGCATTTGGGTTAGCCAAGATGGCGTCGCCCTTGCGGCGTCGTGGTCGCCGCCTCCCGCTACTTCTCGAGGTGTCCGCGATGGTCCCCCTCCCACCCCCCACACCCCGAGGCCCTGTCACTCACGTGGCCCATCCGTCGCCCTGATCTCCCGAATCTGACTTTATCTTAATGAGTTGTTGTTATTCCTGTGAGTGAATGGAGGCGGCTTCCTTTCATGGGACAAGAGGTTGAGCTTTATCACGTTAACTAAGCACCACACATCATTTACACGCCCTGGACCGTCAGTTACACACCTGTCGGTCCAGGGCGGAAAAGTCTGAAATAATTGTCAACAAGGAGCTTCGGCTTCAATGAAACGTCCGCTCGTCCGGGGCCTTGATCCAGCTCGGACACCCAAACAGTCCCCGTCTGTATTGTCTGTGTTCTTCATGCCGTTTCCTATTGTCACATCACATTCCTGTGTGTGTGTGTGTGTGTGTGGGGAGCGGGGGCTTAATTCCAGACATCCTGCTCTTATTGTTGACCACCCCAGGTCGACTGCTGCTCAACATGTCAGGCTGAAAGAGAACAAAATGGGGCCCGTGCCAGTAAGAGCCATTACACACACACACACACACACACACACACACACACACAGACAAACACTCAGACACAGTTATATTCACGCACACACTCGCAGCTCGGCTGAATCTTAGGTATCTCTGGGTTCCGAGGGGATGGAATGAGAAAATTTACACCTGCAGTATTTGATGAAAGTAACATTACAGTTAATATTGGTTTCATCCGTCTGCGACTCAAATTGAGGCCTCGTGATTCATATTGTATCTGAAGTCCTTTAAACTCAGAGCACACAAGCACATTTTCTCAAAATGTTTAAAACCAACCGCCGGGAGTCGTCCTTGTGTGCGCTCTAGTGTGGAGGAACTCCCCTTTGAATGAATTGAATGTGACACAGAAACACACCAAAACCAGTTTAGAGAATTTGAATATTAGGAACTAAGCAGATTCCTTTTGTGAAAAATTACTGCAAGGTTGAAAAGGTTACACATTGCTGCATATGTTAGTGTTACATCCCGTTTAGGAGGGAAATATGTTTGAACTACAAGTATAAAGTATTCTAATTTGAACAGAATTACAGTCCCTCAAACCTTAAACGTCGCAACAGTTTAACACAAGTAACATTTTATTTTTCCCCAAAGAGAACATAATACATGACATTTCGGAGAAAAAAAACCCTTCATTTGAAACATGTAACAATGTCAACAACTTAATATTGAAAACAATTAAAAGTGCAATTGGGCTTTCTTCCTTATGTTTTTAAAAGCAACCTGGTCCCCGGCGCTCACAGTTGAGCTGTACTACAGATCCCTCTAGTGGTAGACATTATAAAAAGGGGACAATTCTGCAAGTAAAAAAAGAACAACTTAAGCAAATTTGTACAACGTTGAGTGCTGCTACTGACCGAAGTTAACACAAGTAAACTAAATAAATTAGCTCGAGGCATTTTGCTGCTCAGGTTCCCGTTTCCTTTCCTGAGAGAGTGGTTTGGGATTTTCCTGAGGTTTATTATTAATCTTTTTTGAAAAAGTGCACGGGATAAAAAAATGCTGACAGAGCGTTCGTTACATGCGGAGGCCTCACAAGTGTGTCTTTCCTTCCACGACTCGTCGCCCGTTCAGACCTCTTTATTCCACCGGGGAATGATGGTCTTGCGATAAGTCCGTCTCTCCGAGATGTTGCGTCTCACTTTGATCAACGCGGGGGGAGCAATCTCCAGTTCCAGAGACGGGCTGGAGTGGGACTTTTTCAGCCTGCCTTCATCTTCCTCCTCCTCCTCCTCCGGGGAGAACGCGCACACAGCTTTGTCGAACCGGTTCAGGTCCGCGACGCTCGGCGCGCTGCCGACCGCCTTGGTCACGCTCCTCCACGCCTCCAGCCCCTGGATGTAGATCTCATAACGGCACATCTGCGGGGTTTTAACGGAACACAGGATCATTCAAAGGGGAGTTCCTCAACACCGGAACGCACACGTTCACTCCCGGCGCGCCCGTTACCTCGTGGTGCAGGTACTCGGCTCTGACGCGATGCTCCTCCAGCTCCTTGGCTTTGGCTCTTTTGCCCTCTGGCAGGTTTTCCTGCAGGTACGACAAGTCGTCTTTGAAGGACTTCAGCGTTCCCGCATAAGACTGCAGCTGACGTTCCTGCGCGGGGAGAAGGGGGAGCACACCAGATACGCAAAGATACCATAAGAACATCCTGATTAGGAGACACAGCGGAAAGAATGGGTGGAAGGTGTGAAACCTGGCTTACCCAAACTACTGAAGCTATTCCAGATGTTTACACTACAGGTGTTTATTATTTCAAATGTTATTATTACAAATCTTGTGGTAAATACTGTGAATCAAGTCAAATTCAATAGAACAATGAAAATGCACCATTGCTCATCTCTGTACACACAGACCTCTATGGTTTCTTATGACTAGTAGCTCATGGAGGCTAATGTTGCTATATAAGAGATGCATACCATGCGTTTATAACACGCAGCAGAACAGCCGCTGATCAACGGCACTGTTTTAAAATGGAAAATGAAAGCAATAAAGTGCGGATTGGCCTGTATCTAAAAAGTCATAGTAGGGCTCGCATGCAAAAATAATTCCCAAGAATTGAACCTGGTACACAAAGTTACTTGCAACTATGAACAGCAGAGGTATCGGCGCTTACGGGAGTGTGGCCAGACTGCGACGAGGGGAGGATGGGTCTGCAGAATCTCCTCTGGGAGCCGACGGCGGCGGGGAACGGAGGCGACGAGTGGAGGGCCGAGACCAGGTTGATGCGGCTGATCCACGAATGCATCTCCAGTTTGGATCTGAGGGGCACGGGCTGTTTTTTTAACCCCGTCCACACACAGACACACACAAACACACACATACACGGACGGCCGTGGGACTTACGAGGCCTGGAAGAGCAGAACCCTCCAGTCGGCTGTCTGCAGACGGAAGACGTGGGGCTTCTTGGTGTAGTCGGCCGCCTGCTCGGCCAGAGAGTGGTGCAGGCTCACCACCTCCTCGTCGATCGGCTGGTCCCTCCTGTAGTCATCCTGACGCACGCGAGCACACTGGGTTATCCACGCCGTGCGAGGAGCTCATAATGACACAGCGGGCTATTGAGAATCTCATGGGACGAGTTACTGACCTTCTGTAAGTAGAGGACCATTCCCCTCACCACTCCATAGAACGTCTTCCAGCCTCGCTTTCCCCACGGAGCTGCCGCGCAGAAGCATGCCGCAGGTGTGTGAGGATTTGTGAGTATGCACATAAAGGGAAGTGAGAGCATGAACAGAAATGAGCGGATGTTTCATCAGATTACAAAGAGCCGGAGCTCCTATAAAGCAATAGTTATAATAGTGTGCAATCTCATTGTTGCTTTAACTACTAAGCATTAGCCTGGATCACAGATTGTGCCCTTGAAGCACGACTTCCGTTTGGGCGCCACTCACTGCGTTTGCCGTCGATGTCGGCGTGCAGCTTTCTCTGCAGGAACCCCTGTTTCACCACCGAAGCCGTTTTGTCATGCGGGACGTCCTGGAAGGGGTTGGACTTGGAGCGCAGCGGCGCGTCCTCCGCCGCGTCCTCGTCCACCAGCACGGAGCTCTTCAGCTCCTCCTCGTCCCTGTAACGCGCAGAGAGACAGACTCTTACTAAGTGTGACCTCGCGCGCGCACGGAGAATGAAGGACGGGCGGCGGCGTGTGACTCACACAGCCCACTGCAGCGGCTCACTCTTGATGGAGTTGTAGAGACTCTGCGGACGTGGAAGGAGATGAGAAGGTGAAGTTGCGATTTTTTTTTTGGGGGGGGGCGAGGTGGGGGGATCAGTGACAGGATTACCTTCAAGAGATCCTTGCTGAAGTTTTCTCCTTCGTTCATCCCGTCAAGGTTGGACACAAATTTAGCAGAGGACATTGATTTCCCCACGTTCTGTTTAGAAACAGAGCAAACGAGCGGTTGAGTCAACGCCTCACAGAGAGCATCTAAAGATGCAACCGCGTCATACGTGTTTTCCCACCTGTCCGTGCAAGTCCGTGTTGAGAAGCATCAGAGCACACGTCAGGGCCAACACAGACTCTGGGGATGTAAAAATATATATAGATGTGTATATTTAAGAAAATGGACACATGTGTCACATGTGAGCGCTCGCCGCCGCGGCTTTGAGAAGACAAACGAAAAAGTCACTGAAGCTCACCCGAGGAGGTGAAGGAGTCGGGGTTGCAGTGATGGAAGCGGCAGGCGAAATGCTGCAGCACGCGCTCTCTCTCCTGGGTCTCTCCTATCAGGACCACCACTTTCAGAAAAGACCTGGGAGGGAGAGAAAAGACACGTGCATTTAAATTCACACCAGTGGAGGTCGGTCGGTCAGATAACACGCTCTCTGTAGGTCTCACCTCAGGCCGTGATCCAGAGTTTGCCCGGTGAAGTCAAATAGTTTCAGGTATTCCTCCCCGACGGCTCGACTGAAATCATTGCTAAACAGAAAAAGAAACATTTTGTATTATTGTTTGTATTGTATTGTTTGTCTTTTTTAAGTGAATGTGGGGTTTTTTCAGGTCAAAATACAAATAAAGTGTCTTCACGTCAATACAATATTACAGCGTCGATTAATGCCGGCATTTAATCTAAACTGCAGGAAGAGGAGGACGACTAACACACACACACACTCACACACACACACACACACACACACATTTATTTCTACGGGACCGACCGCCAGGAAAAGGATTATATTTGAGTTAAATCTGAAGATAATATGGATACTAATATGGATACTGATGGATACTGGACTTCCTATCCAACAGACCCCAGTCTGTTAGGGTAGAGAACCACACCTCCTCAACCCTCATGCTGAACACCGGCGTGCCACAGGGCTGTGTGCTAAGTCCTCTCCTCTACTCCCTCTTCACCTATGACTGCACACCTGTACACGGTTCTAATACCATTGTCAAGTTTGCAGACGACACAACGGTGATTGGCCTCATCAGTGACAACGATGAGTCGGCCTACAGAGAGGAGGCCCAGCACCTGGCGGTGTGGTGCGCCGACAACAACCTGGCCCTCAACACCAAGAAGACCAAAGAGCTAATTGTGGACTTCAGGAAGAAAACTGGCACACACATCCCCATCCATATCAACGGGACGGAGGTTGAGCCAGCTTCAAGTTCCTGGGTGTCCACATCTCTAAGGACCTCTCTTGGACCCTCAACACCTCATCCCTGGTAAAGAAAGCACACCAGCGTCTCTTCTTCCTGAGGAGACTGAAGAAAGCCCATCTGTCTCCTCAGATTCTAGAGAATTTCTACCGCTGTACCATAGAGAGCATCCTTACAAACTGCATCTCAGTATGGTACGGCAGCTGCTCTGTCACTGCAGAGGGTGGTGAAAACTGCCCAACGCATCACCGGTTCCTCCCTCCCCACCATTGAGGCTGTCCAGAGCAAGAGATGTCTGCGCAGGGCACGCAGCATCGAAAAGGACAGCTCTCACCCCGGCCACAGACTGTTTGCCCTCCTCCCCTCTGGGAGGCGCTACAGGGTGCTCCGTTCCCGGACCAGCAGGTTCAGGAACAGCTTCATCCCTGCGGCTGTCATTCTACTGAACTCTGCCCCCCCCTGAACTCTGAACTCTGAACTCTGCCCCCCCTGAACTCTGAACTCTGAACTCTGCTCCCCACCCCCACACACACACACATCTCCCTCAGTGACTGTACTTCCCCCCTCCACCCTGGCTTGACTGCCACACACCTTCCTCCAGCCACTGAACATTTGCACTGTTATTGCATATCCATTTCTTACTGTTCATATTGCACAACTATTTATTACTGTACATATCTATTTTTTCACTTATTACACTTTACATATGCACATAATCTGCACTTTTTGTTATTTTTCACTCTGGTCGGATGTTAAACTGCATTTCGTTGCCTCAGTACTTGTACCTTGTGCAATGACAATAAAGTTGAATCTAATCTATAAAAAAAAAGATAACACAAAAGAAACACCACGCGCTTACTCTTTGTCCAAGTGCTTCACCACGTCCGCGCGTTGGATCCCGTCCAGCCCACGCAGCCGCTCGGCGAGGCGGCGCGCCATCTCTCCGTTCACCGCGTCTCCGTTCATAAGAGGCGCCGCCCCCTCGGGGGGCTCAGCTCGCTCCTCTCTTGCGGCGACAGGCTGCGCGGAGCCTTCCTCGCCGCCTCCCGCTTCGTCTGCGGCCTCCCGCGCGACCCCGGGCTCGGCGGACAGGTGCTGCGTCGCTTGCGACTCGCCTGTCTTCGGCTCCTCGGCCATCTCAAGCCGCTCGGACGCGCCTTGTCGAGCCTGCGGCGGGAGCTCTGCGCGCCGCAACGTCGTCTCCCCCTCCTCCGATCCTTCGATGAGCGCTGTCGCCTCCGGGGAGTTCTCTCTCCTATCGCTGTGGCCGGCCGCCCGAGCCGACGACTCTTCGACGCCGTCCGCGGCCTCTGACCGTTCAGGGTCTGCCTTCCGATCTACCTCCACGCACATTCCGGGCTCTTCATGTGACCCGATGTCCGGTCTGTCAGTCGGCTTATCCGAGTTTACGGTTTCTCTGGCATCCTCGGTTTGTGACAACTCCCCAGAAAACTCCCTACAAGGGACGGACGAGATATAGATATAGCCGTTAATGGAGCACGTAATGCTGCGACATGATTAGCAGCCCGCAGCGCTTCACTGGTGACACATACTTCCTGTTCCCCTTTCTTAAGCTAAGATACTCACACATAACTCAGACAAATGGCGAACTTTGCCTCTTTACTTTCTTCAGTACAGGACACGTTTATCCGCTCCTGCTCTTCTCCCTCGTCCTCGACACCACGCGCTGAAGTTTGCTCTTCCTCCGAGTCGCTCGGCCCGGTCAGCAGAACGCAGCAGGGCTGCCCCGGTTCCTCTTGTGGTTTTAAATCTACAAAACTGTCCGCTTCACCTTGTGACACAGCGGTCACGTCAAGAAGGTGGAGTGAGTTCACAGTTACAGGACGCGAGTTTGCCGAGGGCACCTCCTCTTCTTCCAAGACGGCCCTCAGTGGAACGCCTGGATGATTTTCAGACGAGAAAGTAAACATCACAGTTTTTGGACTATTCTCTAATAAGAAACGAGAAACAAACGATTCAGGATTCATAACGGAAAAACATTTTCTATTGAACAACTTACTGAAGTCGCCTCCCTAAGAGTGACACGTACCGTTATTACTTTCTATCAGTTTGTGTGTGGGGTCCTCCCTTTCCTGTGTCGGCGGCTCTTGCACATCTGCAGTGCCACACGGCTGGAAATTGCAACACAGGCGATTGATCACAAACATTGTGCGAGAAAGCTCGTGATTCTCATCCGACCGACAATTGACTCTCTGCTCCTGCCAACTGCTGCTCGACCCCCAAAGGCCGAGGTCAAGTGGGCGCTCGGCGAACGGATTAACGACAGGAAATGTTAAGGTGTGAATGTGCGCAGATCGCTCTAGAATAATGACAGAATGAAAACATCCCACCTCACTTTTTTTCCTCCCACACAGTACATACCTCTGAGGCGTTTCCTGTGAGCTCTGGATTTGAGTCGAGAGCCAGATAATCAAACCCATCGTCTTCCCCTCTGCCCTGCCGTATGAACAGATCAGCGTTAACGCCCTGAGAGCGCTGAGGCGACGGGGAAGTGCGGTCTAGACTCGTCACGCCTCCCGGGATCGGCCCATTGGCCGAGCCGATGTCAGTCACGAGCGAAGGTGTCGCTGCAGAGGGGTCGGGCACGTCCCATCGCACTGTTGCAAAGGACAGCGGAGCACCGGTGCAGGTTAACTGCCATACGGTCTGCTCCCACTGCGCTGCCTCTTCAGGGGTCTCTAGTCCCGCCTCCTCGGGGGTCTCTAGTCCCAACTCCTCAGGGGTCTCTAGTCCCGCATCCTCGGGGGTCTCTAGTCCCGCCTCCTCAGGGGTCTCTAGTCCCGCCTCCTCGGGGGTCTCTAGTCCCAACTCCTCAGGGGTCTCTAGTCCCGCATCCTCGGGGGTCTCTAGTCCCGCCTCCTCAGGGGTCTCTAGTCCCGCATCCTCAGGGGTCTCTAGTCCCACCTCCTCAGGAGTCTCTAGTCCTGCCTCTTTGGGGGTCTCTAGTCCCGCCTCCTCAGGGCTGTCTGGACCCGCCTCCTCAGGGGTCTCCAGTCCTGCCTTCTCAGGGGCCTCTAGTCCCCCCTCCTCAGGGGTCTCTAGTCCCACCTCCTCAGGGGTCTCTAGTCCCGCCTCTTCAGGGGTCTCTAGTCCCGCCTCCTCAGGGGTCTCTAGTCCCGCATGCTCGGGGGTCTCTAGTCCCAACTCCTCAGGGGTCTCTAGTCCCGCCTCCTCAGGTGCCTCTAGTCCCCCCTCTTCAGGGGTCTCTAGTCCCGCCTCCTCAGGGGTCTCTAGTCCCACCTCCTCAGGGGTCTCTAGTCCTGCCTCTTTGGGGGTCTCTAGTCCCGCCTCCTCAGGGGTGTCTGGACCCGCCTCCTCAGGGGTCTCTAGTCCTGCCTCTTTGGGGGTCTCTAGTCCCGCCTCCTCAGGGGTGTCTGGACCCGCCTCTTCAGGGGTCTCTAGTCCCGCCTCCTCAGCGGTCCCTGGTCCTGGCTCCTCGGGGGTCCCCGGTCCTGCCTCCAGGGAGAGTTGATCCGCCTCATGTGCCCAGTCGATCTGTACCTCTATGGCGCCGCACACAATGGCCTCTTCCCCCCCGTTGGTGCGCCGGTGGTCGATGGACGTCCACAGGGCTTGTTGGGGCAGCTGAACGGCCGTTACCGTGACATCCGGTGGAGAGGAGCACAAGTTTTCCTCCTCCATTAGCTTGCGTCTCAGTCAGTTCTGTGGTCAGGTGGTGTGGGGGAGGGGGTGTTTCCGTGGGTGGGCGGCGAGAGATGCTGCAGCAGTAAGCGCCGTCTTGCAACAAAATCTCCTGCTCGGGCCGCGTGAAGAACGATTATTCTGCGGGGTCCCGTGAAGGGAAAATCCTAAAGCGCGCTGCGGCCGCCAATCGCGCCATCCAGAAATCTGTAACAAGAGAGATGAACAAAGTGTTAATGTTCGAAGATAACAACACTCCCATTCGTAAGATCCTGTCACAACTCATTCAAAATGATTCTGATGAACCGATTCTTCTTGGGTTGGTAACCTCCGGGATGAACATCTGACTGAGCATCTGATTTGCTGAGATACAAAAAGGCTATTAATACAGATTATTTATGGGTTGACTTTCGGCTCAACATTTTTTTTTTCTATTCATGTGAGAAATAGTACATTGAAAACTACTGAGGAGAGCATTTGAAATGACACACGACTCCTTTCAAAAACAAAACTGGCCTAAACTCGCTTACTGTCCTGATGGCACAAAAACACTCACCGCTCCTACGTCAACATAATCCAGTCTGGATAAGGTTTGGTTTTTTTTTTAAACCTACAATCCTCAATTGTCAATTGTCTTTTACTTCTCAGCGGCTCTGCAGGTGTTCAGTGCAAAAGACTTTTAGTGAAATGTCACAAAAGCCCGTTTGTACTTCCTGACCACAGACGCAGTAAATCAGCCGAGCAAGTGAGCGTGTGCGAGAGAGAGAGAGAGAGAGAGAGAGAGAGAGAGAGAGAGGTGTACGGTGTGGATTTAGAAAGGTGGAGAGGGTTGGGTGGAGGGGATGTTTCTGGTGAGCAGTTTAACTGCCTGCAGCCAGTGTTTATTGTTGTGTCGCCACGCTGCGCCCCGAGTCCGAGCAAAGGGTTCAAATTTAAACGGCGACTCGTCAACATAAGCAAAGGCCGCCAAAAGGAGAAAACGTCATGTGATTATTCTGGGGATGCAACGTGACACCCAATATCTTACGACAAATTTTCCTTGCTCTGTAAAACTAACCCTTTTTTTTTATTTCAATACTTGTACTTAACTGTCTACATAACTCTGTTCATGTCAAGCTACCAACATCCGGGAAAGACAGTGACCACATTTCCTGTGTGGGTGCTAACTACTCAGTTCCTGTCAGGGTGCAACAGATTCAGTACATAAGAATGAACACAGAATGTCATCTGTAAGTTGAATTAGTGGGAATAAGAGTTTAATAAACGGAAATTCCAACTTATGTGGTCCACTCTGACGTATAATCTGCTTTAAATGTAGTGTTTAACATGATAACTGGTTAATCCCCTGTGGGTGATGCTATCTTTGGCACCACTGTTGATGAAACAAATGGTAGAAGAAATGCTCAGATGACTGCAGAGATCTCTAAATGCATTCATAAAATCAGGCTACTTTTACCCAGATGTTGAACAATCAAATGGCAGTTGAGAGAGCGCCAGTAGTTGTGTACAATGAATGGAGCGTTTGCACAGAGCAGCACAGGCCCGTAAGGATCATTCACAAAATATTAAAAGGAGAAGTAAAAGTATGAAAAAGACCTTTTCAGGAAGGATGAATTAAAAAGAGGAAGTCCAAAGTGAGCAAAGCGAAAGGTGACATGACTTATAAAATGTGTCTGTGTCTAATAATAGAAACCTTAAAAGAACTACAAATTAAAAATCTCATAAGCACGGATCTAACTGTGAAAAATGACTTACCCCCTCCAGGGTCTTCACATTAACATCATATGATCAGCCAGCTGGTGAGGTTTTAAGTCTTGTGAGTGGGAAAGGCCCTTTGCTGTGCTATGCTGCGATAATATCCGTTAAAAGTGCTGTACTCTCACAGACACATTCAACCAGCTATACACCTCAAACTCAGTTGATCATGCCGGAATCTGTCACCCACAGCATAAAAAGCCTCACATCCGCACTGTTTAAGCGGAGCAGCCCTTTAGCCTGTGGTGTCGCATGACAACGCATGCGAGTCACAGGTCCCAGTTTGAACCTCGGGTCTTCCCCCCCCCTTCTTCTTAGTGCTCCCTTTCCATTTTGGATCAAGATCAGACTTCTGTCCGCCTCAGCTCTGCTCCTCTACCGCAGGTATGGCTGTGAAAAAAAAGAAAATAGGGGAGAATGTGAGTGGCAACAAAGGGGAAGAGGGAAAAAAGGAGACACGTTGTGATTGGCAGATGACTCAAGAGCTTCGACACCTGAGAGGCCTCAGGCCACGCCCACACATACAGGCCAGGTGAGGGGGACTGGCTCTGCCTCATTCCTGCTAGTGGCCGCGAGGAATCATGCGGTGAAACCAGATGGTATCCACATTCATAATACTCATGTCATAGAGCCAGCTGTGCCTCTGGTGTCTGGCTGTGAGCGGAAAAGCCTGTTTAAACACCAATGTGAATTATTGATTTTAAGCTTAATAACAACGAGACTGAATAGACTCCATCTTTTGAACGGACAATACATTTGTATGGGATAATCTCAGCTGATTAACCCGTTCAGCGTAAATTGACGACGTAATAAGAATCGCAAAGGTGGTACTCATGATTACATGCGTATTTGCTCCCATGATTAACGTCAGCAGTCGAAAGCTGATTGTTTCATTTGATGATTTAACAAGACGTATTTTCGATGTTGGCAGTCTTGTTAATGCAATGACCTCGCGCTCAGGTAACAAGTTACCGTTAGCTAAATCACACACACAAGCACGTGAGTTAAGGAAGTCTAAATAGCCAACATTATTAATAATAATAAATTAATATATATATATAACACAATGGCTATTCGTTTTGAGTTGGTTACATGGTTATCAATTGTCGCTTTTAGCTTTTCTCTGCAAACGAACTCGCGTTAGTTAACCTGAGGAAACATTGTGTCATTAGCATGATTAGCATTCAGTTCACCGTTGGTATTAAAACATTAGCATTACCTAGCATCTATGTGAGCATCCTTGCAGTTGCAGTGAGTTAGTTGCTAGCTAGTGGTAGCAGTAGCTGATTTAGTTGTAGTAGTGGCACTAGTAGTATTGGTGGTGACCCAGCAGCGCTGCTACAGTTGTTCAGTTCGTCTTGCTGTTATTTAAACATCATTTATCACCGTGGTTATTTGTGTGCACAGTATCACAATGACGTTGGCTAGGCCCGCGGCTAATCCGACGTGTCTCCTCCCCGCCGGCAGGGGCGCTACATACCTCGTTAGCAACGGGCGACAACCGCGTCTCCCCCTCTACGTCACTTTTGTGCGACCGTCTCTGCTTTGTTTGTTCCGCACACGGCAGCAGGGTCGCAAACACACACACACACACACACCCTCTCACTTTCACCCGCGTATAAGCCATCGGGCGAGTTGTCCGCAACATGGCCACGCCTGACGTTAGTGATCTGAAGGTCTTCCTGGAGTCTTCTCTGAACGAGATCTTTAGGGCCACAGTGTGCGATGTCCTCGACTCGGTGGACCGGACCCTGTCCGAGTACCAGGGCACAATACGGAGGATCGAGTCTGAAAACGAGGGCCTGAAGGCTCTGCTGTTTGCACAGAAGAGCTCCGACTCTGCCGTAAGAGGTAAGGGTTGTCTGCCCTCGGATCGGTGCAGCTTCGTGCCCTTTGTCCCAGTGTGTGCGTGTGTGTGTCTCCCCCCTCCCTCTCTCTCCCCCCTAGACATAAATAAAAGGCTGAAACACGATAGCAGTAAAGGCTAGCAGACGTAAACAATGCAGCCTTTCAGTAGATGTACGACAGGATGAGGTGACAAACCGGCCTCACTGTGTAATAAAGTACTAACATTACTGTACTGTCACAGCATCCCGCTCGTACTAATGACGACACCACAACTACAGTGAATACTTGTGTACAGGAAGAGATGAGTAACCCCCCCCCCTCTCCCACAGACACGCATACACACACATTGCATAAATAATTTGGGATATCACAACACCATGAGTGAAATACAACTGGTTTAGCACTCATTAAATACATATTTTGTTAGTTTTCTCTTAATACCATAAAGGGCCTTTAAATATTCTTCTTAGGAAATCTTCTTGGAAAAGCTGCAGTAATCGAGGTCTTCATATTAAAACTGCACCATGTAATGTCGCTCTATGGAGTGTTTCAGTTGTTTTTAACCACCTCATTTTGGGGGAATTGTAGGCATCTTTTGAGCTCCTTCTATACTACCTTTCCAACGCCAAGCAACATATAAGGAGTTACCGCATACCCAGGAGTTTGAGCAGCATTTATCAAATAAAGAATGAAATAGTTCCCCATTAGTTAAGTTTTTTCTATTGATGTAACTTTACATCGTACGTCAGTTGAGTTTGCTCCAGCTGTTTCCCCCCCCCCCACAATATACAGTCCTGTGATGGGGGGTAAAAAACACAGCATGTACTACTTTACTACTTCTACATTATTATGGCTTTGTCTATTTTTCAGATATTCGTGACCAAGATGCCACTGAAAATCTTTCAACTTCATCATGGAACAATTGTCCCGTCAACTCCACTGAGGGCACGTTCAAGATGTCCATATGCAGCAGCGACAAGAAGAGCTTCAGGAGGAGGCAGAAAGACAAGATGAGGGAGAAAGACAAGATGAGGGATTGCGTATCCTCTTCACCGTTTTTGCTGCAGACTGATCACATGCTGGCAAATTCAGAAGAGGTAAGCACGTCCACCCAAAACTGGATATTGGTAAAAGCGGAGGCAGACCAGGATGGCAGCCATGCCATTGACCTTTCCCAGCCTTCGTCCCTTCTCAAGTCTGACAATGAGGCCGGTAAAAGACGAGACCACCGAGGTCTCTTGTCACACTCACGATGCGTATGCACCTGTGCCTCCAGAATTCACATTGGGCCCCGGACAAGTTAATGTCACCGTTGTTTCTGGCACGCGCATGCAAGAAGGGCAGTTCATTAAGACGGAGGAGGAGCAGAGCGGGTTGTCGCAGCACGGCAACGACAACTTGTCTAAGCAGGAGTTGCAGCCTGCGTCGAGCTGCTGCCCTGATTCGGAAGCAGACCTCGGGGTACCAAGCAGTCCACCAGTGGTGCCGGAAGTAGCGGCAAGTGAAGAAGACTCTGTCTTTCCCGCGGACGAGCTCATGCCGATTGACGACGACCTTTTGCGCGGTACCACCTGCCCCAAAACCTTCAGCCAAGCGGCCTCGCTAAACATCCACATCAAGGCGCACGGCGCCGAAAAGGCCCACGGCTGCAGCCACTGCGGCAAACGCTTCGGCCGGGCCGACCTCCTCAAGTCCCACAGGCGCACCCACACGGGCGAGCGGCCCTACAGCTGCAACCTCTGCGGCAAGACGTACGCCCACCCCAGTCAGCTCAGGATACACAAGCGGGTCCACACGGGAGAAAAGCCGTACTCCTGCTCGCACTGCGGGAAGCGCTTCAACGAGCACAACCAGCTCAAAGTCCACCTGCGGACTCACACGGGGGAGAGGCCGTACAGCTGCAGAGAGTGCGGCAAAACCTTCAGCAACGCGGGCAACCTGCGCATACACGAGAGGATCCACACAGGGGAGAGGCCCTACTGCTGCGGCCAGTGCGGGAAGAGGTTCAACGGCCTGGGCGATCTCAAGACCCACTACAGGATTCACACCGGCGAGAGGCCCTACCGCTGCGAGCTGTGCAAGAAGACCTTCAGCCAGACGGGCCACCTCACCATACACATGCGAATGCACACGGGGGAAAGGCCGTACAGCTGCAACGAGTGCGGGAAGAAGTTCACGGTGGCCAGCAGCCTCAAACTGCACCAGAGGACTCACACGGGCGAGAAGGGGTACAGCTGCCCGCACTGCACCAAGAGCTTCAGCAGGTCGGGTCACCTGAAGAGACACGAGCTGGTCCACACCAAAGAGAAGGCCTTCCTCTGCAGCCAGTGCGGGAAGACCTACACGGACCAGTCCACCCTGAGGAAGCACCTGAAGACGCACGGCGCCAAGGAGCAGAAGGCCCAGAGCGAGGGGAGCACCGGCGGGGCAGAAACCAAACGGCCTTCTCCCTCGGAGACTCTGTCCGACACGGACAGGAGTTAGAACCACGCGCTTAGCGGATGAGCGGGAAAAAGACCCCGACGAAAACAAAGCTGGGTTTTACTATTATTAACACTTGGGTCGTATTTTTGTCTTAACCCCCCCCCCCCAGAGGTTGAAACCTCCAGAAAAGGCTATTATGTGTAGCATGAGGTATGATTATTCTATTATACTGCTGGTCCAGAGGTAGAAATCGTGCCGTGTTTGTGATGCCTGTGGTGAAGGGCAATGCGCTGTCGTCTCATCGTTGATGGGATCCAGAAGGTCCAAGTTTATCACCGTTGTGTTGTCTTATCTGTCTACACGGAGTGCAGAGACAGAATGCAGGACCCTAAAAGAACTGTTGTTCTTTTATAGAGACTGGATGTTAACACAATGTTAGTAATGTAACGTAGAAATGCTTTAACAGAAAAGTGAATGAATGATTGGTCCACTCTGCTGAAGCCAGACACTGAATTTCTCTGCAGGTTTCATTAAAAACATAACAATATAAATGTTTTAAAATGATACGTCACATGATTATTAGAAATGATTAATATATTGCTGTACATAGCTTTAACCACACAGGCAGCTCTCTAATCCGTTGAACTGACACGAATGTATTTATATAATAATGTTACTGTTATTAATCTTACTGCAAATGTTCTGTATTGATCGAGCAGCTTTCTATCTTCATCGTGGGATTCTTCTTTGAGCGATGCTGACGAGAAAGTACGTCGATAGGATCTGTTTTTAGGTTATTCACTGTTACTACCAGGTAACACACACACATGTTCATGTTGATCGGGCCACTGTTTGTTGTGGCGACTCGTTAATATACCTGCACAGCATGTATGTTAAGCTGAGTGTTGGCTACTAGTAGTTAGTTTATTGTGACTGACTTCTGTGTGATCTGTGACCAAATTAAATAGAAAAGTTAACCAAATGATTTTTGTGTCACTTTTTAATGCTTTATGTATTTTTCATTTGAAATCAAAGGCGGTGTGCAATATGTCTTGTCTTTAATGTTCCCCTGAGTGCAAACACCACACAGTTTATGATGATGACGTTTCTCTTCCTTCAAGTAGAAATCCTGCTTTACCACATCTCACACACACACACACACACACACACACAAGCAGACACACACACACACATGGCTTTAGTCTTTGCAGTTTATTTTACTAAAATAGTCACGCTTTAACAGAAGATTAAGTTGAATGTTTGTTTTCTCTATAATGAATCACATTTGGGACAAATCTACTAAGTCTTCTAAGTGTCAAGTTACACAATACAATGGAGAATGATGGATGTGAATTTAGTTGTACTTGCTTTTAGTTTTTTAAAGACAAAAAGCGATAATCCGCCCATTTCAAAAGCTAGAACGTGCATTATTTTTATTTTTATTTCAACAATTATTTAATGCCAAAATGTGTCAGTCGATTGATTTCTTCAGCCTTTGTATATCTAAACCTGGACAAGCTCCACCCAGACTGTCATGACTGGCATGAATACATAACATCAAGTTAACCTCAAAGTGTCTCGTCTTTGTCTTTGGTTAAACCGGAACTTTATGGCAGAATGTCAACTTTTTAGGAAATGTTCAGTAACGTTTCCTGGCACAGAATATTGAAATTTCTACACATCTAAACTATATGCTATTTAATCATTCTTCCTCAAAACAGGCAAGAACTAATCTATTGAGCCCTCATCTGCACAATGCATCTTTTTAATAATAACATCAAACAAGAACATCTTATATTCTCCTATTTTTCACAACAGTCACATTTAAAAGAAAAGCACGTATCTCTACTTCAGCTGTGTTGCGCCGCTCTGGCAGCAGTGGAGCTTTTCCTTGGACAAATAGAGCATCGGCTGAACGCAGCTGCTGAAGTTCATCATCCCGAAGGCCCCATAGTAGACGTAGCAAAAGAGCACGTCGGGTTGGAAGTAGCTCTTAAACGGCATCAGTGCCACGAGTGGGAAGTAGTTGAACACTATGATAGCGAGGATGATGAGGACCATCTTGAAGGCTCTCTTCTTCACCGGGTGCATCTCGTCTCGGCCGGGCCCGGACTGCCTCAGCACCAAGAGGATCGAGATGTTGCAGAACACCATGAAGGCGAACGCTGCCAGGATCGTGGCCGTGAAGACCGCGTCGAAGTTGGGGATGTCGTCCGCGGACTTGGCGCCGGCGTAGGCCAGAATGATCAAACAGACCACGGCGGCCATGACGTCCCTGTGGCGGCGGTCCTTGAGCTCGGTGAAGGTGATGGGGTGGACCACGGCCATGTAGCGGTCCAGGCAGATGCAGGAGAGGAAGAGCGGCGAGGTGTCTTTGATGCCGTAGAAGAAGCGCAGGACGTACCAGGTGCTGCTGGGGGTGAGGAGGACTATGTTGGCCACCTCGAGCGGAGGGGTGAGACAGAAGAACACGTCTAGAATCGCCAGGTATAAAATGAAGATATCCGAGGTGGAGGAGTCCCCCTTTTTACTTAGAATGAGCCACAGCACCATGATGTTGGCCGGGATGCCCAGGAACATGTTGACGAACTGCATGCCCAGGTACCAAACGATAGCAGCGGGCATGTCTTTGCATTTCTGGTACACCGTCAGCTCACTGACGGTGTAGTTCACGGGTCTGTGGGAGACGAGGAGCAGGGAGGAGTTGATGTATAAAACCTCCATCAGAAGATAGAAGCCTGATCTGTCGGATTGAAAGAACAGACGCACTGTGTCAGTCAGCCTCGAGATCAAGGGAAACAAAGATAACACATGGATCAGGGATCATGAAATGTACCGCCTCAATCAATGAGAATAACCGTAATGATGATTAGACCACAGTAAAATAAAAAGCCTGACGCATGGTCCCTTAGCCTAACCCTTATAAAGAACACAACTGCATGTTTGAGCTGCTCATGCGATGGATAAAGGAGAGAAGAAGAAAACATATAACACTGTTGCATCACACTGGCTTTCAGTCTCCCTCAAATGCTTTAGTTTCTCACAGAACAAAAGTTGCGACATCAAGAAAAAAAGTTGCTTTCAAACATGTCGTTTTCGTTGTGGTCTCGTGTAAATGTAGCGTTTTTGTATGGTTAAGCATCTTACCTTCAACCGGCAACTAATGGACGAATCTCCCCTAAATGGTCCGTGTCCTTCTGTCACCCCGTCACACGGCCTCTGCAGCCTCGTCAACCCATTTCACTTACACTCGAGCCAATGAATACGAAGTACGTAGGGTGTCTTTGCATATGTGTCCATGTCAAAAAGCGTTTAATTCCAATGAAGTTTGCCGATAACTACCACAGAGACACAGCTATAACGATGAAAAACTCCCCCAAGACACAACATATGTGTAAAATTGCAGTATCTGAATTTAAAGGTCAGGAGTTGAATACCCACCTGTTTGAAGGGATGCTTCCTGTGTGACGGGACCGGGGCGCCCACTCTCCGCTTAGTCCTTGTGACTCTTGTGCACATCTCAGCCGTTGCCCAAAACCACAGAAAACATCTTTTGAAAAAAAAAATGACGCAACCCTTCAGGGATCCTCATCCTCCAATCAGACGAGGGCGCGGGAGGAGAGGACTTTTCTTCAATGTCACGCCGCCTTCTTTGACCCCCTTGTACCTCACGGACATCACACATTTACAATTAAGAATAAAATTGTAAAAAATGATTAAGATGAGTGGAAGTGTGGAAGTGAGCTGAGGGAAAAATTGCGGGAATTAAAAAAATAAAATGCTTGTGCGGATTGCGTGTTGTGGAAAGCCGTCACCCATTTACACCGATTGGCAATGATGCAACAAACTCACGGAAAATTGTCGGTAAACAACTGATGCAACAGTCCAGGAAATCACTTCTGATTCGAGTCAGTGTAACGATGAGTAACACGTTACGTGAGGAGGACGTGTTTCAGGGCGTGATGTCCGTCGGTAGTTGTGTTCTTTGTCCAACGTGCAGAATAGGGACATGTGACTCTAGTGGTACAGATCGGTTCACACTCTCAGTTTGTGTTTAGTTCTTCTTCTTTGTTGTTTATCGTACCCATACAGATAATGTTCTTTTGTAGGCTTGTTGAATTACCTCTCGGGTGACCTTTGACCTTTCCTTGTTATTTTATGAAACATTTAAAAGCACTGTGAAGAGATGAAATCAGAATAAAAAGTAGAAAAGTAAAAGCACCACAAGGTACTAAGTGCCAAGAGTAAAAATACTAATTTTACTGTTTTAGTAGAAATATATATATATTTTCACTGATATTATAATTATAATAATGTATTGTTAATACTGTAATATTTTGTGGTCTGAATTTGGAAAGAATCTAATGATCAACGTTTATTATTATTGTAGTGGAGAAAAAATAAGGCTACAATATCTAGTAGAGCAGTTCATTAACATCACCAATCATTGTTAGCAGAGTCAATACATGACGCTGAAACATGTTGAGGCCTCTCCACTCCACTCTATTTTTATTTTCTATATTCAATTACCTTTTCAGTTTACTGCAGAATGTGTGTGTGTGGTTTTGTGTGTTGTTGCATGTGTGTTTCAGGCTGTTTGAACAGGTTAATGAGCCGTTTGTTTTTCCCTATGTGTCTGTCTCGTAAACTTGTTTACATTGGTGTCACGTCCACAAGACCACAGACGATGAGGAAGAAGACGTGTTTCCCTCCTGTAAGGAAAGAGACGTGTCCCTCGGATGAGGAAGGAGACGTGTCCTAGAAATCCGTGGAGTTTCAGTTGAGCATATTTGAATAATTGTACTATTTTTCAAATGTATTATCCCCTCACATAGAATGGTTCAAAGATTCAAATAATTTTGCATGAAGCACCTCTACTTTACCAATATTCAGATTGTCATTATCAAAGGTACACAAAGATGTATTTTTACATTAGCAATTTTATACCATAAAACACAAGCTTATAGGGCGTAGCCCATGTCTCTCAAAGGAAAATACAAAATCTATCAATATGCAGATGTACCTTAATTCAGAGGACCATTCTTGGTAAAAACACATGCAAAGTTAAGGTACAAATGTATAAATGAATTGTGTTCTCGCAATCTGGCTCCCAAGCTGTGCCAAAAAGGGCCCAAAGTCAAAGTGACTGCGTAGTTTTCAGCGGCAGCAGCCACCTACAATTCACTGCACCAACTGGGCAGGTCTCCAGTTCCACTGCTCATTAAAAGCAAGCAGAGCTAATCACATCGGAGAGGCAAAGTGGAAATGTTGCTGCGTGGATTACATCAGATCATCGTCACCATCAAGGGACATTTCCCTAATTCACGACAAGGAAATCACAACCCAACTAAGCAGAACGGACCAGCATTTCACTAGTGCTATGTTTAAAGTTGAGTATTTTTATGTTTAAGTGAATGCAATTACAAACACCTATGACTTATTATTTATCAAAATGTGGAAGCAGTAAAGGAGAAGTTAGTCGCTTAGTTTAGGTTAGATCTTTATCTGGACTGAACAAAAAAACTGTAAAAATACTCTGAATCACCTTTTGTTTAAATTTTTTTTAAACAAGCCCGGTTGGAAGAAATGTGAATTTTGAAATATTTTCATATTTCTTGTCCTTCTCTGTGACAGAAGGATAAGAAATATGGAATCTTAAAAAGTAAAAAATATTTGAAATAAGTTGTATGCCTTGCTTTTGTTTAAAAGTGGGAAAAAAAACATTGCAAGGATAAACTAGTTTGGTCATTCTTATGTTTTAATTTTTTTCTGAGTTAGGGTACTCTCAGGGGAAAGCAGAAGGAAAAAAGTTTCACTCACACATAATGCAGTTTGAGCAGCAGGACACAAACAATCAAAACAAGTGGGAGTATTCTCCTGATGTTGTAGAGGGTGTATCTACAGGATCATGTTGTCGCAGTAATGTTGAGAGTCAGGGAAAGTTGGCTGTCAAGTGTGATGCCGAGTTTCCTAGCAGTCAAAGTGGGCGTTAGCATAGAGTTGCCAAAGTCGACCGTCAGGTCCTGGGTTGGAAAGAAAAGTAGTTCAGTCTTATCGGGGTTGATTTTCAGATGGCGAGCCGACATCCACTGAGAGATGTCACTCAGACAGGCAGAGATCCGTGCCGCCACATGGGTGTCCGAGTGAGGGAAGGAGAGAATTAGTTGGGTGTCATCGGCGTAGCTGTGGTAGCAGATGCCATGCGAGCGAATGACAGCGCCGAGAGAGTTGGTGTAGAGCAAGAAGAGGAGGGGACCCAGGACGGAACCCTGAGGAACTCCAGTAGTAAGAGGACAAGGTTCCGACACAGATCCTCGCCAGGTTACCCGGTAGGTGCGGCCGCCAAGTTAGGACAAGAAAAGGGAAAGAGCAGAGCCTGAGACAGCAAGTTTCTGAAGGGAGGAAATAAGGATCTGATGGTTGACTGTGTCAAATGCAGCGGAGGGGTCCAGAAGAAAGAGGACAGAGGAGAGTTGGTTAAAGATCGCACGTTCAAGGGTTTTGGACAAAAAGGGAAGAAGAGAGACCGGTCTGTAGTTGTTTTCTTCAGATGGGTTGAGGGTTGGTTTCTTCAGGAGTCGGTTAACTTCTGCCTCCTTCAGAGAATTGGGAAAGCAGCCAGATAACAGAGCATTGTTGAGACAGGTGAGGAAAGGAAGGAGGTCAGGAGCAATAGATTGTAGAAGATGTGATGGAATGGGGTCAGGGCAGGTGGTCGGACGGGCAGAGGTTACAAGGGTAAGAATTTGGTTAGGAAACAGGGGGGTGAAAGAGGAAAGTGAGGGCCATAGAGGTAAAGTCAGTGGAACGCAAGTAGTAGGAGGTGGGTTTGAGAAAGAGGAGCGTATGTCAGCTATTTTCTTGGTAAAGTAGTTGACAGTCTCCCGGAAGAAGGGTGGAGGAGGGTTTGAGGAGGTTGGAGAAGATCGAAAATAGTTTTTGGGGGTTTAGAAAATGAAGATTCAATTCTGGATTGGTGGAAATAGCTTTTGACATCTTATATTCTCCTATATTTCACAACAGTGACATACATTTAAAAGAAAAGCACGTATCTCTACTCCAGCTGTGTTGCGCCGCTCTGGCAGCAGTGAAGCTTTTCCTTGGACAAATAGAGCATCGGCTGAATGCTGCTGCTGAAGTCCATCAGTCCGAAGACCACATAGTGTACGTAGCAAAGGGACACGCCGGGTTGGAAGTAGCTCTTAAACGGCATCAGTGCCACGAGTGGGAAGTAGTTGAACACTATGATAGCGAGGATGATGAGGACCATCTTGAAGGCTCTCTTCTTCACCGGGTGCATCTCGTCTCGGCCGGGCCCGGACTGCCTCAGCGCCAAGAGGATCGAGATGTTGCAGAACACCATGAAGGCGAACGCTGCCAGGATCGTGGCCGTGAAGACCGCTTCGAAGTTGGGGATGTCGTCCGCGGACTTGGCGCCGGCGTAGGCCAGAATGATCAGCCAGACCACGGCGGCCATGACGGTCCTGTGGCGGCGGCCCTTTAGCTCGGTGAAGGTGATGGGGTGGACCACGGCCATGTAGCGGTCCAGGCAGATGCAGCAGAGGAAGAGCGGCGAGGTGTCTTTGATGCCGTAGAAAAAGCGCAGGACGTACCAGGTGCTGCTGGTGGTGAGGAAGACTATGTTGGCCACCTCGAGCGGAGGGGTGAGACAGAAGAACATGTCTAGAATCGCCAGGTGGAAAATGAAGATATCCGAGGTGGAGGAGTCCCCCTTTTTACTTCGGATGAGCCACAGCACCATGATGTTGGCCGGGATGCCCAGGAACATGTTGACAAACTGCATGCCCAGGTACCAAATGATAGCAGCGGTCATGTCTTTGCATTTCTGGTACTCCGTCAGCTCACTGACAGTGTAGTTCACGGTTCTGTGGGAGACGAGGAGCAGGGAGGAGTTGATATGTAAAACCTCCATCAGTGGAAAGAAACCTGATCTGTCGGATTGAAAGAACAGACGCACTGTGTCAGTCAGCCTCGAGATCAAGGGAAACAAAGATAACGCAAGCATTGATGTTCCAACATGCACATATGGTCAACTCGGCTGTGTGGTGTGTTTTTGAGAGGAAGTGCCCGGTGACAGAGCTTCTGAATGCAAGTGATACTAAAGACTTACATCCCCCACCCCGAGTGTAGATAAAATATTATAGAAAAGCACCTGTCGTTGAATCATGTCACAACACTCTTAATAGGGAGGTTGTGCATCGAACAACAAAATAACCCTCTGGACCCATCATATGACAGCGAAACTTGACTTATCAGGGACTGTAAATATACTTCCCCTAAAAACCCTATGTAAGAAATGTACCGCCTCAATCAATGACAATAACCGTAATGATGATTAGACCACAGTAAAAGAAAAAGCCTGACGCATGGTCCCTTAGCCTAACCCTTATAAAGAACACAACTGCATGTTTGAGCTGCTCATGCGATGGATAAAGGAGAGAAGAAGAAAACATATAACACTGTTGCATCACACTGGCTTTCAGTCTCCCTCAAATGCTTTAGTTTCTCACAGAACAAAATTTGCGACATCAAGAAAAAAAGTTGCTTTCAAACATGTTGTTTTCGTTGTTGTCTCGTGTAAATGTTGCGTTTTTGTATGGTTAAGCATCTTACCTTCAACCGGCAACTAATGAACGAATCTCCCCTAAATGGTCCGTGTCTTTCTGTCACCCCGTCACACGGCTTCTGCAGCCTCGTCAACCTATTTCACTTACACTCGAGCCAATGAATAGGAAATACGTAGGGTGTTAGGCTTAGTGAAATGGCTGACACAGTTGTTTACATGTCTTTGCATATGTGTCCATGTCCATGTCAAAAAGCGGTTCATTCCAATGAAGTTTGCCGATAAGTACCATCGGTAAGAAGAAAAGTAAAAGAACCACAATGTACTGTAAGTGCCAAGAGTAAAAGTACTGATTTTACTGTATTAATAGAAATAATAATATATATATATAATTTTTTTTCACTGATATAATGATAATAATGTATTGTTAATACTGTAATATTTTGTGGTCTGGAAAGAATCTACAGATCAACGTTTCATATTAATGTAGTGGAGAAAAAAGAAGGCTACAATATCTAGTAGAGTCGTTCATTAACATCACCAATCATTGTTAGCAGAGTCAATACAGGACGCTGAAACATGTTGCTTGTCCTTCTCTGTGACGGAAGGATAAGAAATATGAAATCTTAAAAAGTAAGAAATATTTTAAATAACTTTTAAGCATAGAACCTAGTTTGGTCATTCGTATTGGTTTAATTATTTTCTAAGTTTGAGTAATTTCAGGGGAAAGCAGAAGGAAAAGAGTTTCACTCACACATAATGCAGTTTGAGCAGCAGGACACATACAATCAAAACAAGTGTGAAACACACATCAACAACATGTCACGTGCAGACATCCCAGCAGTACCGTACAGAATCCGTTATGAAGCTACAAGGTTCATTTTTAATACAGCCACCCACTAACTAAATTATGATCCTGTAAACGTTGTGGGTGGCTGCTGACTTCTACGGTCTCGTCCTGCTAAAGAAGACAAAAATGGGCTTTTACATCTGTGCTAATCTGCAGGTTTCAAAACAGAAAATCTCTATTTTGTAGCTGAAAAAATACGACCCATGCAAAGAATCCACTGTAAACACATATAGGGGATGTAGCGTGAGATGGACAAAAGGGATTCTCTTTTGTTTCTCCCAACCAATGAGCTCTCGCTCCGACACATTCACCGTCTTCTGCAAGTCCTCCTCCGCCTTCTCATAAGTGCAAACTTCCAAACTTCTTTCCTTTCGTCTCTCTGCAGCTCTCAGGCTGTCCTCCCGTCGCTTCTTTTCTCCTACTTCAAAAAAAGAAAATCTAAATTCCTAAACACGTCTTAACGTTTCAACATGCTACCATACATATAAAACGGTTCTTTTGAGCAATTCTATTTTCTCAGCATTTGAAAAGAAACGCTATAAAACCCAGAAAGCTAATGTCAGGTCAACGTATTGTAATTTACATCAAAAGGAAGGAGATACTGAATGACATGGAAGCGGGGTCATCATTAAGGTCAAAGTACCAAACTATCAAGGTGGACAGATCACAGCAAGCAAATGTAGCGGATGATGTATTGTCGTATTAAACTGTGAGAATATGGCATTTAATTCCAACAGAAACTCACTCATCTCACTTCGTCAAAGTTCATCTTGTTCAAGTTGCCTTTCAGCTGAAGTAAAAAAAAAAATAATAAACCGTCTTTTGGGATTTGGAGTGCAATCCTGCAACAGTTGGAGCGCTGCGATCTGTTGAGAGCCCGCTGGTTTTGCTTTGTAGTGTCTTTTTTCTCTCCACTCAGCTGGAGTGTTTGTGCGGAGAGGGGTGGGGGGAGAGGTCCGGTTCACATCTCGGGAGTGCGTGGTTCGGTTTCGGGGTCCATTGGCTCCAGCGCAGCCTCACGGTGATTCCCAGCCGACGTCGGAGGGTTTCAGCGGGTGGAGTGTGTGTGTGCGTCTTCAGATGAAGGTGGAGTCCATGACGCTGGTGTCCTGCGCACTGCGGGCCCGAGCCTCAAAGAGCTGTTTTATCAACGCCGACTTCTCCTGCTCCAGCTGGGCGATCCGCTCGCTCCTCTCCGTCACCTCCTTTGGGAAAGGAAGGGAAAAGAAGTGAAGCGAGTGACTGAAAACGGCCGTACTGACGGGGCAACGGCGTGGCGACCTCCGTCTGTGGACGCGTTGCCGGACCTGAGTGAGAAGTCGGTTCTGGTCCTTCAGCCTCTGGATGGCTTGGGGAGCAGCAGGGCCCGGAGGCTGGGGGTGAGCTGCTGACGGAGCAGAGCCGGAAGGAAACGACTGCTGGGAAACAGAGAGGAAGAGATCTCGTGACGAAGTCTTGCGATGTACACGTGTAAAATAAGCAACTTCTCGTAGCTTGATGCAGAAAGAGGGATGTTGTCTTGTCTGAATTGAAATAGAATATTTACGCCGTTCGGCTTTGAGTCACACAAGTTCCCCGAGAACGCAGGCAACCACGTTGGCAGCTGTGTAGCTCCACCGATGGCACTGTGGTACTGTGAGCTAAGAGCTAACGCTACATATATGCTAATTTACGCTGTAAACAGGCTGACATTTAGCAGGTGTGACGTTGAAAGTTTTTAACAACAGGAATTTCTTCACTAAATATTATTATTTTATAGTTGATTAAGAACCATATCACTAGTACGGCTGAAATATGAAAGTATTGGATAATTCTCTTTAACTACACACATTTAATTTGGATAGGTCCTCCAGATAAAACACAGATCAGAATATCAAAAAAATGACGTGAGCATACTGGTTCATTATTGGGGGTTTTTTACATTAGATTGTTCCATAATGTGTCAAAGTCACTTATGGAGCACAAATTGATCTGATCACACTCTCTCCGACATCCAATTAGATCAAACATTGTGTAGTTCTACTTTTCATGCTACAGTGAATCATGGCATGGACCGAAAAAGCCACCTCCAAATGCATATGCACATCTGGAATGAAAACTATTATATTATAATTATATTCACATTGCATGAATTTAAGAGAAATTGTCAATGGGGAGGCAACACTCACAATCCCGGAGCAGGAAATAAGGTCATTTAGGCAGCGGTTGACTTCTTGCAATTTGGGTATTAGAACATTCATGTGACTCTGATTGGCTTCTGTGAAGAAATCCTGAGAGAAGAGAACATAAAAGATTATTAAAAACCAAAAGTGAAGTAGCAAAAGGTCTTAGAGATGAGGGACGATGGCTTAACAAACCACGGGCCAACTTTAGTAAAAGGAGGTTGATTGATTGAAGTAGTTAAGAGTTAATTTTTACTCTTTATTACACACGTGCTGGAAATATATTTTCATGGTGAGACTTTTGTCATCCAGTCATCCATTGCACTGAAATAAAAAAAAATACAGTTGTGGGTTCCACCGTCTTGCACACTGACGGTTTCTGAGCTGACCGTGGAGGGGGAGCTCTGGCCGACCTGCCGCTGTCGCTCTGTGACGCTGTGGATTTGTCCCTGGTACCAGTCGCGGGCCCGTTCCACCACTTCCAGCCCCGTCAGCAGGGAGTCCTTCTCCTGCTCCAGCTCCTTCATTTGCTTCAGCTGTGTGAGTTGAAAGTTAAAATGGAGCGGAGGTTGTTGGAAAGTAAAACAAAAGAAGGTGAATGGGGTTGAAGAGGAAAAAGGGGGGGGGGGGGGGGGGGGGGGGGGGGAGTGGAATTAGGAACAGACACAAACAAAACCCACATGAGGCAGAACACGTTTCGTCTGGCGAAGAGGGCTTCTGCCGAGACGCCGTGACTGAATCTAATGTTTGATTTTTGGCAGCCTGAACGGGAGACAAACTCCCGTCTTTTCACAGGAGCATCTGCAGCAAACTCTTTTGTGCTGGCGGAGACAATGGCGCCGTGCGGACTCTCTCTCTCTCTCTCTCTCTCTCTCTCTCCATCCTGAACACTGTTTAGAGGCGCAATCAGTCCGCCGTCATGGCAACTGAGCGGCACATAAATTTGGGTGTTATCAAACGGCCTCAAACACTAACAAAAAGATTGCGATTCCTTTAGTTTCGCTTGTCTTCGCGTGTTCATTTGCACAGTTCATTTCAAAATCCCCCCCCCCTAAGCAGGGTCGGCATTGAGTTGTGCTGACCAGGCTGTCCGTGCAGCACACTGCCACAGACCAGGCCTCACTGCTGGCACTCGGCCACCTGGTGTGTGTGAAGCTTTCTATCCGACCGTCATGTCCCCCGTGTGCGCGGCTCGGAACATTCTTCTGATCAGCGAGGTGACGCCTGTCGTCCAAGTGAACTAAATCAGGACGAGGGCGCTTCGAGAGTTTGAAATGGAACCCTGTTCAAATGCGCCTGCTCTTTCCCAAGGAGCCTTATAGTGAGAGGTCGGAGGGGGGGGGGGGGGGTCTCGAGTGAAAGCGAGACCCGCTGTCAGAGCTGCTTGAATGCGTCGCAGTCCACAAGCAAGCAGGAGAACAACAAATGGCTGAAAAGCTCAGGGGGGGGGCTGAGTGTGTGCATGTATGTTTGTGCGCTGGCTGAATGAGCGGGCATGAATACACACAACAACATGACACCTGCTTGCGTGAGCCGGACGGTCAAAAAACACAAAGGACGCGACGGCCACAAAGAACCATGAAACGTGTGAACTACAGCGGCGATATGCGAGTCCCCCCAAAAAAACAAAGGCGCTCAGAGCTGCAGCTGACAACTGCAACGTGCAATCAGTCGGTGTTTTTCTGATCATTTGATGTTAACAGTTATCGACAGAGAGAAAGGCAGCGGCATGAAACCAGAACATATGAGACACCTCAACAGACCAGTGCTAACAACAAGACCCAAACTCCCTGAGAGATGATTTTTAGTATTTTTAAATCGATTCATTGTACAATATGACGTCTTAGAGCAACACAAAAAGCACAGATAAACTCAAAAGGTGTTCAGTGACACTGGCACGAACACAGAAAATGCATTAACTCCTCACATTTGAGAGAATACAACCAGCACACACTCTGCATGTTCGCTCGTTGAACAACTTGTCTACTCAACGGTTTTGATTGGCTACTGTTCTTGTTCCAATCCGAAAGCTCAACAATACCTCCGAGTATTAAGTTAAAAGACTTCCAAACACAAATCCAGAAAATGCACTTATTGCATAACCATGTCAGACCTCCCATCCTCTTCGCCCGTCTCTCCCTTTCCTTTCCTTTTTAGGTCTCGCCCTCCCTTTCTCTCTCCCCCTCTCGCCCTACTCACCCAGAGGAAGAAGTGCAGGGCCTTGCTGCTGTACAGGCTGCTGCTGAGCGGGATGAAGACCGTGGTGTAGGCGGCCAACACAGCCGACCAGGCCGGGCCGGGCCGGCCCAGCGAGTCCTCCGCTTCTATCAGGCCCCCGGGCCCGACCCGGCTCGCAACCATCAGGGCTGCAGTGGGCCAAAGGCGGCCGGAGGGCCGGGGGGGGAGTGGGGAAGGGGGAGGAGGGAGAGGGGGAGGGGAGCTGTTCTATCAGCCTCTCCAGGCGCAGAGGGAAAAGAGACGGAGACGTCCACACGGACGGGGAGAGAGAAGAAGAGGGAGAGGAGGCGAGCTAGAGGGAGAAGCGCTGAGGCCGAGGGAGAGAGAGACTGGAGGGTGGGAGGGGCAGAACGGGGGGGGGAGTGGGGGCGCGGGGGGGGGCCATAGGGAGGGAACTGGAGATGGGCCTCGACTAGAAAACCTTTTCCCGTGGAGTTGTTATGTTTACTTTCCCACATACATCAGATATTTATCATAATAAGTCTCGATCCCGGTCACATGCAGTCACATTGAAAACCATCAAAGATTTAGTCCGAGCCGACTGCGTCTCTCTGAACGTCTGATACTATTGGACAATGAAAAATGGTGATAGATACCTCAATGTCCAGCTGAAAGCTGTGACAACAGCCTCCTTATTGATGTTACATCGTTATTCCTCGGCTGACACATCTTGCTGGTTTTAATAACTTGTGCAGTTTCATTTCCTTTCATTTAAAAAAAAAACCTGTCCATCAAGACTTGAAGGTTATATCTAACTTTTTACATTTAAACGTTTTGTACGACCAACATTCCAATAGCCAAAGATCTTCAAATTGTCCTCATATAAGTCAAAGAAAATAAACAGCAAATTCTCACATTTGAAAAGCGGAAGAAAAGCCTGAGAACAAACATCCCCTCTCTTTTTCAGCCGCGGAACAACTTTATTCTAATTATTGAGTAGAGATAAATGAGGATCTCATCGGGTAGAGTTACAGAACCAACTGATTGCAACCATACAGTGTTGAAATCCGCTTGAAAATGGTGGGCACGGGTGTCGCAGGTAAAAAAAAGGAGCCGGGCGGGTCCACAGAGGACCCTCGAATGACTAACGTCGAACCTGTGAGCTCCTTTGCTGCTCAACCAGTTATTAATGAAAAGGTGTGTGTGTGTACATCGCTCACATTCAGCCCCGTTTCGGGCTGAAACATGAGATTCAGCCAGAAACTAAAGGTGCCGCACCTCTGCCCAGGCAGAGCAGTGTGTGTGTGTGTGTGTGTGTGTGTGTGTGTGTGTGTGAACCAACCATCCCGTAATCCACTCCGTTGGTTATGGTATGCCTCCTCTGCTCTTCCCGACTCCGCCCGTGTCGCCTCGAGCCGCCACTAAGTCCCGTTGCCGATTCGCTCTGAGATCTCGGTAAACCTGATTTCACAACACCTACGGAAATGGGAGGCATCAGATTTAATACATTTCACACTGTGTCCTGTGGTTTCAGTGCAGGGACAAAATACTTTTTTGAAAAGATTTGACTCTTTCTCATAATTTGGGCAATTCAGAATGTAGAAGAGGTATACAGCATGGTTGTAATGTTATACAGTATGTTTTTGCATTTACATGCAACATAATCCCATAAAAAAAGCTTTAAAAGTATATACATTTTGTTTTATTACAATTAGATTTCTTTTAAACCAGTGTTCTATTGGATTCCGGATAGGTTTCAGTCCCCGGCCTATAAAATATTACATGAAATGTAAAATATCTGTGGACGGACAATAACGAGTTCGACCAAGAACGAAATGAATGAATTGGCCTGTCGCAGTTGCCGGTGTGCACCACACGGGGGCGCTCTACTCCAGCAACGTGTCTGCGAGCTGAACTCAATCGTTGACAAATGACTTGGCTGCAAGTTCAGTGGAGCAGACAGAAATGTGTTGAGTATCTGAGCCCGTCCAGAGAACATCTCACACGGGTTCCACTAGAAAAAGAGACATGCACCGATTAAAGGAAGTTGTCGTTATATCGGTGGGAGCTCGTTCCACTTTTTGGAACGTTTGCCTTCTTGTGATCAAGAGAAAGATGGAGACCATGTGACGTGATAGAAAGCTCCAAGACGGCTGCTTAAAAACGACCAAAAGTTTTCATTTGAACAAACTTTAAAAACCTGACCCGGATTTTGAGGGGTTTCCCATCACAACACAGCTGAACTCTGCAGCCGTGATGACGCGAGGGCGCCGGGCAGGACTGTGCGCTGATGTCCACGGTGTTGGGGAGGATTTCACCGGTGCCCCGAGTCAGTGAGCCCAGGCCTTTCTGCTGTAATCTGCTCTAATCCAACAGGCTTTTGGCTGCATGCGAGAGATTACGGCAGGCGGACCCTGCCGGTCTGCAGGCGGATGCCCGAACAAAGTGTGCGGTGGTGATTTTTTCAAAACACTGTCTCATTCCCAAACTATGTTGCGTAGACATGCAGCCTGCGCGCCTTCGGGAAAAGCTCTCCACGAGATTTGCTCCCATTAGCCACAAGATCGACAGAGGTTTTGTGATTAATCTAAGCAAGCAAAGCCTTCTTTTCACGGACCTTTCCTCTTTGCGCCAGTCATCGTAACATCGTGCTGTTACACGTTTTAGCATTTAACAAGATTTTCCTTTACTTGAGCCAACAAAAAGACAAAAAAACGGGCACGGAAGTATGTGAACTTTCGGCCCGGTGACGTTTCCTTTCATTCATCCATGTGAGCCAAACCACGTACCAGTGGAGCCGGTGGTGAAAGCGGTGAGAGCCCCGAGGGCTCGACAGAGAGAGAGTGTGTGTGTGTGTGTGTGTGTGTGTGTGTGTGTGTGTGTGTGTGTGTGTGTGTGTGTGTGTGTGTGTGTGTGTGTGTGTGTGTTTTACCAAGATCAAAAGGCAGTTGGTATCAGAGTGAAAGGAGATAATGGAGCAGGCAAAATGTCTCAGGCCCATCACCCGGGCGATGGCTGACCGGGCTCCCTCCACAAGTCAAGCCCTCACGATAGATACGTTCATGCATTTTCTGACACAACCTCTGACCTGACCCGGTGGGGTGAGGTGTGTGTGTGTGGGGGGGTTAATAAGGGCAATTATTCAACTTGCCACCCCACAAACAGGCACTAAATGGGGCCTGTTTAAGCCGTGACGTAACCCTACTTGAAAAGTGCGTTGGCAAAAACCCAATAATAATTGTTGTTGACTCCCTTATAAATGTACCATCTTGACCTTGGATAATCTTCTGGATGAACGCAAAGGCAGGTCCTCTGCAGACGTAGTGCACTAGTGTGCAATTCATGGACCACTGGATCCAATTAAATTGGAATGTAGGATCGAAGCTGGCAGGACTGCAGTGGACGTTTGAACTCAGTTATGCATGCAAGGCAAACGGCGCGCTCAAGTCTTATGTGTATTTTGTGCTCTACTTCTAACTCACTCTTTGGGTGCCCGGATAATCATTTGTATTTGCTTAAGTCAAAAAAGTTTAAATGGGCATTTCTGATTGTGGGATGGGAGTGGAATGCTGATCCCGCCTTACATGAATCTTTTATAATGCGGATGTGCTGTTGTCTTTTTCATATCATCGTTTTGACAGTCAGACAAACCTCAATCAATTTAAAAGACCTCATTTTGGGCTTTTGCAATGGATGTTTTGCAGGATTTCACAACTCTTTTTGACATACAGAAAATAACTTATTAATAGCATGTAATAACATTATCTCTCCAGCCCTTGTTACCAATTAACGCAAGTGGGATGAAGCAGTGAGATGCACATCCAACTGCATGACATCAACTGACATGAACTCACTTTTTTTTAATTAACAGCGTTGGTTTGTACCTGGATTTTGGCAGACAGGCGTTAAACGTATGACTTAAGTCTTCAATGAGCTCCGACAAACACACACACACACACACACACACTCACTTGATCCTTGGAGCTGCGGTGCCTCCAGAGCCAACGACTCGATGGTCCTGACTCGGCTCTGCTGGGGCTGCGTGGGTTCGGTGGCGTGTCCCGGGTCGGCCCGGTAACACCCGCCCCCCGCGGCGACAGAAGTCTGCTCCAAACCCCGGCCGTACCGGCCCGGTGCGCACGCGGGGTATCCGCCCCCGTCCTCCGGCCCGGCGCGGCCCTGCAGGGAGGCGGCCCGGTGCTGCCGGACGTTGGTCACGTTGCTCGGCCCCAGCGGCCGGACCTTGTTCTCGACCCGTATCCCGACCCCGCACGCGGACAGCGGGGCGGCTTTGCGGGGCTGCCTCGGCGCCCCGTGCTCCGGGTGCAGCATGGAGTACCGCAGCCCCGCCACGAAGCGCTCGAAGGTGAGGCAGCCGTGCGGCGGGGTGACCCGCCTCAGGCACCCCAGCACCCCGCCGGGCAGAGCCCGGGTGTCCGCCCCCTGCCAGCGGCTCTCGATCTCGGAGATGTGGACGTAGCCCCGTCCGCCGTCGTCCAGGATGTCGAACAGGGTCCTCAGGCTGTGGAGGAAGGCTTTCGGGAGGCCGTCGGTGGAGTAGTCCGCCTCCTTCGGGTGCATTCTGAAGCCCTCCGCGGTGCCCTGGCGCGCTTCTTTCCTCGGCGCAACTCGCGCGTAAATCGCCGGCGCCTCGTTCAGTTTGCAGCTCTGATCGGTCGCTATCAGAGCCATGAGCGCGGTGGTGATCGACCAACGACTGATCGATCGGGGGGGGGGGAGAAACCCACCGAAACAAGTTGGCGAACTTTAAATAAACACACGGGCGAACATGCGCGATAGTTAAAAAACGAGTTCTCACTCACTGAGCAGCTAAACACGCCTCCTAATACGGCTTCTTAGTGTAAGCGATGCCCCGTGTTTAACCGTCCTTCCCGATGGAGCCCCATCGATCTGTGATCGATACTTTCCTTTTCTTCTGGAGAGGACCGCCCTCCAAACGGCTGCGCGCGACCGTCGCGGGCAGCAGCCATTGGCCGGGGCGTGCACGCGCTAGGCGCTCATTGGTCCGGACCTGAAGAGGCTCAAGTTTAAAAATAATAAATGTTCAATAATGGTACTTTAACAGATGCGTACAGCACAGGGGTTTGATCATTAACTGCACGAACGTCGTAGTAACTCGCTGTGAAAGTGAAACAAACGCAACTAGCAGGCAGTAACTTTCTGAATGCAGATATTTTTCTGTATTTTCTTTGTAAATAAAATTGTATTTAGTATACTTGCAGCACCGAGTTGATTTATGCTAAGAAGTAGAAAGATTTGCTCAACCTACAAAGGAGCACTTGTGCTTTATTTCACCAGTGGCCCCATGTCTGATTGAACTAATCCCATCTACATTTCTCGGGCATAATAAAGACACCTTTGCAATGTAGAAAAAGAATAAAGTCCAATCCGAGCTATAAAAAAAACGTGTATTTCATCACACAATACAAAAATGAAGGATTCAATAACTCGTCAGCAAATAAAAGTGAGCAGGAATTGACTGAGCTGTTGTTCTATAAAGTACATTAAGTGGCCCACAATTGCTTTTTTTATTAACGTGCAATTTTTAACGAGTTCATTATCCTGTAGAATTCAAAATAATAAGCTTAGTCTGTTGCTTGTTTGCCTTTTTAACTACTAGTTTGTAACATGTTACAATGAAACCTATAGTTGGATTCCCCCCCTTCCCATCCTACTATCAAGTGACCACAATGAGAGTAAATAATCCTATCAAAATAAAGTGGTCCCCGTGTCTCTTCCTCCCTCCAGAGACCCTCTCATGATCAGCACGTGAAGGTTTCTCTCAGTGAGGCGGATGAGCAGCATTCCTCGTCCTTGCGTGGAGACAGGGCCCGTCCCCAGGGACGAGTCACACGGGAGACGCTCTGCACGAACCCACGTTCATCTGTGACCTGCCCAGACCTGAGCTCTCTCGTCTCCTCGTCCGTCCTGCTCACACAAAGGACTCTCTGGGATTAACCAACTGCCTGATGCAGTTCTTCTTCTTCTTCTTCCTGTCAGACCAGGTGTTGCGTTGCACGTCTCCCCTGCTGTGTTTACATCGAATGCCCTTTTGCATTTTTCCATATGAGAGGCGAGGCTGACAGAGAGGACACGCGATCAATGAATCCCATCGCACACGGCCTGTCGCCCCCTCTGACGGTCAATCACACACCAGTTGCTCTTGTCGACGTGTCAATTTGTGGCCATTGATTGTGACTCCAGGCTAAAAAGAAGATCCAAATAGATCAGATGTTCAAATGCTCGATACTTGTGTTTCAGAGCACAGATCCGCGGTAGGGGGATGAGATAAAAATGATGTGAATTTTTTTTTTTTGGGGGGGGGTATGTTGTTGTTTTTAAATCTACAGGCTCGCTTCTTACACAACAAACCAAAGCCAGGAAGTGAGTCGGGTATTTCAGGAAGAGACACACTCACTGTCCATTTGTGGTGGTCACTTGACTCGTGGTGTCGGACCACTGAGCTCCTCACTCCTACTCTCCTCATCTCTCTGTCTCACGTTGTCACGCACACGCTCACACACGCACACACTAATGCTCAGTTTGCAGCAATAGGGTGAGACCAAGCGTGCAGAAAGGCCGGCCTAAATCCAGGGTCCATATCTTTTCCTTTTTGTTAGATATCGCGGAGATACTCCTCAGTCGATGTCTTTTAGTGTATTCTCATCTTCCCTGTTTCTTTCCACTGCAGCTATTGGTAACAAGGGCCAGATCACAAAGAATTTTGGGGGCTAAAAGGGCCCTTTAGTGTTTTTTTTTGGGGGGGGGGGGGGGGGGGGGGGTGGAGAATGACAGAATGAGAACTCAAAAGATTCAAACGTTGGGAGGCGTTGGTTCAGATTTAAATAACAGTGCCAGAAATAAAGCGAGAGCGGAGGGGCTTGGTTCAGGCTGCACAAAGATGGGGGAAGAAAAAGATGAAGCTAAATCCGTATCATCCCTGAATGAAGTCTCCCTCCGCGAGGCTGCAAACACTGTAAAAACACTTCCCCTGATATGAGCTGCGTTTCTCAGAAGTAGTGAACGTTCTCCGCGAGTCAAGGCCCATGGACTTTGGGCGCTTCGTTCATTGGAGGTGTTAACGACTCGATTGTTTCACCACAGGGTGCAGGATTAAGCTGCTGACGCATTATTGTGCAAACTATTTTGGCTGTGCAAACAAACTTCAGGGACAGCGTAGTTTTAAAAAAAGATGCAATTGTGAGCACATCTTTCTTCTGTTGACGGGTTTACCAACACAAAAAGATCCTGTCTCCACACAGCTCAAATGCCATGAGACATTTTTTCAGTGTTATTCAAAAAGTGAGATTGACAGCTATTTGTAGCCCTTTTGCAGAAACACCACTGACTGCAGTTTTAAATTCCAATAAGGATTATCCACCGATCTTAAACGTCTCAACAGGCCTCTACTCAGTGCTGAACCATCCGTGATCACTCACAGTAGATAAGATCTTCCTCTGCGATGGAGATGAATGCTGCACCTGGATGAGCTCATCATTTTGTGTCTTCGTCTTTTATCTGATACATGGAGGCCAGTTAGACATTCAAACTTCTATCCTATTTGCCTTTGACTCAGCAGGCAGTCGACAGCGGTACCCGCATGTGTAAACGCACGCGTTGCTGCATCAGATCAGTCGTGGGCCCATCATTTTATTTTAGAAAATGAAGTGTTAATTTGATGCATGTTTTTGAGATATATTTGCATCTTTAACATACATTGTGATATTTGTACTCTGTGTTCATGATGGTCTTGGGTTTGAGGTGCTGGGTACGTCTCTTTCATAGTACATATATTTACCTCCCTCTAAAGAGCTTTAGTGCATTCAAACTTGGAAAAATAGCTTTATGGCTGAAATAGCACCAATTGTGTATGTATACTGCTATTTCTTGTTTTTTTGTATTTATTTACTTTTGAAGAGTCAGTTTGTGGATCTAAAACTCCTCAGATGAGAACTCAGTAAAAAGGAATGAAACTTGTCACATGTACTTCTCAGTCTTTCTTTCTTGGTCTCGGTCGCTAAATGTTTCTAAATCCACTGGCAATTTCATTATAACAACTGCAAATGCTTTATTTGATCCTAATATATATTGCAGGGTTTAACTGCACTGAAGACCTAGGAATGAACATGCCGAGTCTTGAGGCAACAAATATGAATTACATAATGTGGATTACACTGCTAAGCATCTTAAGCATTTTAACAGATGAAAAGAAAATTGCTTTATCGATTTAAAATGATGAGTCATTCCACGATTATATTCTCTATGTTGTTCATGGAAAACATGATGACAGCGACTGTAGATAAAACCGTTTAATCGTTTTGGTTGCTCCACCTGTAACTACATCGGCGCACTGCAGAGACAACTAGTGGCTGCTTGTGGTGGAGCGGCGTTAATTCGGTTGCATGTCAGACACACACATCCCAATAATAATACCGGATCACAGGCTTAAAGTTGGATTCTTCCCACTAACCGAAACTAATTCCTGACCTCTCGTTTGGGAAACTCATCGGTTTATCCACACTGTAATGCCGTTATGAAATTCAAAAGCGCCTCAAACTCAGAAAAAATGAACTTTCATTTCATTTCATCAAAAAACACCCTTGGATGCAATTGGATACAGAATGTACACGCAGCACTATACTCAATCATTGCAGCATCTGACAGTAGATGCGCAAGTTTGTTCACTCCATCACGTCGCCGTATTTTGTCTTCTCGGTTGCTTCTGACACCTCTGGTTTGGGCGCTGAAAGGCAGAGAAAAGAGAAAACATGCACCATTAAACTCTGCAAACTGTCCTCGTGTGATTTATGATCGAGCAAATGAGCTGGCACACATAAATATGTTTTCAGAGTACTGAGCCCAGGACAAAAAAATATAATGTATTCAGTTCCATAAAACCACTGTTCTTTTTTCAATTAAACAAATGTTTGCAGCCCCACTTTATACTCACCCTGCGTCAGCGGCGGCGGCGGCGATCGGTCCGGGACGCTGCCCGTTTCCAGCAAAATCCAAAGGTCGGAGCATTTCTGCGTTTCCCAGCGAGTCACTGCATAACTTCCCACTGATGATGCCACTGAGAGAGAGAGAGAGAGAGAGAGGTCAGAGAGCAGAGGAGAGAGAGAGGTAAGAAACCTGCAGGGTTGTGTGTGTGTGTGTGTGTGTGTGTGTGCGATGTCTCATCACTCACCTATTGAAATCAGAAGGTTCCATTGAAGGGGATAAGGAAGCTTCCTCTGGAGACCCATCTGAAGGGCAAATAACCCCCCGGCGCCTGTAAAAGAGACACAGTACAAGTCACGATGAACGTTCGATATTAACGACACTCATTTTCCTCCAAGTCCTCAGCAACACTTTGGTCAAAGTTCCTTAGTCACTCGACAAAACATTATCCATCACGGTTTGGAGTCAGTATGCAGGCGCTCCTTTTTTCATCTGTGCTGAATTCCAGTAACCTGAAACTTACATGTACTGTATTGTAAAAACCCTATAACAATACAACCGTCCCCACTGTGTGTGTTGCGTTTAGTGTGCACCACGTCATAAAACATCCCGCTGTATTAATACTAGAAACCAGTGCAGGATATAGCTCCCTCTTGTGGTAGACAATGGCCATAACGATATTGTTGTCCGTCGTTTTGTAGAACTTGTTAAAAAATTGACATTCATGAATTATGAATTTACCTCAGTAAAATGTATCATTTTTAATAGATATCTAAGGAATTAGTTAGTGATTGGTACCAGTGTTGTGATTATAAGCTATCTTAGAAATATGGGTAATCCAACATAAAGTATTATTAATATTTAAGTGACAATAATACAATTCAATCGTCAATGCAATTTATATTAATTTATCTCCTACCGAGTATAAAGGTCCCAGTCCCCTTCATGAAAGCATGAGACTGACAGGCAGCATAACTCTGTAAACCCTGAAGGACAGAAAAAAAACAGCTTTCACAACTCAAGTTTAAGTCTCTGCAGCTCAATGATTCGATCCTCCGCTGATGGAAGACGAGCGAAACAAAGGACCCACCGGGTGTTTGGCCGCCAGCGCATCGTCCACTTTGGTGAGTCCGATATTGACCATTTTGTTGTCGTAGTTGTATTATTCCGTGGAGCGTAACATCAGCTCACGTCGCGACCGTGTTCATAACTACGCTGTTATAAAACTTCCGTGTTGCGAACCAAAGAGCGAGCGGAACAGCTGGTTGTGTTCCCACTAGCGGCCCCTGGCGGAGAGGAGGTGGTACTGCAGCACGTCGCCGACGACAGGACAAGACGAAATATACACAAAAAAACACGAATATCTGTAGATGTAAGACAATACAACACAAACGTTGAAGCTTTAAAAGGGAAATGTTAAGACGATATTTAAAAAAAATAGCATGAAATAGACATGGAAATATATAATAACAAACAAACTTAAACAAAAAAACTTATTACTAATCATTCTGACTGATAAGTTTGTGAGAGACAATATGAAGGTAAAGGTTACATCCATGGAAATCTAACACCAGAATCACCATTAAGGTGTCGAATATAAAAAAAAGAAAATTTGTAGGTGACAACATAATGTTTTGAGAATGTAACTTTACCCTCTTGAGAAGTTGGAAAGTTAAAGCAAGATTTTCATCCAAAGAGAGATTGTTTGTTGTCCCAGCTCAGCAGTAATTTTACATTTTTTCTGTTACAGAAAAAAGAAATCTGATGTGATATCCTAACATTAATCCTTCAGTTGTACCTTGTGACTCCAAACTTCTGACTGACAATAAAATATAAGAAATGAAACAGCTGTCTGAAAATAAGGTGTTTTAATTTAAAGCTACCAATGTACACCATAACTAGCAATTCTCTTTAACTAGTTTCGCACACATTACAACACATATTTTTTACTTCAATTTTATACTGATCTGTTCACTAAATAGCAATATTAGCAAACAGATTAACGCATGAAATAAGTCATCTTTCTTGCCCGTCTTTGAGTTCCTCACACGCCATATGTGACCTCAGAACTGCCACAACAGCACAGCCTGCTGACCCCCCTGTTGAACTCTGACCCCACAGGGACCTTTCTGCTGGAGGCTGGACATGAAGAAGAGGAGGCAAACGGAGAGAGACGAACGACTGCTGAGACACAATGACCACACAGAGAGCTTAAGTTACCGGACATCTGTTCCTTGTTACACAAGAGGAAGAAAGGACTCCACTGATCTACGAGTGATAAAGACAATGAGCTGATGAAGGGCTTAGTGGGTTTTAAATGTCAACACAGGGGGGAAAAAGAACAGCAAATATTCTACTCTACTATTCTATGGCTCAGTGGTTTGAACTGTTGATGGTACATCAGATATAACAGGAGAAAGTTGTAATTTCAGCCTTGAAGTCTTATATAACATGTAATAACATATCAGAAATCCCAGAAATGGAGGAAATTGACCTGACTTGAATGTTAATATATATAAGTTCCAAATGTAGATATCAGAATCACTTTACAAAAGAATGGGAGATTTTCATTATATGTTTTGTCTATTGGTGTCTTTGTTTCAAATAATTGTTTATCTAAAATATTGGTAATTTGCAGTTATTGAGCTAAACAAAATAAAATGAATTTAATTTACCCAATACAATACAAAAAAGGCACCATCAAGATAGAAATATTTAATTTACTATTGTATAAAAGTACAAATAAAATTGGAGAAGCCTGAACCGGCAAATGTTTTCTTGCTAAATGGTGAAATCGATGATTCTCTAATGAAGATTCGCAAATGATCATCAAAATGAATTACCAAGCATTTCTGCATTAAGCAACCTAGTAAATCTTTAAATAATTTCACCCTGAAAACTCTAAAATGTATTTGCGATTATTTATCAGCTGACACTAGACTTCCACAAACTGTACAGTACGTAAATATCTCCAACAAACTTTCATTCAGGAGCTTCGGAATGTTTTTCGGTCTCTGACCATACTGATTTCTTAATTCTTCTCCAGTGCACAAGCAACCTTTCATTGAGAGTAGTTTGAAATTTCGAATGCCATAATTATAATAATACTACATGCATGAGTATTCGTTCACATTTTAAGTGACTCCACAACATGAGGTTCATTTTATTTATTATCATTTTACATTGGAAAAGCAACGGTCAGTTACAGCCCCAAACTCCACACTGACCTTCCATTCACATATTGTAGCTCTTTATTTCTATGTGATTAATGTTTATATCCTTACAGAACAAAACAAAGTCAGACACGACCTGTACACTCCAAGTCATCCAAATCACGCCCCCCCTCTTGAACCCATCGGAGACAAAAACGCTAACAAGGGGAGCCACATTTTTAGTGCAGTGTTGAAAACTTGTTTGCACACACACACACACGCATAAAAAATAAACAATCAACAAGTCGCATGTGTAACTGTGAATTACATGCTTACAATGTGTCTGGACTCCTCCCCTGAGACACGAGAGGACACATTAAGCAAGTGTGCATTGTGGGTAATACAAGGAAGGCAGGCGATTGAGGATAAAGTTGACTCAAGAGAAATTTCACTTAGACCGCTGTGTCTCAGAAAAAGAAAAGCAGGAAAGGGTTTAGTTCATAAACCACTCTCCAAATAAAATCTACCCCCAAAAAAAGGTGTGTACTGGGGGTGGGGATTCAAGTTTTACACTCCAAGACATCTCTCGTGTGGAAGATTTCTAGTGACATAATGGTGTGCAGTATTTTCACGGAAAACTTGGAAGGGCAACACAGAGGAGGACTCACTGGTTCATTTGGGATAAGGAAAGAAAAGAAGAAAAAAAAAACACAGGGTGGGACTGTCCTGTCCCCTCCCTGCCCCAAAAGATGTGACATAAAAAGGTCCCAATTCCACTTGCCTTTGTTAAGAACATTTGCCTTCAAATATCACCAGGACAAAAACGTGTTTCACAATCAAATGTTTTAAATAAATATAGCTCCATTGATAGAATTTCTTCAAAAAAAACCTTAGAGCAAACTCTCACACAAGAAACTGAGCGCACCCCTGCCCCTCACCCTCACCCCGAGGGTGCAAAAAATTCAGCTGAAAAGACAGGTGTTTGTTAAAAACCACAAGACGGCGACTGACTGGAGGGATTTAAACCAGGTGACACAGGGGTGCCAGACCCACGGGACTTTGGTAGAGATAATCAGAGATGCTCGGAGTCTCCGGCACACAGGAGAGCATTTCCTTACAGAGCATTGATATCACCAGGGACACTGTATAACTGTATAACTGGAATACAAATAAGCCAATTGTTAGTGGTGATTAAAACTTTGTACCTCATCTGATCAAATTGATGGAAAAATAAATTAACTCAGGGGTCAAGAAAACATCCAGAAAAAGAAAAAAAATATACAGCCTTTATTTGGCAGCTACTTTATTATAGAACAGTGAAAATATTTAACCCATCAATTTACGATTTAGTATGAAATTTAAAACTGTAATATGGCCCCTTGAAGAGAAAAGACATACATTTACCCTGCCATTAACCCATGGAGACCATTTCAATGTCCTTCAGTACATACTGGCAGCACAGACATACACAGACAGACACACACACGCTCAATACTGAGTGATTCAATCAGTGAAATCCATCCGACGGTTGGCTGCAGGGGAAGGGGCGTGGCCAAGGGGGTCGACGACCAGGAAGAGACGGCGGCCGTGTGCAGAGGTCAGAGAGGGAGCAATACAGTGAAAAGGTCTGTGTCCCGTTGTACCAGTTGACCGGCAGGTACCGCAGCCCCCCCCCCCCCCTCCCCCCGTCTGCACGTAACCCCACCCGGGGACTGGGTGGAGGACCCAAAGTGGATGACGACAACGGTCTATATTATGGTCCAAAGAAGTTTGTCCAGTTCATCAACAAGACAACTCTCCTCCCCCCTCCCTCACATACAAAACCATAGCAGCAGGTAGATCTCGAGGGTCCCCCCCCTCGAGAAAAAGAATGACCAAAAAAAAGAAGAAGAGAGGATTAGAATAATACCTTTCCCCGCCATCCAGCAAGCAAGCAAGCTATGGAGAAACACCAGTTCCGGAAAGTGGCAGATGTCTCGGCCTCATTTTCCATCCTCTTTTCTCCTGAATCCATCACGCAACCAACATTGTCCTCCGCCGTTAAGTCTCTGTTCAGCAGCTCCCCCTCTCCTGGTTTCGCACCTCATCCCCGCTGCCCTCCCATAAGTTCAACCCCTTCCCCTCCCGTCCCAGCTCCCCCTCCACTGTTCTCCCTCCTCCTCTCACGGGCGAGGATGAGGTGCGCGTGTGGATCATCGCTCGGGCTCCGACTCGAGAGCCAGCACCCGCTTGCGCTCGCGACACTGCTTCTTGTGGGCGGGCCAGTCCCTCTGCTGGCACTGGGAGCCGCAGTAGCGCGCCACCTGGCAGCGGCCGCAGATGTTGAACTCCCGGAGCTGTTGACAAGACGGGGAACGAGATCATGCACGGCTCGGGGCTTTTGTAGCTCATGCTTTGCACGCTGGGAGAAAATAGCTATACACGCTGAATTGTGTAAAAAGGCTTCCCGGTTACGTACCCTCCTCTCAATGAGTGAACAAGGAGGATAATGACACTCATAGTAGGTGCAGGAGCACTCCTCTTCCTCCACCAGCTCCCCGTTAGCGTTGTAGTAGCGCGTGCGGCTCAGCTCCAGATACTGCTCCTCCACTGGGTCGGCCGGTACCTGCTGGATGGCCAGCCAGTACAGGGACTGCTCTCTGGTCAGGTAAGGGAACACGCAATCATTCATTTGGCTAAAAGAACTCAATGGCAATTTTGTGTGAGCAGCAAGTCAAAAGCATTCTCTTTGTCAAAGATATCAGGATATGGAGAAGGAAAATAAAGAAGTAACCATACTCCCCCACCCCTCTAGGCTAAGCTATGTTCAGCCCGATCACCAGTGAAGCCGTAGTCCTACCTCTGTTTGCTGGAAATCTCCTCCGGCTTGGGGCTCCAGCCCACCGGCACCAGTCGCAGGTTGTCTAGCCGGTTGTCCACGGTCACAGAGTTGATGTGGATGACTTGGAAACTGGGGGCGATGCCTCCTCGGTGCTTCTCCCTGTGTCAACACGCAAGTTTAAGAAGTCAGGCAATCACAAAGCAACTGATTGAGACGAGGGGGGGGGGGGGGGGCGCTGATGGAATAATATATCACTTTCAAAAATGTCACAACATCCAATTGCTCCAAAACCAACCTGCAGCTTTACTGGTTGCTGCAAACAGCCTCTCTTTCGTAAAATCCAAAAGACCCCCTCCTCCCAGAAGTTGTTTATTTCACTGCCGGGATAATTAGGAGTTAAGTACTTACCAGAGAAGCTCATGCAATGGCCTTCCTGCCCAGCGGCCTTTGCCAATGTCGAAAGCGTAGGCAAAGATCTTAGCTCCATTGCCATCCGCATCTACCTCCATGCGCGCCTGCAAGTGTAAAAAAAAGAGTCAGCAAACCGGTAACATAAATACTTCTCACAATACAAGTGGGAGTTACAGCTCGATGGTTTACCTCGAATGCATAGTTTTCCACAAGCGGTATGTCTTGCTCGTCAATCAGTGTGTATTTGGTCTGAAACGAGAGGATGGAGAGAGAATACTTTAATGTCAACAAACACACAAAAGGAGCAGCTTTCTTTTTTTTTTTAGGGAAAACATAATAACAGCAAACAACACCACTCATTAAAAGTGGCTTGCTTGCAGAAGGCAACAACAGTCACAAGTTAAATACAGTTTACACTGTTATGTTCAAGTCCATATTTGGGATTTTGCACTCACACATGACAGCTGCAGACAAACATTATCATTAATGTCGAAGTCATCAAATGCCTCATGTTTAAGAATAGCGGCATCATCATAACGGTCTCACGTGGAACCATTTAGCAGCTACACGGTTTAGCGTGTGACGTCATGCAAATAAGTGAAAGCCCAGCGTGGGGGCAGCGGATTCGAACCCAACGCGTCGTTCCTACACGAGCGCGTCTTGTGACACGGGCATGTCTTGGCCATCATTCAGCCGATACTTGCAACGTAGCGTCACCGTAACTCACTAGAACTAACTGTAACTTAAGCTTTAAAAAGAAAGAACCCCGCGATGCCACGCCGGTGCATTGTCACGTTGCACAAAAGAAATCAGTTGATGCACGGCGACGGCTTCCTCGTTAGCGAGACACTTCCCCCCGTGTTAAATTCTAAATAAGCTAGCGGTGCCACAGCTAACAGTGTCCCGGACCGTGGGAATGCTTTGGGGTTCGCCGTCGAAAAGACAAAGACAGCGACGTTAGTCTTCTCCGTTTCAACCGGAGACCGAGAACGACGTGACGTGGACGCCGTCCGTTTACTTTGGTGACTCTGTTCCGCCGTTTGACTTGAGCCAACCGCTAAAGGCAAACCTCGCGACATGCTAGCTAGCTTTAGCTAGCTTCACAGGAGACCGGTGGCGAACGGAGGCACGGAAAGCCAGACTGGCTCGGCCGGCTCCTCTAATCCTGTCAGATGCCGCTTAAATTAGGAACAGACGTGCCACTCCCGACTCCGCAACGCGTCGGTATCCGCGTAAAGCGTTTGACCAGCAACAGCTCCGTCACAGCTACAACAAAAAAACATTTTCCATCGCCTTTTGTGGTCCCTCACGGGCCCTCCCCCCCTCCACGGCCGCACATGGCCGTCCCGGGATCCTGCTCACCTTCCCGGCCACACGGCCGAGCCGTACGATCCCGAGCTTGAAGTCCGACATCGGGAGGAGACGGCGGCGGTGTCAGAGAGAGAGAGGCGCGGGGGATCCAAACCGAAGCCCCTCAGCCCCAGCGCGCGTCCAGCTTCGGTCGACCGGATGGATGTTTGCCGTGACTCCGAGTCTCTCCGGCGGCAGCCCAACCTCGGTGACACACCACCGCTGCTGGCGCAGGAGAGCCGAGCTCGTCGATGGGAGGGAGGGAGGGGGCGGGGTCGCACGAAACCGACCAGCCAATCAGACGCGACGTCACGGGTTCTTGCTAAGACGAAGCGTCCAATCGCGTTGTTCAACAGGCCAACGACTGTTTTTTTCGGAGACCGCCTCTTCCAGATTTGACGTCATTCGACTCTCGTGACCACTTCCAGCCGTTTTCGCGCGAAATGTTTGATGGCGAGACTTTCGCCTCTGATGAAGCTGAAGAACATTTCCCTCGCAGGCCACCATCTCAAAAGAGATGTGGTCACCACTGTTCATCATTTTAAAATGCAATTTGAATTAGTTATTGGAATGTTTAATCTATCTGAAAACTTCCCAAATCCTAGAGGTTATTTTTTGAATGACGTCGATAAAACATGGGCAGCGAGGAGATTGAGTGTAAACATTAGCTGCGAAATGCAATGCTTAGTGATGCAGGACTACTGAGTGTTCTGTGCTGTACATCCGTATGAGAATCCTGCACCTGCGCAGAAGCACCAGGAACGGAATCATAATATAAATGTGATGTACATCAACAACTAACAAATGTTTCAAATGTACGTGTATTTCTGCTCTGCCTTTTCTGTGTTTGATGATGTTCTTTAGGTTATTGGTGATTCAACCAGCGATTCCAGCGTGCCTGCACTATTGATTAGGGGAAAGGATTGATATTTGAACATGTCAGATGCTAATGCTGTCTTTCTTTCAGTGTGTGTTCTATTACTTCTGTTATTTCTTCGATTTTACTTTGACTTTTGTATTGCTAGTAATAATTATCTTGTTAAAAATAAATTGTAACTGCCATTTCTATTAATTTAAAGGGATGAACCACACATTATCTCGTCCCAACACACACTCTAATGCTTAAACGGCAGAAAATGGGAATTGCATCCATCACTCTAAATAAAATCCAGAGCCTGATGTAGTGAGCACAAAAGCATCTTCTTTTCCAACACATCTACTCTGGTGATAAAGCGTGACTTTCTCATCAGTGACTTATGTGTGAGCTCCCTCTAGAGATCAGCATCTGTATCACAGGCACAATTTAGTCTTACAAGAACTTAAGAACATTGAAACTTTTTATGGAAAACGATAAGAATGATGAGTATTATTGATGATATTATTGATAAATGATCCGTTTGTTGAGTTGGAAATTTAGTTTTCACTAAAGTTTTATGTTATGAATGTGTAGTTGCTGTCAGGTGAGATTAGATATATTTAATAATCTATTTTCAGTTTTACGATTTTTTTTAAACGCACGTTTTCCATTCAGCACAATAATAATATATCCTAATACTCATTATCGTAATGATTTCTGTATTAGTATATTCTTCAAGAAGAGTATAAATTGTTTCATCGAGGAATTGCCTTAAGTCTGTAACCGCAAAACCAAACTTTCATGATGCAAACACATCTTCTGTTCCTATTTTTACCTTCACAGACTGCTTTTTATGTCGGAAACAATGGCAGCTCTGTGCCTCTGCTGTTCAAAGTGAAATGTGCGGAAACACCACCTTGCCCGAGCCAGAAGCACAAGTCTCTTCTGTCAATCACTCCTATCCAGTTACTCACACATACACACACACACACACACACACACACACACACACACAGGAGTGGGATGTGTGTGTCGACCCTTGTCAAGTTTTGAATTTCTTGAGATTCGATCTGTTTCTGCAACCTTTTGTCCTCCTCTTAGAGAATTTAACAGGATGTAAACAGAAAACTTGCATCCACTGGTGAAAGGTAAGCACATGGGTAGACATGAGTCAAAATAAAGCACTAAATTCAAAAATCATACATACATTTGACAGTTTCATGCAATATGGTATTATTTTCCAGTTCCAGTTGAGTTCATACGTTAACATTATGGATGCCGGCCACAACCAAACCAGTCATTTTAAATCACTGCGCCTGATGAGAGCAGAACCATCTTTCATAAAGTAATTTTAAGATTATTTTCTCTGGATTCAAGAGCTTTTGCCAGGCGTTGGGTGTTGCTCACTGTATTGCTAAACAGAGCTGTCTCTGAGGTGTGTCTGCACGGCTGATCCCTGCACACACACGTGTGATGACATCCATCACACCTATATCCACCCATGACAATTGGATTGCTCTTCCACTGTGTTCTCACAATGGTATCTAGTAAACATACGAACGTTTGCAACTGAAAAGGAAAATACAACGTCAGAAAATGCTCCAAAAATGTCTGCAGTTTTCTGAAAAAGGAAGAAAAACTATAGGAGAAAAGTGCTTTTAGTAATATTGTTGGATGACTCGTTACTCGACTCACAGATTCAAACAAATATCAGGTTGACATAAACTAAAAAGGTAAGGGATCAGAGATTAACATGCGTGGATTATTTAAACCTTTATTTTCATTGCCAACTGTTTCCTTGTAATTCGTTATAAAAGTTGTGTAACTGTGTATTCTACACATTCGTGACTTTAGCTTTTATTTAGATGAACAGCAAATTCAACTACAGGAAATCAACACAAGTGAAACACAGTGAAAGCTCAAATGACGGTTATCAGTTCCACACCCAAACAACAAACAAACAACTGAAACCAGAAGGGCAGAAACGTTTTTTTTTCGCCTCTCGGGTCCGACCTCCGCTGCCCGCGTTACTTCCGTGTTCCGCTCACCTGTTACACCTGTATCCCTGCGCCGTAGGCCGCGGCACGCGCGACTCCTGCTCCGCCGGTGCACCTGTCGCGTCACTGCGCCACGATGACCGAGGAGCTCACACCGTGCGACCTGACGTGCCCGTCTTCCCCGACCCCCGGCGCCTCGGGGCCCAAGGAGACGGGCTTCGATCAGCCCATTTTCTCCGTGTTGAGCGGCGGCGTGGAGCGGCGGCGGCGGCCGCAGGAGGAGAGAGAGGAGGAGGAGGAGGAGGAGGCGGAAACCTCACCGGCCGGGACCACCGCCACCGCCACCGCCGACGCCGAGTCCGGCATCTTCTCCGGTGAATTTGAGGTGTGCGTGGAGCACGAAGCTGAGCTCGACTGGTTCTGCGGCACCGAACGGAAACTGATCTGCTCCCATTGCGCCATCGTGGGCCCCTGCCACGGACACACCGTGACCCCTCTGGCCACCCGAGTAACCGCAGTGAGGGTGAGTGTGCATCGGCCTGCTGTTAATACCTGTACTGTTCTGTAATGCGTTTGGCTGAAGTTCTGTAAACGTGTTTTCATTTAGTGAGGACACCCGCATGGGTACAAATGGCCCGTGAAGGTTACTTTCATTCGGTGTGAATGTCTTGTAACTTTAAGTTCATTCTTCCCTATTCTCGACCCTTTGACAGTTTCCTTTCACGCCGTGAAGCTCTAAACGTCTGGGTGTCTTTACTAGGGAAAATGTGGCTTTTCCTATTTCAATCACAAACATTGTTCAGAGTTCTAGCGGTCAGACGGGTTTGAGGAATGACCGATAAAGTTAGCAAAACTGTGTTGAAATGGAATATTCTTAATTCCATAATTTGTTCCTGGGTGTGCCGCGTTTTGCCTGTTCTTTTTCCTCCTGATTACTCGGTGTGGTATTTGAAAAGACAGGATTTTCTTGTTGCGTCTCCAGCTGATGTGTGTGTGGTTGTGTGTGCGTGTGTTTCTTTTCACCAGAACCGACTGGTGGATGTGTGTGAGAAAATGCAGCTGCAGGCACTGAGGATTGAGAGATTTATTGAGCAGACGTTGACAGACAAAGAGCGAAAACTTCAGGTGAGAAATATGCACAGACACTGCTGAGGTCTACACTCCCTCACAAGTATGTTTTGATGTTGGCTGGCTCGCCTTCATAAAGAAATGTGCATAATGTAATGTAGCTGACGCCTACAATGTCTCGTTCCACCATCTACTTGTCTAATAATTATAAGTTTAAATCGAAATCTCATTATTCCAGACAAGTAACATTTTGCAGTTGGTCACGGATGAGTTATAGACAAATAAAAAATGGTTATCTAGAACTTTGTAACTTGCTGATTCAGTCAATTTCTCACCACCTTGCAACAAAAGCAAAGTCGACCCATCTCATATTTATTAACCTGACCACAATGTGTGTCTAAAGAGGTCAGTGGACATGCACCTTTTCTCGGTTACAAGTTACCGCGAGTAAATCAAACCTCCAAAGCAAACAACGGAGGCAGGTACAACAAACCGCTCATCTCAGCAAGAATCAAATCAACAAGCCGATACTTATGCGCAAACCTAAATAAGCTCACTCCACGCGGTGGGAAGCAGGCTTCGGCTGGTCAGTGAATCTCTGTCCGTTTGTTTGGCGTTTATGGTTCGACACGGGAAGTCAATCGTGTGTAATTCATTAGCAACCGTGGGGCTTTTATGTTCACGAGATGGGCTCAAGCAAATATGCATCCGTGCACTCCCGACTTGCCCTCTTACTATGGACCTGCAATAACTGACATGATGGCAGCAGAAAACATGTTTTGTGAGTTCAACACTTTGCTCACCAGCTGTCGTGTCTGCTGGTTGCTGCTGAACAGATCACAGTGGACATTTAGAGCTTTTCTATTTTTAATAGCTACGAAGCTCCGTGAAGCCGACGGGAGCTGCAGGTCCACAGGATAACTGCCACATTGCAACCTGCTTGTTCAAATTAAAACATCCATTGGTTGTGGCTTAATATTCTCCATCTAATTCTAATGTGAAGATGTCAGTTTGGGCTCTAGGAAAGTTTAATTGTTATTTTGTAGATGAAACAGTTTGTTAAAAAAAAAGCTTTATTGCAGGGTTCAAAGCATGTCTTATCCTAACCCATGAGGGTCTGCACACATTTGGGAACATAACAACTACAAAACCTCAAAGGTCAACCTTCTGCCGTGTGTCATGTTGACATCTCACTGTCCCTCCCGTCCCCCCCTTGGCGTAGTTGGCGGCGACCAGCGCGAGGGAGCAGGTCTTGGCTCAGGTCGGCGCGGTGCGTGAAGCCCTGGAGGAGGAGGAGCAGCGTCTCCTGGAGGAGGTGCAGAGAGAGGAGGAGCGGGTGGAGCAGTGCCTCCTCACCCAGAGAGCCCACTGGAGCCAGGCGTTGGCGAGTCTGACGCAGACGCGCTCGGGCCTGGTGCACACGCTGACGCACACGCCGGACGGCCAGCTGGTGGTGAGAGACGGGGCATTTTTCATCAGGAGGCTCGGCGACGACCCGGGAAGCTGTTTGAGCGATAAGAGGAACTTGTGCTTGAAACCCAGTAACGTAAAAGGCTCGTGACTTTTTCCCCTTCCTGTCTTTCAGACGAGTGTCCAGGAGATAGCCGACAGGTAACGCCTTGGCACGTGACGCCGATTTATTCAGTTTGTTTGCTCGAGACGCCTCAGAAGGTGACGTCTTCTCTTCTCCGGCTTTCAGGGTGGAGGAAGCCGACGGGGTCGGGGAGCCGTGTGACACGGAGCAGCTCAGCCTGACCAGAGGCTGCAGTGACAGCAGGCTGCTGAGGGGCCTGTGGGCCAGCGCCGTGCTGCTGGGGCCCAACGGTTAGTCTGTATTATAGTTGCATATCAATCCAGAATCGCACAGGCTTATTACATACATAATATACACATTTATCTACGTAGATGGGTGGTTTTGTATTTTTCTCCTTGGTCGCAAACGGCATCATAGAAGTCCTCGCACAAGTTTAAATAAGTCTGAACATGGGTGTAAGTACATTTAGCAGAAATCAAGTGTTGTTCGTGTAAATCTGGAGGAGCACGGCCTTATTTTCGCCTTTTATGTTTAACATCCTTAAGTGTGTGTGACAAAGAGCCATCTGCGGCGTTACAGTAGAACAAAACAAAAGTGTTTTATTAAAGTAGAAAGAATTTTCACGCCTCCTCGAAACGCATCTGCTGTCACTAAAGCGTCCGTTTGTGACGGCGGATCTTTTCTCTTCCTCCAACAGCTTACGGGTCGTCTTCTCTGCGGTTCGACGAGCGCACGGTGAGCCCTCTGCTGTCCCTCTCCGACGACCTTTACACTTTGACCTTCTCCCCCAAAAAATCTCGCCAACTGCCCCAGTACGACCCGGCGCGGTTCGACCGCTGGCCCAACGCCCTCGGCTCGCTGTCCGTGTCCTCCGGCACCCACAGCTGGGTGGTGGACGTGGGCCAGAGCGGCGCCTTCAAGGTCGGGGTCTGCTACGCCTCCCTGGAGCGCAAGGGCTCAGGAGACGAGGCGCGGCTGGGCCAAAACGAACGGTCTTGGGTGCTGTCTCACTACGACGGGGACTACTCCTTCTGGCACGCCGGGAAGAAGGAGCCCCTGCAGGTGGCCAGGAAACCCCAGAGGATCGGCCTGCTGGTGGACTGGACCAGTCAGACGCTGTTGTTTTACGAGGCCGACTCCAGTGCCGTCCTCCACTCCGTCACGCATCAGTTCGGCGCCCCGCTGCTGCCGGCGTTCGCCGTGACGGACCGCAGCATCACCATCCTGCATTGACGCAAAGCGCGCTCCGCCGAGAGGGAAAACAACAACCACCGTGAACATGTGAAGAAATGCCTTTCTGAAATGTGCGATCAGCAGCCAAACGTCCTCCATCTGGCTATTCAGTTATGAAAGGCGTACGTTTCTATTTATTTGTTTGTTTTTCAGTTTTAATGATTCAAAAGATTTTATTTCAGAGATGATGAGACAATTTTACAAGCTTCTTGTTTGACTGACAATGGTGTTCAAATCTTATTAATAGCATCAGCATCAGGAATGTTTAGAATGAAGTATGAAAAAGAGTATACATAATATATATAATTATAATTACTAATAATGTAGAAGAATTACTACAGAAATACTTCAAATCATGTATGAATGTTATATGCTCAGCTAACCAATTATTACATTTTAAATGTAATCATTTCTGACTCTGCAATAGGCCTTTTTGATGAATAGGATTTGTGATTTCTGTAGCATTATTGTACGATCAGAGCTGAAATCAGTGTGTTTGTGTTTTTATGCCACAGCAGCATTTTGTTGGTCTGCATTTGAGAATGTAGTACTGTTAAGTACAGTAAGTAGTACATTGCAATATCAGGTGTCCTGCAGGAACTTAGCAAGAAGATCACTTTAAATTGTTACATGTTGTGTTGAACTCAGTAGTCCAGGACCTGGCAATATAGTGAAAGTTCTGCATTGGAAATGTTTTTTTCAAATAAAGTATGTAAGTAGAATCATGTACTAAAGGTATTCATAGTAGCGTAAAATGCCCTCTATGTGACCGTTTCTATTGTATATCACTTATTATATTATTATCAGGCACTAAGCAGCATTTGACTTGTCAACAAGCCATAAATATTTAATTGGTCTCCTGCTCATATCAAGCTATATGACAAGAAAGGATCATCTTTATTTAACTATCGTTTATTATGTTGACATTGACAAACTCGCTGACTGCCACCCGAACCGAGAAAAATCAACTCACTCGCTAAGTTAAATGATGCATATTTATTTGGGATATTATTGAAGCGCGGTGAAAATCAAGTCAGTTGCCATGGGCATCCATTGAGCCCAGCCACGCGACTCAAAGCCGTGGCAAATTATTATTATGGATTTATCTGGGGAATACATTTTCAAACAATTTGGTTGTAGAAAGTCAGAAATGGCATCACAATTTGCAGATCCAAAGTGACATCTTCCCAGAGCTTGTCTGTCCAAACCTCAAATTTATGAATAAAAGGTGGACAGAAAACCACCAGAGGGCAGTAATGTCAAATGAATTGTTCCCATCTTCACATGTGCACACAAGCCTTCAAGCTTTGACCTCCTCGTGTGCTCAGGCTGCTTTCTCAGATGAGAAACAAGCAAGTGCGGACTACAATCGGAGAAACCACCACGTAGTGAGACGTGTTGTAGAGATCTGGTATGATTCAAAAGGAGCAGGAGGAAAGGCAGTGAGTTAAAACTGAAGCAAAGGGGGGGGGACTATGATCCAGTAAGGGCCTCACTGACTCATCAGTATTATTTTAAATACACGTTTGAATAGTTTGTGATCACAATGTCGCACCTTCTGATCATTCTCGTAAATCAAGAGCTGTGTGGAGCAACGCCTCAACAGCCAGCCACCTCAAAAGCAACAGCCGTTGCTTTGTGAGCCTGGTGATCATCGCAACTGAAAACAGGATGTTCAGTTTGCAGCCTTAAATAAAGAAATGAATGAACAAAGACCAAGATTTTGGAAGAAAAAAATTGGGATTAATCTTCAAGGTCAAATCCTAAAGTTCATGCAGTGTGACTTTAATGAGATCATCAAACGGTGTTTAACACAATTGATATCTTATACACCTGCCAGCCCACACACAGACAGACACTGACTTCCAGCAATTGTCCCCATTACTGTCAAAATGAGGCCACATTGACCAGGTATGTGATAAGGGGCAGCTGCTGTTTTCAGCTGAGTGTTTTTAAGCCAACACCTGCTCCTTTCCCAACCATAAAGGTTAGCTCAGCTGCATGTCTACAGGATGTGGATTATAAATGATTAGACAGCAGTTCTAAACGAGAAACAGTACAAAAATACCAATTTAACTTAATTATATCAGACAAATGCCAATATTATTTACATATTTAACATACATTTTATTTATTTTTCTTTTATGATACAAACGACCTCTTCAACCAAGTCTGAGCAGAAATGACTTCACACTCCAAAGTCAATGACACGCCAACGTTCGGCTGTTGTGAAATCCTCGTTCCTTTCTTTCCTTCATTCCTCAGATGTTTCTTCTCTTGGTAGCAGTGAGAGTGACGGGAGGGGTCTGTATGTTGAGCTCCTGTCGGAGGTCTTCGATGCTCTGCGCCCATCGTCTCTCGTAGAAGATGCTAAGAACGCAGCGGGCCCGACGACCATTCTGCAGAGCCCAAGGGCCCAAGGACGTGAACAGCGACTGCAAACGGCTAGAAGGAGAACAAAGGTTCAGCATGAAAGGGATGCTTTTTTTTTTATCTCTAATGAATTAATTCCCCTAAAAAAGGTACAAGGAAGTTCAGTTACTAAATGAGGAAGAATTTAGGATTGACGGGTAGGACACTGTTCCGTCATTTGTTCGTAATAACAGTAACAGTGATGTACATTACAGTGTTTCATTGGTGTGTACTTAATGTGGTACTTCACATAAAAGCCAAACAAAAACCTAAGGAAAGTTCACTATGAGCTCATCAGGCTGCATTGACATCGTTGGGGAAATGCCCTTTAATGTTTAATTATGTACTGAATGATGTGTTGAAACTCCGGTGTTACCTTGCATTCAGCCGAAGAGGCCCCAACACAGCTCCCAGTGCACACATGGGAAGCCCAGTCTGAGCAGCTTCAAACCACTTCACTGCCACTTCACCTGAAAGCAGCCAGAAAAGTGAGGAAAAATACATATGCAGATAAAGTTTGAAATGGTCAGCAAAATAAAAAGCTCACAGCAATTTATATATTATTTATATATATTGGTGTACTAATTTTATATATATATATATATATATATATATATATATATATATATAAGAAATGACCAGATGTGAGCAGAATTCGGAAGCCCGACTCACCGAGCATGTTGGTGGGCATACCCAATAAGGTATGCAGCAGATCATGGACCTCCCTGTATCTCTGCATGACGTAAGCTAGCTCCTCATCGTCTACAAACTTCACGTCTGCCCTCGAGTCGGGGGTCACATGCTGACAGAACAGGAAAGTGAAAGTGTGAGTGATGAAGAAATAGAAACTTATAAGTAGGATTCTGAGGAAATGTGTGTTTTCTCAGGTAATCGCTCTCCAAGCAACACTGAGACTCACATTATCCTCTAGAAAACGAAGGTATTCTCTTCCAAGAGAGCCGTCAGGCAGAGAGGCCATTTCTTTTAGATCAAGTGTACTCAGCCGGATCCTTGGCCTTTCTCTGCAACGAGCAGTGAGACACATTTAAACGTGACTCACTGGAGAAACAGTTCTGTTTAAAAGAGCCGAATTCAGGCACTCACGCAAGGATTGTGAAGCCCTCGGGGTCGTTTCTCATCTTGTCCCTGAGGTTCATCAACGCCCGGTGTCCTGTCGTCTCTCCGAGCACTGCCACCATGTCTGTGGAGTTCCATGCAGGGTTTCACATATACACATTCACATTGTTGCTGCTAAACCTACAATGTATTGCTTGAGCATAACGCGCATTTTGATTTAAAGATTATAAAATAGATTAGGATAAGAATTTGCAGTTAACATGTATTTTGTCTTGAAGTGAAGTGAGGAATATGACTCAAATGTATTTGAGTTGAGTTCACGTGGTCTAGTCATCAGTGGGAGTATTAGTAAGCCTTTGGAAATAGCCGTTTATTGTCTGAAACAATGTCTGGTGGAAATTCTGAAGTCTGACCTTGTCAGGGTTATCTTTGTCTACAGAAAACAAAGGTTGAACGGAATACCAGCATTACAAGTTATGTGTATGGTTAGAATTACCTGCTGGTTTACCAGGCGGGAGGGAGGGGGAAAAGACCCCTGCAGGCTCTAGACTAAATGTTGAATGACAGCTGTTGGTGCACTCTTCGCTTTCATGTTTCAGAGAAACTGGACTGACATTTGGACTTGCTTTGCATTTACTCTCATTTCTGTTTCCAAAATACTTTTTCAAGGCTTTACTCAAACACCATGTGGGAACAGAAACCTCGGTCACAAACCCCAACCGTCAGATGTGTCATTTACTCAGGCCCAAACTTTTGTGTTCAGTTGGAATGCAATTTTTATAGAGATGAATTTCACACAGTTCACTCTCAAAGCAAATAACGGTACAAAAAAAGACTGATTTATTTAGGTCTGAAAAAAAAAAAAAAAAGGCAATACATTTTGTTGTATTGGCCATGATGGTCATTCATTTTTGACCTTTAGAAAAAGGCATCTTTTGTAGCAGTCATCAGCAAACTCAACATACTTAAAGGTTTTCATAAAAACAAGTAGTAAACTCTGGCATAAATCGCCAGTTTAGAAAATATAGAATAATTAGTTTTCATTTTTGTATTGGAATGATGTACTTCATTATTTAAATGTATTTATTCTCCATATCAGCCAAATAGGTTATGATTGATTTATTATAAAGTTTATTATTAGCAGTTTTCCACTGAGCTGAGCTTTTTAAACATATTTGACTATACTTATTTTCATATGTAATTGGGCTGCTTATATTTCTGTCCATTTGTGGACCTTTTAGGATAAAAAAAAGGTCAAACCGGGCTGTTATATGTGACAATGGAAAAGAAACGAGAGCAAGTCTCACCATGTCTGTAGGGGTCATGTAGTGCAGCCACACCGGACCCAACAGCCAGCAGGGTCTTCTGGAGGGCAGTAGTGTGGATATGACCGGGATACAGACCCTCATAGCAGCGGTCTGTGAACACACTGGTGCTGCCGTGCACCCGCTTCACACACACTGCTTCAGCAGCAATGTGGAACACAAACATTTACAAAAAAGAAAAGACAAAAAGGCATAATGCAGTAGTTCATATTTATTGTTCTCATACAAAAATGACAGTCAACATGCCGCACAGAAAACCAAACGTTTACCAATGCAGGCAGTGGTGCAGGACACACACTGGGCTCATGTCTGAGATCACGGGTGAATATTAGTTTGTGAAAATGTAAGTAGAAGTGCATCTGTCACAGTGTATTCCTCCTCAGCTAACGTTAGTGCGCACAAGACAAGCAAAGTTAATTAAGGCAAGTAATCATAACGCAATTGACCGTTCGAAGTTCGAAGTTAAATTATGATAAAAGTAACGTTACTCATCTGATAATCGAACGGAACGCTAACATATATAACGTCATATCGAGTAGTCGAAAGGATACGCGAGCTAACGTCATTTTCACCCAGTTATTGTGGACAAAATAAAAATGAACTTTCCATTGCTTTACATACAAGCTAATTGTTGACATAGGAAACCACATTGACAATTAGCCTGATGCTAGCGCACTAGCTAACGTTACATAGCGTTTATCTGAGGGCTGTGCAGCCTCTGGTGACGGATTTAACAACTAACGTTTCGAATTTCTGTATTAAAATAGTGAACTAACATCTATGTACTGGTGAAGGGGTGTTCCAGTTAACGCACAGCCAGCTGAAGAGACTCATACCTTTGGGGGTAAAAGTGCACTGTAGCCGACTAAACCTCCAGCAAGATCGACCGAGCGAGGACAGCGACATACTGGACGCCAGTGCGCATGCGTCACTTTATCACACTGACTTTCTACACAGTGCCGTTGGAAGGAGAAGGAAGGGCGGGGCTTGACAATGCGCGCGCTGATAAAGTCCCTCGTATATTCGACCCGTTGCCTGAAGGAAGCTGAAGTAGTGGCGACGCGATGGTAAACACGGCTCAGTCTGACAACAAGGTTACACACGTTTAAAGCCAAGCCGGTGTTTCTGTTTTACGGCAGAAACACCATCTTTTTTTCAGCCGAATGAGCAAACGGACCGAAAAATGATGCAAACCTCTAGTGACCCGAACACGTCCGAACGGGCGGCTGAACGCGGTGTGAGTTCACGTCAGCCAAACGGCCTCACACGCACCGATAAGTGTGATAAACCGGCGGTCAAGCTCAACTCAGAGGTAAAAGTAGAAGCATTGCTATAATAAGTCCAAGTGTAGCTGTAGCTGACGGCGCAGGGAAATGATACAGAACTTCCCCGTGTGTTTCATTTAAGCTGGTTCAGGCGCGTGACGTGGATGTGGGAGTCAACCAGCTCAGTATATCTGCCTGCGACTCAAACGGGTGTTTTTTTTTCAAACACACTTGTTCGCATTGGGTGAGTAAAACTTTTCGATATCCTCGCTCGAGATGATTAACGTACAGACGCACATTTTTGCGGAGAGGCAGACAGACAGACAGACACACACACAGACAGACACACAGACAGGGGTGAGGCTGGTGTCTTTTTCTTTAGCCTGCAAATGGCTGCTGCTGCTTCTGCTGTTGGTGGTGAAAGCAGCGAGGGACGGTCCGTGTTTGGCGACGCTGAAGGAGAAGCTGTGGAGACTGGACGGACAGAACGGCGCTAATGGTGCACACAGCTTCGTTTCGATTGTGTTGCTTCTTTTTAAGAAGCTTTGCACAAGTGTGACGTGAAAGTCTAGATCCTGTCCGCCTTTTGTTGTTTAGTTTTCGTTTCGCGGAAGCAGGGCTGCAACTGCTCTACTACTTCTGTTCTCTCTCGCTGTCATTTTTCAGAGAGGTTAAATATTACATATTCAAATTGAATGTTTAGTCTTTCTCAGGAACGTGTGCATAAATCAGCATATGCTTCCTGCATCATGCTTGATTTCTTTGTGGAGGTTCTGCACACTTTTATTAAATTATTGTTCTCACTGGGTTGGTATTTTACTATCATCTTAAACTTAAAGATCAATAAACTAAACTAGTGTTTGGGTGCATGGATGCCCTTAATAAAGGTTGTCTCATTCCCCACTCAGCGAGGTTATGAAATCAATTTGAACTTTAATTCCATTTCAACACACAAGTTTCGTAACAGTTTTACTATGTATGGTATTTTGCAACAATGCGATTAGTCATCTTCTGCTGGGTGTGATGATGTGATACGCAATCAGAGAATGGTTCCAGTGAACATATGGTATCTTCATGAGAAGAAGCAGCAGGGTTTTTCTCAGAAGGGAAGGATGTGTGTTTTCGCCTTAAACGGTATTCTTGTTGAGGTTCACTCGATTGAGTCTACAGGGTGGAAGGAGACACATTTATCATCACAGATCGTTCTTCTTGAATATTCACTGCCAGATAACCAAGGGTGCTTTTTCACACACCACGTGATGGATTCATTGGAAGATTATTTCCAAGTATTCATTTTGTGTGTTGACATATAAACTCATTTTGGCTTCGTTGGAAGGTGAAAATGAAACCTTTTTTTAAGAGGACGCATTTAGGTTCGTCAGTGGTTTTCACTTCCCTCAGTCAAAGACAAAAGACCATTTGGTTTAGTTGGCTCAGTAGATGTATGTATAATTGTGTATAATCTGCATAGCTACTTGGTTTTGATCACTGAGACCCTTATAATCTTACATCTCTGTTTGGGGAGATTTCCTATGTCTGGGAAAGGGATTAAATAGTTTGAAAACAAAAGAAGATTCCTTAAGTGGAGTATCCAGATGTTTCCCTTTGAAACCACAGTTTGGTAGGCTTATATCTGCCTCAACTGTGTGTGCGGTCTTTTCCTACAGAGGCACCTTTCTTCCAAAACATGTCCCCAGGATAAATAGTCTCTTTTGTAACCAAACAATGCTATTTTTGTTCAACATTTATTAAATAAATAAGTATGAACCGACAGCTTTGTTATCTCTTCATCCTGTTTGCTTCCCTTTTATACAATGTGTGACATTTGAACTCCTGAATGGTGAATGCATTGTTGTTTCAAAACCCTGCACAAAGCTATTTGGCTTTTTGCAGTCTTTTTTAAACCAGACTACATATTATCATGCAGCTTTGAAGCTATTTGCAGATAACAAGATATATTTCAAGGTTGGTGGTGGCGTAATGTACTCATCTAGTACATTACTCATCGATCTAGTATTTGTGGGGGTGTTGAAAATGTTGAAAGCTATCGTGACATCTTGTGGTTCATGTGAAAAGCACACCGCGCCCCTTTCCACACCCATTACTTTGAAATGATGAATCATATATTACAAACTGCACAAACATTAATGGAGATGACATATAAAATAAAAGGTATGAATGTTTTAAGTTGTCTTGTCGCTAGGTAATTCTACCACAAGCTGGTTGCCGTGCCCGTTGTGTCAGACTGGAGGAAGTCATTGCCACAATAGGTTATTTCGCCCGACTGCCATTGCATCGTACTTCTGCCACTGCTGATTAGTTTAGTACCTGGCCAACTCCCTGGTTAATCTGATTAATACGTACAGTACTTGTATTGTTTCTGAGAAGGAAGCTGATAAGGCCCTTTCCCCTCCACTGTATTTGGTTAACCGTTGACAAAAAGGCTCACAACGAGTCAAACTGGCTTCAACCGCCGAAGCTTTTTGAATGTGACGAAGAGGTGGAAACTCTGGTCTCGCCGGTTACAGATTAGTATTATCGTCCATAGTGCAACGGACCACAATGCTAAGCTTTTTCAAAGCGAACCAATGCTTTATTAGGCATAAAGACTGATCTGTGTGCTGATGTGTGTATTTTGTGGGCGGGGGCATGATTGGAAGCATTATGATCCATGTCAAAACCAGGGGAATAACCACAGTGACGGATTGAACACATGGTGGTCCTGTGAGAGACCACTTTGGCTTCGCATGCATCTCCTGAACTTGTCAGCTGTTGCGTTTGTTAAATGCTGTACTTTGTTCCCATAGTATCAGAGATCCTGTTTAGGATACATTGCTAACCCGTCTTTGTACGCAGATCGTGAAGGTGGTTTATTATGACGCCTTTATATGCGTTATCTAAAGTATAAAACCCAGAGATGGACCCTCTATGCAGCAATTTGTCAATGTGAAACTTAAATACGCTGTTCAAAGATCTTTCACCCGGTTTTCCAACACAGCCGAAATGTACACGGGTTCCCAATGACGAATCAGCAGTACGCCCTTATTGTACCATCTTGTGACTAGGATGCTTCCCATATTGCGCCTTCTGTGCAACTACTGACTTTCCCATTTGCTGACTATTCCAACAAGCGTACCTCCGACGCTCTTTCCAGCTGCTGAATGTTCTATTCATTCACAGGGTAGAGCAACAGATTGATGGAGAAGAATGGCCCGCATCTCGTTGGACTGCCCCGTCTCCCTGCCAGGGATCCCCCTCAGTGTCCTGTCTGTGCCCATGGAGAATAAGTACAAATGTCAGCAGTGTCTCCTGGTCCTGAGGAAGCCCGTCCAGGCTCAGTGCGGCCACCGCTTCTGTGTACACTGCTTCAGGCAGCTCACCAGGTAGACTGGATGTCCTCAGAACTCCTACGGCCGTGTGAAATGCTCCCCCCCCCCTTCTGAAACCCCCCCACCCTAATCCTTCCCTTCTCACCGGACCTGCTTCAGCACATGCTGTGTTCCTCTCTCTGCTCGCCTCTGGGGAATTTTTTGAAACCCAAGACTTTTTGTTTTTGTCCTGAATCACAAGGATCTGACCATGCTGACCCATTCTAAAGGTGTCTGTTTCTTTTCTACCTCTTTCTCCTGTCACTGACGCATTGTGAGTTTGCCACGAACACATTGGTCCGTCGCCGCATGTGGGGCGATACTTTCACATTATCGTTAGACATGAGGTGACAATGCAGGAAATGTAATCATTTTAACACCATATATTAACCAACACCTTTAACTTATATGTGATGTCTCATTTTGCTAACAGCAAAATCACTTTATTTTCACTTGACTCAAATAGTTTTTACTGTGAATAAATTTCCTTTTACATGTCAGTACTTCTTTTTAACCGTCACACCACATGGGAACTTGAGGGGTTTTCATGTGACGTGTTTAAAAACCACTTCTGCCTCTACATGAGAATAGTTCTCATGTACTTTTTGTTTTGTGTGTGTTTGTCTTGTAAAAAGCTTCAACTTTTTTTTTCTGAATTCAAGAATTTCCCATGATTGCCAGTTGCATTTTTATTACAGCGCTATAAGTCACACACCTGTTTTGTTTGTCAGTTATGGGCCAAAGCCTTGTGACGCCTGCCGCCAGGAGGAGATATACGAGGAGCCCATTTCAATTCTCAATAGTAATGAGGTAAGTTCCAAATAATGTCATTTGTAACCCCAAATGTTTGTTTGATGAGGCATCTTCTTGGTCTGCCATTCCCCTCTCAAACGATAGCTATGTGAAACCAGGCCAACAGGAGTTTCCTCCCCCGCACAAAACCATTTATGTCTGTTAGCTATTCCCTATATTAATTTCTCCCCCCATCTGTTCTTTGTTCCCCCCCCCAGGCGTTTCCAGACAATGCAGCCGGAAGAGAGATAGCGAGTCTGCCCGCCAAGTGTTTGAACCAGGGCTGTGATTGGACAGGCTCCATTAAAGAGTACGAGGTAAAGTAGTGGGTCAGGCTTGTGTTTTGAAACACTGGGTGGTTTTACTGGCTTCTGCTTGAGCGATCGTACACGCTGTCCCTGGTGTGACCTCGAGGGTCGGTTTTCTCCCGCTCGAACCTTCTGTGTTAATTATTTTTATTATAGTTAATTACGATCACCCGGAGTTTACCGTGACATGTAACGTGGGCGCATTGCATGCATTGCAGTAATGCTGAAATGAGTAACAGGAAGTGAAACTTAAACATTCAGCTGGAAAGTCCCTGCCTCACCCGCTAAGATTACAACAATAACTCAGTGGGAAAGTCCCCGGCTATGAAGGCCCTTCAACCCAGACTGCACTGCTGATAACAGCATGTGATCATGAAACTGGGTCCAAGGCTGCACCAGTTCACATGGAAGCTATTCAATATATCCTGTTCATTATACATAACAGGAACTCTATCAATGGAACACATTCAGCAGACGTACTGTGGTGGATATGATGACAAAAAAAGTCCCTCTGAATCATAAGTTGCCTCGTGTCATCGTCATCGCTTTTTAGTTTTGTTTGTACTGTCAATATCTGTGCAGGGCGAGTCTGTTTGTTAAAGAGGGGGAGTCATTCTGTTGGAATAGGATGTTTGTAGGTCTGTTTGTACGCATGTACCGAGTAACCCGATCTAGATCAGACTTGGGACAGGAAATGCTGAAGCGATGTGTTGGCAGCAAACTTACCTGACGCCGTAGGTCAATGATTGCATGACTTGCTGATGTGGCTCTTGCTGCTGACACCGTAAAGAGACAGCCGACGCCTATTATTATTATTATTATTATTATTATTATTATTTTTTTTTTTAATGACCATGAGGTGAAAGTGTGCCATAGCGGCATTTTGCAGTTTCCGAGGAGGAGTCTGTGCACCCACGGCGGGACATCTTCGTCACTGCGTTGGAGTAGCGCCACACGCCCAAAATGAAAGTAAACAAGGCATTGTCTGAATCGGAAAGCCGTACGAGATGATTCTCATCAGCGGGTTTTATTTTTGGGGTTTGAGATTTTCCAGTTTTATCTTATTTGAGTAGTGAGCGGCCAAAGCGGAAAAACAAGCTAGCCTACCTGATGAGAGCTCTGTGGCTGCTGCACGCGGTCTGTAGTCTGACTGGAGAATCACTTCCTCTTCCTAAACTCCGCCTATGGATCCGCCCCTTTAATTTGTCCCTCTTTTCGGATGGGTTGCGCAACTTTTTTTCCAAAGAAAAGAATTTCGATGCTTCACTTTTTTTATTTTAGTGCTTCATATTTTTTTACTTATTCCCTCCAGATTTTGATTTAGGAAGGTGAATTATTTTGTTTTTTGACAAACATTACAAATAATTCTAGGAATGTTATAATTATTTACAGTAAAGTATGACTGTCGTTACTCAATTAATAATGAAGTTATGTGCTTTTTACACCCAGATGATTGGATAAATTGGATTTCTGGGGGTTTTCCACCAGCTTTCAGTACGTCTCGTACCACACAGGACAACGTGTTCAGACGTTTGCTCATAGCGTTCATTTCAACAATGATTGAACAACCTGAAAAGCTTTTGTGACGTGGTTGAACATCTGCCGTGTTTATTACACCATCTGCACACAAGCAGGCTGTTACACCAACTGCTTTTTTTCTTCTATGAAACAGCCGTTGCCGGGACACCTGTTGGCAGTGCGAATGCAGTAATTGTATCCGTCCTCCATCTTTAGGCTCAGCATGAAGGCCGCTGTGAACTGGAAAGGATGCAGTGCGAGGCCTGCAAAATGTCCGTTCTTTGTACGGACAAGGACAGACACAACGAGAGAGAATGTGAGGAGAGAACGCTCAACTGTAAATACTGCAAAATGACCTTCAACTTTAAAGAGATCAAGGTGAGAGAGAGGGAGACGAGCGTGTGACAAACGGTTGTTTGATTAAATGAACACAAAATAATATTGTTGTGTTGTGTTTTAGGCCCATGATGAGATCTGTCTAAAGTTCCCCTTACAATGCAAAGACTGTGGCAAGAAGAAGATCCCAAGAGAAAAGGTTGGAGCTCCTCAGAGTGCTTTTTAACGCTCCGCATTCAGTCCCATTCGTTTAAACATTAAGAATATTCTGAAAAAGATTTGACATGAAACCACAGTTAGCTTCTTTTTGCTGTACCTAAGCTTATGATATTCAGGAAATGATCTTGAGAAAACCTGCTGCATCGTCCTTGAACCATCCAGGATACATGAAAAGACAAACAATAGACAGAAAGTAGAAGTTCCTGTATTTGTACTTTGAACTAGATGAGCGGAAAATTCACAAAAAGGAACGTTTGAAGGAAACGCACATTTATAATTCATAAATTTCCTTTTATGAGCATGAGTTCCATTCTGAGTACATCGTGTTCTTCACTTTCACTTTTCAGTTTCAAGTTGATGCACTGATGAACTTCACCTTTATCTTCCTCTCTAGTTTAATGACCACAGCAAGTCCTGTGCAAAGTCAAAGAGTTCCTGTCCATTCAATGATGTGGGCTGCAAGTATATGGTATGTTAGACAATCCAGTCAAAGATACATTTGGCTTGTTTTCAAGGTGTTTTGATGACATTTTTAGCATTTGGGGAATTGTGCAGATTCACTTTATGTCCAAGAGTGAGATGAGAGGATTTATCAATCTCCAAGGTTACTGTGAAGCTACGTACGACATGATTAGCTCAGCTTGGAGAAAGGAATCAGGGACTAACAGCCAGCATGACTCTCTGCGAGTGTAACTAAATCTTCTAAAATGAGGAATGGAAAGAGTCCAAAATGTAATCCGCCCTCCCCGAAACCTGAACTGGTCTAGAAAGTCCCACAATCTGCCTCTGGTCTCCATGCTAAGCGCCCTCTGGTGATCGCTCAATGGAGCAGTTTTGATGGGTTTTTAACTGTGAAATGTAATAGAAAATGTAATTCTACAAGTATTCTTCTTATATTAAACGATTCATGTTATAAATGTTCATGTATAAAGTTAGGGTTTCAAATCAGGCGCTCAGGAGATCGAGTCCGAAAAAAAGTAGATGTTCGTGTTCTGCATTTACACAATCATATCTGACTATTTATCAGCACAGATACATATTGGTGATTTGAAAAATAATTGAAAACTGTCTCTTTGAGTCGTATCTATTTCACGGGCACACATTAAATAAAAGCCCCGTTGCGTTCCTCAGATGGAGAACGGGAAGCTGGGCGACCACGAGCACAGCAGCGCCGTGGAGCACCTGCGTCTGCTGCTGCCCCTGGTGCTGTCCTCGGTGTCCCTGGCGGGGGGCGACGCCGCGGGGGAGCTGCAGGAGGACTCCGGCCTGGGCCTGTACAGGGCTCCTGAGGAGGGAGTCGCTACGGGCGCCGGAGCTGCAGCCTCCGCGCTGTCCCTGGACATGGAAAAAAAGGCGAGTCTCGAGGGACTCGATGCTCTCGCGTCAATCGATGCCGAACGGCGTTTCTGAACGCGTCCTTTCTTTCTGCACAGGTGAACGCTTTAGAAAACATTGTGTGCGTCTTGAACCGAGAGGTAGGGCGCAACTCAGTGACGCTGGAGGCCTTCTCCCACCAGCACCGACTAGACCAGGAGAAGATCGAAAACCTCTCCAACAAACTGCTTCAGCTGGAGCGGACGGTGTCCATGAAGGACTTGCAGCTGTCCGCAACGGACCAGCTGCTGAAAGAACTGCAGTTCTGCACCTACGACGGGATATTTGTGTGGAAGATCTCCGACTTCTCGCGCCGCCGGCAGGACGCCGTGGCCGGCCGGACGCCCGCCATGTTCTCGCCAGGTGAGACGAGAGGCGCAGCCAGGGCACCGCCCGTCCTTTTCCAAAAGTCCCCCGTCCACGCGCCGAGGAGCTCGTGTGTCAGCTGAGGTCATGTGCGACGTGTTGGCAACTAGTCATGGGGAATTTCTCTTCACTACACCCATGTTGTTCTCCAGGGAGGGAACGTGTCACTCCCATTCTCACATGACACCATGCTCTCGTTAACATTGTGTATTCTCCCTCCAGCGTTTTACTCCAGCAAGTACGGCTACAAGATGTGTCTGAGGCTATACTTGAACGGCGACGGGACGGGCCGAGGGACGCACCTGTCGCTGTTCTTCGTCGTCATGAGGGGAAAGTGCGACGCTCTGCTCAAATGGCCGTTCAGCCAGAAGGTAGCGAGAAAAAAACTCACATTCTGCACGTAATGACCCGCAACAAACACCCCCGACGAACGGCTCGTAACCCCGGCTCCTGCTCTGTCCTCAGGTGACGCTGATGCTCTTGGATCAGAACAACAGGGAGCACATCATCGACGCCTTCCGCCCCGACGTCACCTCCACCTCCTTCCAGCGGCCAATCAGTGAGATGAACATCGCCAGCGGCTGCCCGCTGTTCTGTCCGCTGGCTAAGCTGGCGGGCAAGAGCCCCTATCTGAGAGACGATACCATATTCATCAAGGCGATTGTAGACCTCACGGGCTTGTGAGGGGTGTTCTGTGGAAGATGCACCTGAGCAACAACGGAGCAAACCAGCATAGTGGGAAAATGAATAATAATAATAGAAACACAAATATTTTATACTATATACTATCACTAATTATATCTTATATGGAATTATTATCATATCTAAACTAGACTTGAAGAATGTCATCAAGTGTCACATTATGACAAATACACAGGCATGTGTACTATTACAGGGCGGCTGTGTAGTGTTTCTGGACATCCGGAGGCGCTGCTCTGTGAAACCTCATGGAGCCTCATGGAGATTTTGCTGTTTCTCTCGATGCCTCGTAGAGTTACGACTGTAATTAGATCACGTAAAAAGTTAGTGTTTCAGTTCATCTTGGTTGGAGGGCTTAAAACTGTCAGCGCTTTAGTTTTAGTAACATTAAAGTGGCGATCTTTCAGATATCTGCAAACGGGATGGCGAAATTACTGGGGGGAAAATCCTGTATTACAAGAAATGGAACTGTCTGAAAACATTTTGGAAATATAGTAGGTTATTATGACATTTTGGAAACAGCCCAAAAATTCCAAAAGCTAAACTGAGAACAATGCTGTTCTTTCACTTAATGTGCCCTTGTTGGTATTCGGAGGAAAGCTGAAAATCATGTAACAAATATTTGTATCAAATACTCCGTATATAGTATCTACAATTTTACAATAACCGGTCAAACATCGGCCAAAGCCGCCTGGCAGAGGTGAAAGTTTCCCTTTGCACACGCTTGACTTTTAAACAGCGCAAACTGCCCCGTAAATTCAGTCCAAACTCACTTAGTCAATCCTATGAGAGTTTTATTATGAATATTTACAACATGACCGAAATGTTATTCGGAGCAAGTAATAGGTTTATTTTAACTTCGGGCAACTTCGGGCTGCACCATGAAGTGAAAGATGCCATCTTACAAAACTTACAAAAGAAAGTAGCACAAGGAAAATAATCTTCTCTAGTTTCTGCACCTCACGATCTCACTGATACTCGCTACATGGGCGCCAGCCATAGTCATGCACGCCTTTAATAGTATTCAGGTTACACAACATTTAGCCCAAATCCATTCTAGTGTTAATAGACATTATTAACCTAATATTTACCTTATATCATATAAAATGTATAATCTTATAGAAGCTTTATTCATAATTATAATAATTAGGAGTAAGCTAAAAACTTAATTTCTTATTGTTTTTTCCACTTTACTATATAATATGGATTCTACGTGTGTGTGTGTGTGTATATATACATATGCTTTATTAATACTCGAATGCTAATCACTTCATTAAGGGAGTTATTTGGTGTTCGCTATTATATTAAATGACTGGTGTATGAATTTGTGAATCTGCTTTTTTCTTTTTTAAATGCAGTTGTGTGATTTATTGCTCATAATGAACATTCATTATGTACAGCATGGAAAACATAAGTGGGTAAACAGAAAATATATAATATATATATATATATATGTATATAAGGATATAGGATGTCAAAAAAGGCCCAAAATTTAGTCAAGAGGGACAGCGAAGGCAGAAGTTAACAGCACAGCAAAATAACACATATGGGTGACTGGACAACGAGCAAAAGTAATAACATATTCATTTGAAAAATGCAACTACCGGCATGAAAATTGGAATGAAAGTTGTGTCACAAACAGAACGGCGTTCAGGGTTCATGTTCCGCTCAAGAGCGGCATCCCCTGGTGGCCCGAAAGAGTCGTCACAACACGAGCCCTTTTCCCAAAGCCAGCTTCGAATGCTGAGTTGGCCCACAGGAATTACCCACAAGTCATTGCAATGTGACCGTAGGAACGGGATAACCACTAAACGCGTGGAGACGTTAAAAAAAGATGACCAAAGAGGACGGCACGTGTGTGTTCAGACTGCCACAGTAAAATGTGTGCCTTTATATTTACTCATTTATTGATTACATTTTTATTTTGTCAATCAAGCTATTTTGACGAAAAAACATAAAAACATCATTTGAAATTACCTTATGAGGGAAGAGCTTGAATGACGTTCAAATCCGAGTCAAAAGTATGAAGTAAAACACCCTCAATTGTAAATCCTATTTTTTGACGTTTTCATGGTGACGTGACATTCGTATTTAGACCATTTCCGGCCCTCACAGACTCTCACGCTCCCCCCGAGGGATCAGGCCTCCGGGTTTATGGGGGGACGGTGTGATTGGGCCTTAGTATCCAAAAAAATTTAGTATCGTAAGAGTTATGAAAACTCACACTGTGTGTTGAAATAATGTCTTAGTATAGTATTTCCTAAAACGTCCTGGTAAATCACGGAATAGTATGTTAGAGAAAAAGTCATATTATAGAATGTCAATAATAAAGCTGGGTATAGTATGTTGAAAGAAGTCATAATGCAAGTTGAAAAAGAATCAATCAAAAGGAATGACATCAGTCAAAAGTCCCCAAAAAATCATCAAAAGTTCATAGTATAGTGTGTATAGTCATAGTATACGTCATAGTATATTACTGTTTCTGTAGTAGTAATATACTGTAGAATATAATGGTGAAAAAAGACGTAGAAAAGTCCCCATTTTGCATCCCGTTCTCCCTCACTGCGTCTCACCTTGTAAGGAAAGGAAGCAAGGAAATATGTTGTGTGGCATCACGGAGGCTTCCTGTCTGCGGCGTGTTCCCTGTTACACAAACAACGTTGAGCGTTCGTCCTGCGTCCTGTTTACGAGCTTTGCGCCCATTTACTTCTTCCTGGCAGCTTCATTGAAGCGCTCATGAATCCTCCTTCATTGCTCCTCAGAGCATAAATGAGAGAAGAATGGAATCTAACATTAAAAACATCATCGTACAGCAAAATAAAGAACAGAGAATTGCAAAAGAAAGGAGAATATACTATTAATCACCAGAGATATCATCCGTAGTGTAAATGTGTAACTTTCTAGTTAAAAAAAAAGAAAAGTATAAAGTGCACCATTAAAAAGCTTTTTTGGGGGAGCGTGGGGGTGAAAGTTAAATCAGACACTTGTGCAGATGTCCTGCCCTTCAGGGCATGCTGTTTATTTCAAGGCAGATTGAAAAAGACTTGAGAAGACAAGAAACATGATTGAAGAAATGGAGCTACAGCAGTTCACGACTTATGACACTCAAACATGGAACATTTTCCTTCTGCTGTTGGTAAGAATGCGATGATGATGAAGTGAATAATTCACACAGGCTGAAGATTCCACATGAAAATACAAACCAGTCAACTTTGACCAGGTAAATAAATATTTTAAATAATCAGAACCAGAATTCCTTCAAAAGCGATTGTTCAAATATCTACACAAGTACCTGAACCTCGAGCTAATCTGAAAAACCAGTGTCATGATTCATTTTTGTTTTGCTTTTGTCTGGTACCATTCCTTCCGCCAATGGAGAAGATGAAGGTACGTGGGGAAGTGAAGCGGTAACAAGGGTCGTGTAGACACATTTAAAAACAAATGAAAAACGAAAATGTTTTGAGTAGGAGGCTGGATCTTTTTTTTCTATTCATCTCCATGTCTCCGTCCTACTACCTGATATTCATCTGGACGGACACTTCATGTATTCAACCACTAGTATTTGGCCTTTGAAATTAATCCAACAGCAGCAAATGTATCCTTTAAGTTGTACAAAAAATTGATCGATGACTTGAAAAGTCTCGCAAATTTATATTTTTCTTTATTCTTCTTTGTTTATAAATCCGTTTTTCCAACAGAATGACCAGTTGAAATTGTTATAGTCGTACTCGGTGTATATTCAGGCCCCTCACACTCGATGATGGAAAAATGTTTTTTAATAAAACACACACACACACAGAGATTTATCTGTTGCCTCAGAGAATCCTTTGACAAAATAAAAGGGGAAATAAAAAGAAGTGTATAAATACATTTCCACATAACAGAAGCCCAAATAACGATAAGCTACTAGTGGTGTAACGGATCGTTGTCAATCCCTGGTCCGTAACGCACCCCCCCCCCCCTCATGGTTCGGCAGAAATGTGGGCCGCGTATTAATTACACAGTTTAATGTTAACCATCACAGTGTGAAATAAAGTTCAACTGAATGAGTCAAATGTGCGATCAGGAAATCAGCGTTTAGGCTTTTCTAGGCGCTGATCTCTGATTGCGCTAAATTGTGAACTGAGTTGTGTACCTTTATGAAAAAAAACAACTACAAATGACTGTAACCTAATAAACATGTAGACGGTTTGATGGTTTCCACTCTGTCTGTGATCGGATCCGTTGTACCACTATTTGCTACGCAGAGAACGTCTTGCTAACTGTTACCCATCGACTCTACATTACATCCACTACATTTAGTTACTCAATGATTCAACTTTGAACAGAGTGATCCATCATTTCTGGGAGGGGACAGAATTATGAACCGAGGCCGACAGCAGTAAAAGCAGCTAAAGGTCGTCTTCCCGTTTGGTTTCAAATAGTCTTTTCATTATCTGAAAAATAATTTTAAAAATTTGTTCTAGGGTGTTTACACTCAATAAATCAATTGGACAAATCCATTAATAAGTGAAAGTAATTCGGAGTTACAGCACATGACACCGGCGCTGATGAGTTTTCCCTCTGCAGGACTCTACGTACATTGACCCCTCCGGCGCAGGAGTCCTGACCTGTTCGTAGCCATGGTTACAGATAAAAAAACAAAACAAACACCTTTGTAACACATCTGGCCTTCTGTCTTGTGCATTGAGGTGTCCGCTCAACACGATCTCTACGTGTGAGAACATTTAATCTCGATCCCCTCAACAGAACAACACAGACTGGGGGGGCGTGTGTCTCTCCTTTGCTGGTGTGACCGCGCTCTCCTGTGTCGGGCCCCCCGAGTCCCCGCCTCCTCGTTAGCCAAAGACACTTAGCGCTGCTGGGCGAAGAAAATCACTGACTGTAACCACACTGTACACATATTTATATATATATTTTTATCTATATATATATATATATATATATATTCCCACCACATTGGAAGAGGGTCAAACCTCCTCCCCCTGCTCCGTCCCGGTGTTTCCCGCCCCGGCTTGTGGTTTCCCGTTCACGCCGCTCGAGGGCGCCGAGTTCTTGCCGCGGTTCAGCCAGGACGGCAGGAAGCTGCGGGGCCGCGGCGGGCGGCCGGGGGCCTGCGCCAGGCGGACCATGCGTGGCGAGCGCCAGACCTTGATGGTGGAGTCGTCGCTGGCGGACAGCAGCAGCTCCTGGTCGGCGGGGCTGAACGCGACCGAGTTCACCACGTCGTCGTGGGCCAGACGCGCCAGACAGATGTTGTAATGGCGGTCCCAGATGTAGCCGTGCTTGTCCTCGGCTCCGCTGCGGGAAGGGAAACGAGAGACGCAAGTCAGCGACGCCTCCGTGACGGGATTAATTCAACGTGATTGGGAGGTCACGGGGTGGGTTACTAATGACGGAAGGACTAACTATTTCATTAATGAGCTTTTCTGAGGATAATTTCAATAATAGAAAGAACTTGTCCATCACAAGTGACCAGATGAATGGCTCTTTTTGTCCCACCGAAAGTTCAAAGCCAAATAAATTTCCTCTCCTATTAAGCAGTCCAGTTTTTTTTTACTTCACAAATACAGGAATTAATCCATTAGTTACCGTCGATGAAGGCAGTGAAGTCTTTGCTTGGAATTTAAAACATTAGCTGCATCCGTGGGGCCCCTCAGTCAGTGCAACTAGTTTCTATCCCAATTTTTTTTTTTTTTTAACTCTTTGTGATGATGATCACACAGAGCCGAGCTGATCATTTCTCACTCTGTCAAAAAGGAACATTTAATTACAATCGATTGACATGAGTTTTGGACAAGTGTATCTGCTACAGCTTCGAAGTGTAGGTGTAAATAAATGTTTAATACATTATTTTCTAAATACTTTTGCATGACAGCAGATGGAGGAAAATGAATGACAAAGGGCCACGAAAGTGCAAAGCTGCATCTAATCTCCAAAAACCCGTCGGCCGTTGGTCCCCCACCTGGCGACGAAGTCTCTGCTGACGTCGAGGAAGATGAAGAAGCACTCATCGTTAGGCGTGAAGGCTCGGTGAGCGCGCAAGCTCCTCCTCTCCTCCCTCAAACTCTTCAGGTCAATGACATGCAGGTCGATCTCCTCAGCGATGGGAGGGGGTGACATGGGGTCAGAAATCACACACCCGGCTGGCCAGGCACGACTATTGACATAAAGGTACCTGACGAAGTAAAGGAAAGGAGTCGATTCACGGGTCGATGACACACGCAATGTGAGAAATGTGGATTCTATGCTGTTTCAAGACTTTTAAAAGCAGCCTACATGAAAGCATACTGAACGCTTACGTATTTCATTGTATTACCTGTGGTCTGGAGAAAGGCCCATCCCAATGATGTGGCCATGGATATCAATCACATGGTCTAAGGAATCAAAGAACTCATCTGAACTACGCTCTTCCCCAAGTACAGGACCACAAGTGGTCATCTGGTCGGGCTTGATCCGCTTAATACCTGAAAGGGGACAAAGACCACAGCGTAAGACATGTGACACTTTATTTCCTGCATTACATACAGCCGTGGCCAAAAGTTTTGAGAATGGCACAAATATTAATTTTCACAAAGTCTGCTGCCTTTGAAACACGTGCAGTCATCATTCCTTTGCACAAAAAGGGCTTCACAGCCAAGGATATTGCTGAGAGTAAGATTGCACCTAAATCTACTATTTATCAGATCATCAAGAACTTCAAGGAATGCGGTTCAATTGTTGTGAAGAAGGCTTCAGGTCGCCCAAGAAAGTCCAGCAAGCGCCAGGATCGTCTCCTAAAGTTGATCCAGCTGAGGGATTGGGGCACCACCTGTGCAGAGCTTGCTCAGGAGTGGCAGCAGGCTGGTGTGAGTGTGCACAGTGAGGCGAAGACTTTTGGAGGATGGCCTGGTGTCAAGAAGGGCAGCAAGGAAGCCACTTCTCTCCAGGCAAGATTTCAAGGACAGACTGATATTCTGCAAAAGGTACAGGGATTGGACTGCTGAGGACTGGGGTGAAGTCGTTTTCTCTGATGAATCCCCTTTCAGATTGTTTGGGGCGTCTGGAAGCAAGCTTGTCCGGAGAAGAAAAGGTGAGCGCTACCATCGGTCCTGTGCCAACAGTGAAGCATCCTGAAACCATTTAAGTGTGGGGTTGCTTCTCAGCCAAGGGAGTGGGCTCACTCACAATTTTGCCTAGGAACACCGCCATGAATAAAGAATGGTACCAAAACGTCCTCGGAGAGCTACTTCTCCCAACCATCCAAGAACAGTTTGGTAACAAACATTGCCTTTTTCCAGCATGATGGAGCACCTTGCCATAATGTGATAACTAGTAATAACTAAGTGGCTCGGGGAACAAAACATCAACATTTTGGGTCCATGGCCAGAAAACTCCCCAGACCTTAATCCCATTGAGAATTTGTGGTCAATCCTCAAGAGGTGGGTGGACAAATAAAAACCCACAAATTCTGACAAACTCAAAGCATAGATTATGCAGGAATGGGCTGCCATCAGTCAGGATGTGGCCCAGAAGTTAATTGACAGCATGCCAGAGCGAATTGCAGAGGTCTTGAAAAAGAAGGGTCAACACTGCAAATATTGTCTCTTTGCATAAACTCTAATAATTGTCAATGAAATCTTTTGACACTTATTACATGCTTGTAATTATACTTCCGTATACCATAGTAACAGCTTACAAAAAGATCTAAGAACACAGAAGCAACACACTTTGTAAAAACCAATACATGTGTAATTCTCAAAACTTTTGGCCACGGCTGTACATATATATAAAATATATGCATGGTTGAGCTTGGAAGCGCTGTTACCTATCTGGTGAGGGGAGTAAGTAAGGCTGCCGGTGGTGAAGAGTAGGTATGTTTTGTCCTCTCCCTCTCCAGGCTCAGAGGGCTCCATTAGGGCGGCGTCGGGGGCCTTGGTGTGGGCTCTGCCCATCACCTTCGCCACATGGCTCTCAATCGCCATCTCCGTGTGCCCGACATTTTTACAACCCTAACGGGAAGGAAGAGAAGCGGAATAAAGAGGCTGATTGAAGAGCAGTATTACATTTTTCAAAAAAGCATCAGGGGACCTCGACCTTTCCATGTAACTCACCTGTAGAACGTGCCCCAGGCCTGACATGGAGGGCTGAGAGAAGCGATGGGCGGGAAGCCTCGCTTCCTCTCCACCCGTCTCTTCATCCTCGTCTTCCTCGCTGCCGGATGTTCCCAGATCAAAGAGGAGGGGCCGGTGCTGCTGCTGCTGCTGCCCCTTCTGCCTCCGGGCCTGGGACTGGGCCTCGTAGTCCAGCAGCAAGTCCGGGTTGTCATGACGACGGCAGTGGGCCACCATCACCGTGCGGATGGTGCTGGCGTTGACGTTCTGGATCTTGAAAAGGCGCTTGACCACGTTGACGTTCTCCGATTCAACATCCTGACGGGGAAAAGTAAAAAAAAAAACAACAACAAAAAACACTGAGTTCTTCTTTTGTTGTGTTTTTAATTGAAGTTCATTTCATTTTAACCGACATGACCAAAGAGGCTCGGGCTGCCGCGCCTGCCGGGTCTCACCTGGAAGGCTTTGTTGAGCCAGAGCACAGAGCAGGACGTCATGTTGCCGATCCAGTGCAGGTTCCCAGAGATCAGGTGGGTCTCATTCAGCCAGCAGCCAAACACATCGTACGGCTTGTTCCTTACACGCGACAACAGTGTGTAGTTATCTGCAGTGTGTTAAGACATGTGAAAGAGTTTGAAAACACGCACACGCTGACTCTGATTTAACAAGAAGACAAACGCATATGTGGGACTGTGGTTCCTGGTTCTGTACCCAGACTGATGACAGCGATTTCCCCAGACGAAGAGTGGTGCGGGCCCATGTAGACGCCAGACACCAGCAGCAGGGTGTCGTCAGCGTTGAACTGGGAGAACTGGGTGTAGCCCCAGTTAAACTGCCGCATGCTGGAGCTGTGCACCATCGCGATATTACCGTCTAGCCGCTCCGTGTCCCACAGCTGCAATCAAGAAGAACCGCACTAAAGTTTGAGTCAAAGTGAGTTTGTTATTATTTATCTGTGATCAAGTGACAGATTTCCCATGTTAGTGTTGAATGAAATGCCAAATGTTTTGGCTCTTTTTGTCTTTTAACAGTCAAATTTATTTTGTTCAGTTTTTGCCTATTTTTAGGTTCACTTCACATTGGCCCTGAAGTGTGTGGGCCTAATGTAAAGCCACCAGATAGTCTGAGGAATGAAAAGCCCTTCAAAAATGAAATGCACAAACACGATCACTTTTTACGCCGACGGAGCGCAAGACAGAGAAAGAGAGATGAAAGTTCCCTGGGTGACCGTGTGATCCATACCTTAACAGTGCAGTCTTTGGAGCACGAGGAGAAGCGGTGACCCTTGTGGGAAAAAGCCAGGTGGAGCACTTGGTCAGTGTGCTCCCTCAGCGTCTGAACCTCCACACAGGGGATACAGTCAAACAGGCGCCTGAACTCCCGGTACCACGACGCCGCCGCTGCACAAACCAACATCGGGTTATTCAAACCTGCAAACCTTTTTATTTCTCTGGTGAGACAAGAGGACGATTTACCTGGGTGTCGGGGTACAGAACGGGGGATCCGGTAGTAGCTGTAGAACAGCTCCCTCCAGAGGAACTCATCTCTGGAAACAGCCAGCCACTGCCTGCAGGTCAGACCTGCTCGGAGCACGGCATCATGGGGCAGACGCAGGAAGATCTCCAACACCAGGCTGTCCGGCAGAACTGGGCCACGCTCCATCCTAACATCCTACACGCCGCAAAGACACGCAGGTGACGTACTGTGGAAGCAACTCCAACGCACAGACATGCAGTTTCCCGCTGATTTTGCTTCACGGATGTGGTGTAAAAAAGCAAAACCGTGGTTTTATTTGCAGCACAATTCAACAAAATTGATCATATAAGATATCTGTCAAAATGAAAACGGGGGATTTGCAATAACTGCTTAACTGATATGCCAACACTTAAGAATGCATGGAAACATTACGTCGGACTATTTTATCACCACACTGTCAACTTTGGTTTTAACTGGAGCCGTGACCTAAACTCCAATTTCATTTGTTTTAATACTCCAGTCATTACTGACTTTGTGAGACGCAGCTTGAAATAAATGTATCAAAGCTAAAATTGATTACTTTTACTCTTATCAGTAATATTCCACTAATAGGTTTGAAATGTTTAATCTACTCAAGATGTTACATTGATGATGGACTCTCGACTTGGATGGAGAAATACACATTTACGATGTATAACAGGGCTCAAACTGTGAAATGTGAATAACCTCAGAGCATAAAAACAATCCCAACTCTCAAAGCCTGTTTGGAAGAAACGGGGATGATCACTACATGCCAACTATTAAAATAAATAACACATACTGGAGTTTCAACAGTCTTAGCAAATGTTTTTTTTTTCTTTTTGATGAATTGTGAAAAATAAATAGAAAATGCAAATAGAAGTAGGACATATTATAACTATGAATACATATGATTACTTGAAGAAGAAAATGTTCAGTGCAATCAATAACGTTGTAGTGGCATCTGCGTCCATATAGAACTCTGAATCCCACCTTTTACGGTTATTTGAGCAGCTCGACGTAAAGAAAAGGCCCAACGAAGAGGACGAAACTCCTGGTTAGTTGCTGGTAGAATACAGCCAGGTTAGCCTGTCATTTCCTCGGGTTGCAAGATCAAACGGCTAGAATTGGCAAAATGCATCCGAACTTAACAAAAAAACAATCGGTACCCTCTTTTAATGTAATGTGCTAACGCAGCTCTTCTTGGGGGCGACGGTCCGTCGGGAGACGATGACCTAACATGGACATCTTGGTCGCCGTGCTGTTAGAACTCGTAACAAGTGTTTTCAGAATGAAAATAGACTATCGAGCCATGAGGACGAACGTCACCCGACCAGCGGTGTTTGCGTTTTTAACTCAAAATCAGTTTAGCAGAAACAGCTAGCAGAAATGTCTGTGGAGCTAACGTTAAGCTAGCTAACTTGTTAACGAGCGAGCTAGCTGTTAGCTGACATTTGCTTTCAACTTTTAGCTACGACGTGTATTTCTGACAACGCGTGGTCGCTGTTACAAACGAATGCTTTCGTTTTAGGAGTTCATCAGTTAACACTTGCTGACATAAACGGTGACCCACCTGCTGAAACGAAGTATGTTCCTGAGAAATCGAGCGGCTTGCTAGCGCTGAAGGCTAGCCACAGAAAAAATGACAACAATCCTGCAGCAACGGTGAATCGACAAGACTGTACTAGCAGATCACAGCATCATCGACCTAAACGAGACCAACTCAGTCGATCCCGGGTTAAAGACATTCAGGCTCGGCAACTGCTTCAATGATCAAAATGACCAAAAGGCTAATTCTGATTTGTCATTTTTCTTTTTTTTCCTTCTTTAACGTGTTACAATGTTTTCCTTAATAAAAAACGTTGAACTTTGATGCAGTTGTTATTTTAATTAAATATCCAAAATGGACATCTTTTTTTTTAAAGAGGCCTTTTCATAATTGTGTACACAGTTATAATCTTAATAACTGTCAGTGCCAATATGTCTTTGTTTCACTGTTTTAGAGTAAACAACTAAAACATTAAGGAAAGCCCACAGCAGTAATACGACACTTCCTGTCTCTGTGTAGTGGCCTTCAGTGGCCACCTGAGTTTAGTCTCTGTAACAGAAGGAACACTCATTAGATCACATCGGAACAAATAAGTCCAAACTAACTCAAAAAGAAGATATTCACTTTGATCTATGCTGTGACTAATACTATCTGGTAAGCGTTCAAACTTTCTCAAAATATATTACAGCAAGTTTCATCTTTGGACCAAAAGGTTTTTTAAACTAGATGTTATTTACCCAATAGATTACCAGTTAGTTTCCCTTTGGTGGGAAACTATTTGAATGAGCTACAGACTTTTAACATGGAATTGCATTGTAGGATTGTGTGCCAAATGGAGCAGATTGAACCTGATACGGGTGGAATCAGGTTTCCTGCCACAACTTTATCTTACCAGCAGTGTTGTGCTAATATTCTTATGTTTTTCTTCCTTCCTCCAGCTCTGCGCAATGCCGCTGCATGGATAGCTTCGTGCTGTGGCTCCTCAATGAAGGACAGGGCAGCTGGAGGACGACTGTACCAGTGTAAAGGTACTCCGTGTTTGTTGAAGTGGATACATTTTAGAAAAGTGATCCATATGGATGTGATGCCTTAACTGTAATTTGTTTCTTTCTGGTCCAGGGCAGAAAGTGTGGACTGTCTCTGGTGATGAAACAACATCCAGTCAAAATCCTCCCTAATTCTTCTGGACGGAAGAGATGTCCACCTTTCCACATTCTTAATTATTATATTAAGTTCAATAACTTTCAGTGAGTCGATCTGTGCTGCTCTGTAATTGTTATAATGATGACTTGTCTGAAAACTCCTTGTCTGGAAGTTGGACAATGTCTGATTGTGGACAAATGCAGCAGTGACTCAGAAGAGGCTTACATCTCATGTTCACCGATCATTTATATGGTATGAATGCAATTTGATCGGCACCTGTTTATTTAAAGAATTCCATAAATGCCTATTAAGATCATGTAATTGACTGTCTCGTTTCTGTACGAGAGGCCCCCTTTTTACCGTAAGATTATTTTTTTCTGGGTATCTGGCGCCATCATGTGGCAGAAGAAACAACTACATTATCTTGAGATTGAAGCAAGATAACTCACAAATTTATTTATCATTTACTTACAACTTTATAACTTAGGGTGAACATGAAGTACATAACATTGGAACACATGTTCATATATACCAGCTCTTTGACAAAAATCAAACACTATTTTTTATCTGAATACTATTAATTGCAACAGGAATTCACATGTTTTTATTAAGAGGGCTTCATTGTCCACACAAGTGGAAAATGCCTTTGGCCCATCTGCAACTCATTGAAACATCGATACAACATCATAAATTATAAAGTAAGAATATTGACACTATGGAAAATAAAATTAATGGAATACTCATTAAAACAAGGTTAAAGATTAAAACGGAGTCTTTTAGAAATAAACAAGCCAACTCCCTGTGGAAAAAATAACCCTGAACCAGTTTGCCAATTCAGATTACTGAAACTTTAACAGTAAAATAAAAATAAAGTTTGGGATTATTTGAAAAACCTTCACCGTCAAAGTATTGGATATTTCTTTTTAAATTAAATGTTAAAGTGGTGGACTCAATCACATTTCTATTTCATCTTTGAAAAAATTCTGCAAAATGTTTTTTATTAGGAGTGTTTTTTGATCGGTGCATGGCTTATGAGAATAAATACCATCATTTGTTATATCTTATCATATTTATTTAGAATAGAAGAAAGCACAAATGTATTTACATTCACATGTACAGTATATAGCATACAATACAATTTTACATTTACACAACAGCCTGTGCAAGATTAAAGTGACAGTTTACAGTGAGGATGCAGCTGAATATGTACCTTGGTGACCACATCCTGTCCCTTAAAATGTAGAAAATATCGTTTCGTCTCACATTTGGATTGATTTATGACACTTTAAAAATGACACGAGAATAACATATTTTTTTGTAAAATCTTCAGGGTTTTTCAGCACATTCCGGCTTTCCAAAATACAGACAAACATTAAAACATCTTCTGCTGGAGTTCTGATCACGTGATAGCCAAAGAAACAAGCAATACAAACAAGGCAACCTATTTAAACGTCTGAAAGTTGCTTTGCCTTTTATTTCCTTAAACGAAGGCATTGTCCGATCCGGATCTCCTCTTCTTCTCCACACCGGCTGTAAACCTATAAAGTGCAACGTTGTTCCGCGCGACAGTCCCACCGCGCGTCCGTCATCATAGCACCATGGTGGGGATGTGGTGCACCATGGGCATCTGGTGCTGGTGGGGCACGGCCGTCATCTGCGGGGGAGGAGGGGACACCTTGGACGTCACGTCGGCGGCGTGCGCCGCCGGTTTGTGCCGCGCGCTCTTCTGGTGCGCCCGCAGGCCCGCCAGCTGGGAGTAGGCGCTCTGGCAGACGTGACACTTGTAGGGCCGCTCCCCGGTGTGCAGGCGGACGTGGTTCCGCAGCGTGGACGACTGGCTGAAGCGGCGGTTGCAGAAGCGGCAGACGAAGGGCTTGTCCAGGGTGTGGATGCGCATGTGGGAGCGCAGGTTGCTGCGGGAGTTGAAGCCGCGGTGGCAGATGACGCAGCGCATCCGGCCGGCCGTGGTGGTGGCGGCGGGTGGGGAGCAGGAGGAAGGGCCCTCGCAGGGGTGGGAGTCTTCTGGTAGAGGTGACAAAAAAGGGAACAAAAAGATGAGATGAGGTTTGTCTCGAAAGGGAATATTTTTTTTTAATTACGCACGTAACAAATTAATGAATGAACTGGGTAACTAAACACGTTGACACCTCAGACTGATAAAAACAGGCTCTGAGCCTCGTACTCATGCTGTAGAAGTAAATGCCACTCACCACTCCTGGTTTTCTTCAGGTGTTCTTCATCTATCCCTGGAACTCCGGGGATCCCCAGGAACGTGTTTTGGGTGTTTCCGTACCAGACGAGAAGCTCCTGGTCCGGTGGGATAGTCTAAGGGAAGAAGGGCACAAGTCAGCTCCTCAGAAAGTGTCTTTGATTTAGGCTCTTTGTGGCTGGCTCAACGCGACAACCCATTTATCTGAATTACAGACGTCTCATAGTCCGTTTATTTATCTGGCCAGCAGGTGGCGCTGTTCCAAAGGCCATTTAAATGATAAGCGATCCGATCGTCTTTCGAAGTTTCCACATCCTATAACCTGGTTCCCACAAGATACCAAAGATCAAACAAATACAGGTAGATCCTCACCTCGGACGCCTTGTAGAAGATGCTGCTGCCGATCTGCACCACCTCCAGGTTTTGCTCTTGTTCATTCCTCGCGCACTTGATGTAGGTCATCCAGCTGCGCTGGTCCTCCTGGCTGGCGTCGATGAAGTAGCGCACCGTGCCGTCCTCGTTGAACACCTGCGCGCAACAGCGAGGACGTTAATACAACGCGGAATTCGGACTCTGTCCCGCACCGCCTCGCATCCCGTCATCGTGTCCCCGGATCCCATCGGAAAGTGTCAGCTCACCTCCCACATGAGGTTGTTGTTCTTGAGCAGGTCCACGTGTTCTGGGGACAGGACCCTCCCCGTGAAGGGACCCATCTCGGTTCCCGCTTTGATCCAGGTCTTCGAGAAGATGCCCAGGCCTTCCCCGGGGATGGAGCTCTGGGCGATGATCACCTCGCTGGGAAGCACCAGGCTGGACAGCTTCTGCACCTCTGCAAGGGGCAAAGAGGAAAGGGCGGCATGTTGAGCGCTGGAGGTGCACGTGTCAGACATAGAAACCGGGCATTAGCAAAACGTGCACGAGCAAAAATGACAGAAACCAAAAAAAAACAGGTGGTGGTGAAAAAGCACTGCAAAAGTCCTGAAAGCAGAAATGGACTGGATCTTATTTTAGTCACGAAATATTAAACTTATCCTCCGTTTAATTCGATTATCTGGTTGAATTGGACGTTTTTGTTGCGGAGAGAAACCCCCCCCTCGGAAAGCATTTTTATCCCCACTATAAAGGGGGAAAAGAAAAAAAACCTGCGCTTCTTTAATGTCAAAATCAAAGTTTTTTTTTTTTGGTAAGCTTCGAAAAAGACGCCGGGCCGAATAGGGGTTAAATGGTCCTCTATTGCTCAGGGTCCAGCAATTCGTCACGCCTCGGATGTGATATTCATTAAAGTTTACTGGAAAAGAAACGGCTAATTCCAAATTCATTATCCTTTTAAGAACTTTGTAGCAATAAATTTGCGCTGAATGAAACGAGGAGTTGTTAAAAAGACTCAGGAATTTCTGCAACAAAAAAATGGAAAGGCGATTAGATGGTTGACATGCAATGAATAGCATTAGATTTAGCCTTCACGGTGCATTATGCGAGGAACAGCAAATCTTTTAAGGGGAGAGAAAGAGAAAAGCTCCGGAGCCCCATAGCTGCCAAGAGAGGAAAAGAGACTGTCCGGAGATTGATGAATGCAGGATAAAAACCCGGGACGTCTGAGAGAAAGGAACCCTTTCTCTCCTCGGGGGTTTAAAGTGGAAACTTTCCCAGGTCAAGCACAAAGTTAACTAAATGAATTTAATGCCCCGCGTCTTTCAATCAGCGCCTAACAAGCCTCTAAACGCGAGGTCTGGAAGTTCTCAAAGGGTTAACGCGTTAAATGGGTCGAAATAAAAGCAGCAGAGGAGGGAAAAATGAGGAAAAACAGCAACACGTTGGTGGGAGAAAGGTTGGGGAAATAAACGTTTGAGAGGAGACGTGGACTTTGTTTTTTTGGTTCTGGTGTCTTCTTTAAAAATGAATCATATTGGAACACAATTCCCACATCTGTATATCAGTGCAAAGACGAGGAAAAGAAATCCTCCTGGACTTCAGGAATAATACTATTAATTAAAACTACACTCAAGTTATGCGTTTTATTTACAGGAAGAAAATAAATATGAAACCTGCAAACCCGCAACAATAAGACGATAAAACAATCGAGGTGGGAATGAAACCGAACCGCGGTAAAGCAGCCTGCATACCTCCGACGAAGGACTGGGCCAGCACCTCCGCGGTGAACGCGGTCTTGGGGCTGCCGCTGTGCCGCTCCTCCGCCAGGTGTTCGCCCAGCACGTTCCTCCACCTGCCGTACAGGAAGCTGTGCAGGATGTCCGAGGTGATCACGTCCGAGAGCGAGCGACTCGGACACTTAAATCCAGACTTGAGAGCCAAAGCGTCGGCGGGTAGCACGGAGCCCATGATGCAGATGAAAATAAAAAAATGTTTAAAAAAAAAAAGAAGAAGAAGCAAAGCCCTCTGGAGTGATGGAGGAGACGCGGGCGGGGGAGAAGAAGTGGGGGGGAAAAGAGAAGAACAAATGAGCGGAGCTGCTCCTCGGTGCGTCCTTCTGCTCCAAACGGTCTGTGCGTAAAGCTGCCCTGCCTGGCTGTGAGGGTCTCTTTATATAAGTGGCTAGGGTGACCCCTGTCTAATTACTTATTAATGACACACCCCTCACCACGACACGGCCGCAGAAAGAGAGGGGAGGAGGGAGGGCGGGGGGTCTTGGCCCAAACTTTATTTTGGTAATTATCTGGCAAGGTTTTTGTGAAAAATTTCGCTGTTGATAAATACAGTTATGGTGATGAAATTGTGAACTTTTAAAAAACGTGCGTAAAAAGCCCACGAATGTCATAGATTATAGTGCAAATAACAGGATATACGCTGTGCAGTCAAATTAAGCTAAAAAACGTTACAAACGTTAAAAAATGCAACCAGGTTTGAGAATTTCAAAAAAATAAGAAATGGACATTTTCTGGAAGTTGAGGTGATGAAGTGAGTATGTGCGCACAAGTGGGTCACTGAGTCTGGGAGTTGCTTGCCCATTTTTTTCTCATGCATTTGTTATTCATGTGGTGGTAATATTATTATTATTTTTTTGTGAGGAGTTAGCGCGGGAATAACAAGAATGGAAACAAGCTCGACGTGGACTTTTCTTCTTTTCTACAGCATTGTTCGCATGCAAAAAATGCAAAGCTGCTTGGATGTGGTTCACTTTTTCAAGCCCTTGTTGAGGTAAGCGGTTTAATATTCATGGCTGTTCGGAGCCCCCTCGGTATTGTGACAACGTTTAGATGAGTATATACGGCCCTTTTCTTCTCTATAGTCACAGTCCACTGTGTTTTTTCCTCTGCAGCCTATTTTTCGGGCTTGATGGACTGGGGCTAAATGGGCAGTTTTCCTTCTTCTCCAGCAGAGAGGACATCTTTATTCCATCCCCGGCTCACAGGTTTCCTATTCAGCTCCCCTCCAAGTAATGTCAGGGCTCTGAAAAGTGCTGCAAATCAATCTTTCATGGTGTTTTGAGGGCAATTTGACATCCATGCACTCCTCCTTTCACTCCAACAACTACAAGGGGATTGTCCGAAAAAACGGCCAAGTTGCGCTCTCTCCCTTTTTTCTCTTTCTCTCTCCCTCTCTGGACGAATATGGATTATGGCGATGTAACGTGAAAGAAGATATGGCAACTAAATACAATAGCGCAGGGGTTTTTTTTAAACTTTTTTTTTAGCTGAGGAGATAGAGAAAAGGCAAGGTGAGTGACAGGGCACGAAAAAAGATTACTGTGAAACAGCTGCTTTTTATGAGCGGGCCCCGCCTACATTTGTCTCCTTTTCCCAGATGAAATTTCTCTGCGCTTTCAATGGGATTCTTTCTCATCTAGATTGATTTACATTTATAGCATTCATCGCACAAATCCGAGGTAAATGGCGGAGGACAGGGGGCGGGGCCGCTTCTTTATTAAAGAGGAATTAAATGAATTGAATTGAGGTAACGCATGGATTTGATTTGCTTATTTATGCATTAACCTATGGCATTATCTGGGGCTAGTAAAGCCGCGGGCATGTCAGCAATAGCAAATCATCCTGCTTAGCTGTTCCATTGTAAAACAATTTAAGCTATTATTCTGTCCATTTAAAGCTTATCAATTTAATGTGGATGATTGACAATTATTGCACAAAGAATACGGTAATTGTTTTATTTCAAAGAGCCGGTGGGAAACCTATGAATGAAAAGCATTTGTTTGTGGGTGAAAAGCGGAGTTTCACGCCAATCAGGAGAAAAGAAAAGTGGGGAGAATAAACTCGCTCACGTCAAAGTAATACATGTGAACGTTTACATTTTTAATGACGAAATAACTTAGAAGTAAAATACACGTTTATAAAGGAAATACTATATAAAAAAAAGGCTTGTATCCCGCTGAAATAATAATCCCCTTTAAAACACATTTGGCTAAAAAATCCAAGTCCCATTATGAATCAGTGACTTGGGCACACACGCCCGCGTGCGCGCACACGCACACACGTCTGAAAAACGGCTGTCATTCACCCAGCTGGGAGGAAGGAGCGCAGAGTCTCTGGGGATCCTCCGCAGGGTCATTAAAAACAGATTAAGGTAGCGGCCCCAGCGTGCAGGAGACTTTAGATCGGCTCATCTGTTGCAAAGGTGAGAGAGGTGCCGCTGGAAGCCCCCCGCGACCCCCCTACCCCACCTAAAAAAGAGCGTTTTTCCTCCACCCTCCCTTGTCGGATGGCGCTGGGGGAGTGTGTGTCTGTGTGTGTGTGTGTGTGTGTTGGGAGGGGGGGGGGGGGGGGAGAGATTTGTCTCCCCCACAGACACTGCTGATGTGGAGGAGCCGTTTTCATTCCATTTACGCAGCGAGGAGAGCGGGTTTTAAATTGTTTAGACTAAAATATTTAATTGGAAAATCGGATTCATCACCTCCAATTATTAGAAAAAAAAATCTCTCAATCGAACAACAGTGGTGAGAAACATTCAATTAAGAAAAATGTTGTAGTCTTTGAGGAATTTAGTTCATACTGACTAGTTCATACTTTTCTTTATGTGATTTAATCAATTATAATTTCTTTCAATTCAAATTATTGTGGAGATACAATATATAATCAGCTAAACATTTACGATTTAATGTAATAGATTCCAAATAGCTCCACCTTTACAAGCTGCAATCTTAGTGCATCAATGGATCAACAATCAAACAATTTTTTTACCAAAAATATGTTTTCCAAATTGGCAATTTTGCTTTTAAAAAATTCACAAAATAAAAAAATTTGCATGACTTGTAACAAAGTATTTATACTAAAAGAACAGAATAAAGTTATTTGGGAAAGCCCATTATCTCAGTTTTAATAGTAACACAAGCAAAAAATACAAATTCTACACATGAGTGAAACCAGTAAACGCATAGAAACTACAGTTTTACAATCTTCAAAGATCAGAGTTGAGCTATAAGATCAAAAGGAAATCACCAAAACAAATACAATCTATTTCCCTGCAACATCCTGTTAGTTTCTCTTGTTCCGGAGGTTTTGTAATGTGTATTTAATTGTATTGTAACTAAAATTAGCATAACATCAAATTCCCCCTAAAGAGTTGTCCACTGTACAACAAATCAATCCACAAACACACTATATAAATTCCTGTTTGCATGGAGGATGGTTCTCAAAACAACCCCCCCCCCCCCGAAGGAGCAAAGGTGTACAAAAATGTACAAAAAAGGTCTGTATGAATAATAATGTTGCCTCTCAGCCTCAGCCTGTGAATGATCCGGGAACAACTAAATCATTAGACGGCCACAATGGACCACCAGGTCAGAGGAGTCCACGGGGACGGCGCTGTTAAAGAGAAGGAAGAGGATCAAAATCAAGGGCTGGATTTGGAAACAGCTGCACTGCATCAATGCAGTGGACGGTATGGGGCCGCGCAGGGGCCACTGTGGAAGACGTCTCCCTGCTGAGTGCAAAGATGTGCAGTGACAAAGCTGGAAGGGGCAGGAGGGGGCGGGGGTCTGGGGGACAGGAGAACTGAGGGAGGACGTACTGCCGCTGCGAGTGGAAACGTAACAGAGGGAAAGGATGGAAACGTTTCACAGGGAGCAACGAGACGTACGAGTGGAGGAGGTGGAGCAATGTGGAGACGAATAATGAAACGGTTTTAACTTGTGAGAAGCAAACCCAATTCTGCAGAGGAACAGAGACCGAATGAGAATAGTCAACATTCAATTTACGTAGCAGCAATTATGACACCTGAGATCCGATTGATTTAACAAAACGTGTTGATCGATGCCAGAGAAGAATATTGTGCTTATAAAGCCTCCATGAAGTCAGATGCAAAATCATGTTGACAAACACAATCAGTAGTTTCCTTTAACACCTCACTTTGTCAGATTATTGTAAATGGCTGATAGATTAAGACTAAAGTCGATATGAACATTTCTCCATCTACCAAATATTGAGCATTGGCTTTTTCATTCAGCCCTGTGGGGATAATATACAGTAATGTGTACATAAACAAAAATCTAGTTAGAATTGAGAACTGAATGTAGTTCAAGTGAACCACAAGAGGCTTGTGCGAAGTTTATTTGAATGCAAAAATCATTGTAAAGACCATAAAATGAAACAGTTTGCGTAAAAAATATGCAAACGTACAGTTCTATATATTCTCATCACCTCAGCGATAGTAGAATATTCAACGCCGAGTATCACTACAAGGTCATGGAACTGAAAAACCTTAGTACACATAAAGGTAGTCTGGATGTTTTTAATACATGGTTAACTGTACACAAAGGAAAAAAAACACCATAATTAGACATTTTGAAATTATATCCCTTTTCATTAAGAAATGACGTTAATACCAGAATCATTATTTATATAATTTATATCTGAGCACACAAAGAAATAAAAAAATTAATTAAAATGTTATTAGCGTTGGACTGAGTCCAACTCCCCACTGAGTCCACAGCGAGGCTCAGTGGGGAGTTGGTGAACTGGGAGGTACCAAATAAGAACGTTTTTGATCATAATACTTAAAACATAAAAATACTATATTAATTATTACACAGGTAGAAGTACAGAGGCTTAGCAGTCTTGAATAACCCTGGTACAGAACATACACAAAAATCTATCACTTATTTTCTTCATAACAAGATGCAACATCAAATTTCAAATCACACATTCACAATCTTTGAACATTTTCAGTATGAAAACAGAACAGAAAAAGAGGGACAATTTTCCTGCAAAACTGATCGCAGGAAAAAATAATTTTTATATAAGTATATATATATATGTAACATATATATTTTAAATTAACAGTCAAATATATGAGCATATATACATAGTTTTACAAGGTAGCAAAGGCAAAAAAGCTATTTGCAACATCCCCCTAAATCCTATCATAACAGATAATTGTAATACATTATCTATGACATTTCAATTTGAGAAAGAAAAATAACTTTTAAAACTACAAGTTAAAAGTCTGTCAAAAATATTAAAGAACCCATCTTTGTTTCAAAAGTGAAATTAGATATTGCACCTTTTTTAAACCAGAGTACAACAACATGACAATGAAAAACAGCATACAATGCACGACAGGAATTAAATGGAACTATTGCCGGTGGCTGGCATTAATCCTTGTTTTTAAACCGTGTAACAAAAATACATTTCCTGTAACAAAACATCACAGTTTCATTTCACTGAATTGTGTAAAAGGAAAAAACATTTTAACACGCTTTTTAACATCTTATGACAAACGGTATTCAAGACTGCTAAGCACATAATCATGGTTTCATTTTAAACATAACTAGAAAAAATAGATCATATTGCCTTTTGAAATGTTACAACTCGGGTCAGTTTTGGCGGTACAATCTGAGTCAAAGACAAGAAAATATAGAAAAACGAAACAGCTCTCTCAAGTCCAAAAAGGGATCCCAGATACTGTCTATTCAAAATAACAGTGTACACAAGCATTTAGTAACAAATAACTGTTCCTGATTTTTAGAAATATTACTTTATCATATAAGTCATTCTACAGCTAGTGTTTCTCACTAAGAAAAAAAGTCTTCAAGGCGTTTCAAATCTATAACCCCTCTGTTAAAAAAGGGTCGTTTTCATCCTCAGTGATTCAAGTCTTTCACCTGGGCGGCTCCTCTTAATGATCCTGGGGGATAAAAAAAAAAAAAAAAAAAGTTTGTTAGACATTAAATCTCAACGCCAGTGAAATCTGTTTTCTGAACATTTTATATTTTCTTACTGGCGACCAGTCCAACCAATAAAGAAAATACACAATACAGAGCTCCACAACGAAACACTAAAAACATCTTTCACATATTAAGTCAAATTGTTAAATGCACTTAAACTGTGTGGATCCTTTGTTTTGTAAAAACATAAACATCGTAGACAGGGACCAGCGGGAGCCGCAGTCCCAGTAACGGCGTAAAGAGGCATTGAGAAATAGAGCAACATATTCGTTTTGGTCTTTTTGTATGGGACTTGTCGGCCATAAGAAAAGATGGCGGCCTCATCGTGGTGAATCCGGAGGCGGCTGGTTCCCACCTGAAGGCCCGGGGCTTGTGTCTGCTGTGCGCCCTGGTTGAAGTAGGCCATCGGCTGCCTGTAGAAGTCAACCCAGGCGTTGTAGTCGGGATTAGAGGTCTGCTGAGATGCAGGACCAGCTGTCTGGCCTGAAAGGAGGGAAAACATCCATGAGGAAGAAATCACAAATGTCAGAATCAAGAAAATGACGTCAGTCCGCCGGTTTAGGCTGAAACTTAAAATCATTCTGGGCCCATGAGGAAATACTCACCCCAAGCTTTGTTGTATTCAGGAGCAGTGCTCTGGGCTTGGTTTTGCTGACCTGAAAACCCAACAGATGAGTTATAATTTTGTTTTCTTAGAACAGTTTGAGACCACAATTTGACACAAGCAGGATTTAGGCTCATCTGTCCAACATGGTGAGTAAATAAATGGCTTCATCAGGTCTGTGTGGACATATAAAACTTTAAAAAATGGGAGACTTAAACCAAAGCTTGTGAGGCAAAATATTGTAGAGAAAAGTGGGCGTTATAAAAAAAATAAAAATCCTTTTCTCTTGCCTAGTTTTTTATAATACTCTTCCCAGTCCATCTGGCTCGTCTGGGATCCATTGTGACCTGAAACCAGACACAGATAACACCACCAGAGTTACGGAGAGCGTGCTTCGCTTTTCTTTTGCACCTTCTGCTCTCATCCGTTTAATGATTTCCATAGACGGCAAATTTAAAGTGCGTCCGTGCAGGAAAGAGGCGGTTAGCCGCAGGGAGCGGAGCCAGCCTTTGCTAGACTGCTGAAAACTGAATACACTGCAGCAACATGACTCATAAAACCAGCCTGGCTAGGCTTTCAGAGCCATATTTAAAAAACGCATCAAATACCATTTATATATATATTTTTTTGTTCTCTTTCTGCGCAGAATGCTGCAGCTGGGAAAGGATCAGATGGCTGTTTGCTGGTGGTCAGGTTGCCGTAGCAGCTACAATAGTTCTTGGTGCATTTTACTCACTGTGCTCCTGTTGGCCTTGAGGCTGCCAGATTTGAAAAGTCGTACCCCAGCCTCCGGTCATGAACGTCTGAGCCCCACTTATGCAAAGAGGAAACAAGACAACATGAGTAACAAACAAGACGATCAGTTCCTTACTGTCGGTCCACATTTGAACGGGAAGATTATACAAAAATGTAAGACTGAAGAGAAATGGACGCATACTGTTGAGGAGGAGTGGTTGGTCCTTGGTTGTAGGGATTCATACCGAAGCTGCTGTTGCCCCCCATTCCCGGGCCCTAGAGCATAGAAAGGGAAGAGGAGGCGAGTGAGGGACCACACTTGTGTTTAAAAAGAGAGCCAACAGGCAAGGTCAGAGGGCAGGGCCGGGCGCTGATGCACTCCATTAAGTCCATTTGATGGATTCTTTATGTTTAACCTCTGGTGACATCCTGCCGGCCACCAGGACCACAGCAACCCGCCGCTCCGCGCATTGACATGTGCGCTCATGAATAATCGGTCCAGACAATAGCTTTTTGGGGGCCAGAGGCAGACCACCTACCCCAATCCTCTCATCGATCAGCTGGCGAGCCTTCTCCAACTGCTGAGGGGTGCCTCGGATGGAGAAGATGCGCACGTTGGGGTCGGTGTTGGGCGGCGGGTTTCTCTGCAGCTCCACGTGGGCACGAGACTGCTCTTTGATGTTCTTGATGGTTTCTCCACCTGCAGACGGCAAGTTATACACCATGTTAAACCGGAGCCGAAGCTAATGGTTGCTTTTCGTATTGGTGGAACTGCCAAAGAATGTCAGATGATTGAAGTGATTCGAGAGCCAAACGAGTTCTTTAGTCTCATATAATGTCCAAAACCGAGTGTTAATCACAGATAGAGAAATAAAACTGGCCTAAACTATTTAGATTCATACATCATTCATTCACAAGCTGTGTACTCAGCTCAGTCAGACTTTCACAGCACAGACCGCACATAAGACGGACCGCTTGCCACACAGCAAAACCGCATCGTAATCGCTTCATTGCACACGAAATACCATTATTTGTGAAGAAAGCAGCTCTACGCAGAGAATGCCTGGGAGACGAGACAAATCAAATAACTTGACCAAGTGTGTAATCATGCATTTGTCTTAAGCTGTCCGAGGATGTGAACGCTTGCACATGTTTGAATCTTCCCCATCGCAACATCCTTCCAATTTAAGATGAACGCAGCATTGAGCCGCTGCAAAGTGGCGTGATGTTGCTTACTCCGCGAAGACGCTGGCTTGCGTCTCACCACTTATCTGCCATTCTGTGGCAACATCCATGCAAATCAGGAAACAAAAGGAGACATCTCCTGCCCACCTCCCCCTCCGCCGCATCAGATGCCAGCTTCCCGACGTGTGGGGAGAGCAATTACACCAGCAGAGAGAAATGAAACATCGCTGGCAGGAGAAAAGGACCAAAATTGAAGCGTATCCTCCTCCTGGGATATCGTTTGTCTTTTTTTACCCTTTTCATTCTTGACTCTGTGTTGTCCTCTGTGATGAGAGAAGGGAGTGAACGAAGGGAGGGTGGGGGGGTATAGACAGTGCCCCGCCTCCTTCACAACACCCATCCCAAACGAAAAAAAGGCTGAGGGTGCTTCCCGGGGGGACACCGGGGCTGTCCCAACATCAATTACACATTTGTTCACTTGTGGCTGACACTCTGACGACCCCGGCTGACCTCCGAATGAAAATGCTCATCAAAAACCTCTCCTCCTCCCGAAGCCTATTCCACGCTGCCAACAGACTGCACACGGCCCATTAACCCATTGTCAACCAAATGAAACTTCTGCCTTAATGAAGCCATTATGAGCTCTTCTAGTCAGACAGCAGAGTGCAATGAAGACCCCGACTATTCATTTCATGGACTGGGCTGTAGTGAGGGCAGATAATACGGGCCTTATTAATGAGACTGGTTTAGTGAGCTGGAGAAAAAGGAGGGGATACAAAAGTGCAACTGGTGACGGCATTCAAGGCGAACCCGATGGACTGGTTAGCTGCTGGTGGGATGAAACTCTCAGGCCACGAGGGACAACACCACCAGCAGAGTGCGGATCTCGGGACATTTATAATGCAAAAGCAGTTTTACATGAAACTAGTGGCGGGCAGAATGGTTGAGATCAATATTATGTTAAGATAGTTTTACATCAATACATTCAAAAAGGAAAGATTGTTTAGTATACTCAAAGAAATTGATCAGCCCTTAATGATTCATCTAGTTGTATGTCAAACAATAACTTAAAGAAAAGTCTAGTTTGTTTAGGTAATTGTTCTTATAAGTTATACACTGTTATTGAGCTGACATGATCAGTTAAAGCAATTGAACATTAACCCATAATACATCTGTGCTTATCCTCAAGAGTTGAATGTAGTCCCTCTTCCCCTCCAGTGAATAAAAAACCACGTGAAACTAAAATGAGAAGTTAAGGTTGGCTGTAAAACAATTACAATAGTAGAGTTTTACAAAATAAACATGAATGCATATGGTCCATTTTACCAGTGAACTTCAACTAAAGTGACTGAAAGTTTTTTCGTGGACCTCAAGAGTTTAAATTTTCACTTTAAAATTCACGAGTAAAGTTGTTGGATGCCGTTTCGGCTCTCGCACTGAACTTACGCCAGATAGAAAGTCAGAGAGCAGGTTGGTGGGTGGCTTGATTCATCAAGCTGTGTGTGTGTGTGTGTGTGTGTGTGTGTTTGTAGGGGGTCAGGACAGAGGGACCAAGGGCTGCATATGGCATCGTAAAGATATTAATCACCGCACTCTTTAAGGGACGGCTGACAGCACCCAGACCCACCGCCATCTCCACCATATTGGCCCACTTCATATGCTAATGCACAGAGAGGGGGACGCAACGCCCAGGTTTATTTGTTTCCCTCGCCCCACTACATGCACAAAAGCCACTTGACATTTCTATTGCCATGTTTTTATCTTAGGTAAAGAGGCCCGCTCCGAACCCGCCCACTACTGCACGCACACAGACACACACACACACACACACACACACACACACCAGGGCAACATGCATGCATGGAAACACACACACTGCGCACACACACAAGCTCCTTCCAATGCAATGGTCAATGACTTTTAAATAGCTGGCAATAGAGTGGGCATGAATAGCCAATAAGCTAATTCCTTCTATTCATTCCCTCGCTGCACTCCATTGAGCTGAAAGACCCTCATTAGATGCCAGGCAGCCTTCCACATGATTGAGGGCTGTTATTATGCACCTTTAACAATTAATGTCACATTACACGCATTATCCCCGTCATTAAGCCCTTAGTGAAGCCAATGAATGCCACTTGTGCTGTATACATGAGTCCTGGGGAGAGAATAGGAGGGTGGTCACTGACCCCCCCCACCCCCCCTCTTCTCATCAGTTTCACGCCGAACACCAAACGGTATTCAGTTATTAAAGGGAAAAGGCAATCTGGCGTTTTGGAGATACTCTTGTTAAGGCTGTTCATGTTCAGGGACTAGTATTTCTCTCAGAAAGCGAGAAACTGATCATATCGGAAACGCTCACAATGAAATCTGTCACAAAATAGTCTAAGGAATACATACAAAGCACAACAACCACACTTATCAACTTAAACGTACCTTTGCCAATCACTAGTCCACACTTATCGGCAGGTACCGCGTAGGTCACCTCCTGAAGGCCCGGAGAGCTTCCCATGTTACAGTCGCTCCGCCCCCGACGTCCGACTACACCTCCAAATCCATCTCGCTCCTACGGGAAGGGAAGCAGAGACATGTTTCTGACACAAACAAGCATTTTGCAGGAGAAGCCTCCAATTCAGGAAATGTAATTTAATAGATATCGAACCGCGGCACTCAATTCTTAAGAATCATTCAGGAAAATTCATTTAATTTTCACTACGTTGGGTAGCAACATGGCAAAATAAAATCATATATTATAATTATTAAAAAGTTGGGCCTCGGCTATGTGCTTTATTCCGATAAAACTATGCAACGCCGTGATGTAAACACGGAGGACAAAGCGGGAACAAACCTGAGCAGTTTGGACCAGTTCATTGATGAGGTGGACCGCATGGTGGCAGTGGTCTGGCTGACCCATCACCTGAGCGATGCGGTCAGAACTGACTCCGTCATCTGGACGACAAAGACAAGGGACACAAAAGGTTTTTACGGCTGCATACGTAGTTACTTTGAGTGCTTTCAATACAATGAATTATGCAAAAGCCTGGAGATGGAATCTTGAGGTTTGGACTTCACTCCCTAAGTGAGCAGGGGGTTAAATAAGAAAAAAGATCAATTCCAGATAGACTGGAATCAGCCACCAAGCACTACGATTAGCATCAAGAGGGACCGGATGAGAAACACAACAAACTTGTTTCTTTTCCAGAGGCAAATCATCAGTCTTTAGGGCACAAATAAGTTGCCTTTCAGCATTAGTATGATGATCAGATTCAGGGATTAAGCGCTTACCTTGTTTGAATTGGATCCTGACCCCGGCATCATTCTGGATCTTCTTGATCATTTCCCCGTTCCTGCCGATGATGATGCCGACAGCAAATCTGGGCACAACCACCTGGACAAAGAGGACAGAAGATGATTACAAAAGTATCTTATGCAAATTATTCCAAATTACACTATCTTAGCTGTTTGACATTTTTATAAATCAGAATTACAAACTCTTACATCCAGACTGCTCCCCCCCATTTTGGATCCAAAGTCTGCTCTGCCAACTCTGAAGTCTCCTTGGTCCTTGTCTCGGATGAGCTTCACCACCAGTTCACGGGCTTGCTATAAGAAAAGATTAAGACAAAATTCTATTAAAAACATAAGAATGTGAATCCTAAAGATCCAGCTAGAACTCTCAATAAAAACAAAGGGACTTTCCAATAACTGGACCATTAAAAAAGGTACAAAATGTGTAAAATTGAGTGTAAAATGGCAAGCTAGCAGCACACTGAGCTCCTCTGAGACCCACCTGCACTTTGTGGGGATCCCCAGTGATTCTCAGGGGCTTGTCTGCTCCGGTGGGCATCGGGTCATCCTGAATCATTATCATCTGCACTCCAGTCCTCTCCTGCAGGGGTACAATCAACAGGGGCAGAAACACACACAACAAAGAGTTACCTGGGGCTCTAAAGACCAGTCACGCCGAAAGGGAGGGAAATCTGCCACATTTCCAAGAACGGGTTCTATATTTTGACGCAGTCTGGGTCATCCGGACCACAAGCTGAATACCTACTGCATGAATGATGTGAAAATGAAGCAGAGCAGTTTATACAACATTTAGCAAACAGCTTGATGGTGCCTTACAGTATTAAAGAACCAAGTTCACTCCATTTCATAGCAGATTCAAATTCAGAAGTAAGGGGGGGGGGGGGCAGGGCTGTTTAAGGTTATTGAAAACAGTCACGATCAAATGCACACATTTAGCCAGAGATCTCAACCTGAAGACAACGTAAAGAAGCCTTCTCAAATGAGCTACGACTATTAAGCAATAAAATCAGCTCGGCCTCATAGTGACGGAGTTCTATGGATACTTGAAATAAAACAATGAAAGAAGCTCTGCAAATTTGACAACCCAAATACATATTTCACCGCAGAGTCGGTGAGTCAAATGTTTAACAGCCCAAATCCCTGCGGACTGAGAGAACACACGCTGCGCTTCCGTTGGTGTGGTGCAATACCAGACCTGCAGTTGTTTGATGGTCTCTCCTCCTTTGCCGATGACGAGGCCGACTTTGTTGGCAGGGATGAGGATCTGTTGGATGGAACTGCCGTCCATGTCACTGTGAAAGCCCGGACCGTACCGACACTGCTCCACGATCTCGCTCAGCAGCCTCTTGGCCTGACTGTTGGGGGAGGAGGCGCAAGAATTACATCACAACGGTTACACCCGACAAAAACAAAACAAAAACTCCACCTCACATTTCTTTCTTTGTCAATTGTGAAAGAGGCGCTCAGGTGATTCAGCGACTAATCAAGTGGAGACGTGAAAAGAGATTTCGGGTTCAGGCCCTCCGGTGTCACGACAATCACTTTCAATAGATCTGCCAAAGGTGCGACTTACTCAATGTTCTCTGGGCTTCCAGTCAGCGTGCAGGGCCTGTCCAACATGCCTCCGCTGTCTGGAACAACATGGGCACAACTGTTAACGATACTGCATGTGTAGAAATACACTAATGACTATGCTTAAATGCCCTCTATCTCACAGTAGAACGGTTTTATTTTGAAAGGGTCCAATTGTTTACGGTTCATGCCTCTCGGGTAAAACACAAAACGAAAAAGGTTTTTTGGCCTTTGACGAGACTAAACGAATACCTTGAAAATTCACACAGAGAGCAGAGGCTTAGATAAAGTGTGTCGTTAGGACCCACCTGAAGCAATCTGGATCTTACAACCTGATTCCAGCTGAATTCTTGAGATCTGTTCTCCTCCCTTTCCAATGACTACAGAGGCAGGAGAAAAAATAACAGTTTATCAGCTTGAAAAAAAAAAAAAAAAAAAAAAAAAAAAAATGTGGACAGGGGGCCTTAAGCAGTGACCCGAAAAATCAGAAATCAGAGCAGAACGTCAATACTGATGATTACATGAAACATTACTGACTGCAATGACCTGAAGAGCTACTTACTGAATCCCACCATCTTATCAGGCACTTTGTAGTCTTCTGTAGCAAGAGCCCTGGGAGAGATTAGGACATGATCAATAATGCATTCTGATTGCTTCTTTTCTCTGATGTAAAAAGGCCAAACAGAAAACAGACAGACGCCCCCCAAAAATAAAATATTCACATTTTTAAATCTGGGACTAAACCATTTTAACATTATGGATCAAAATAATTGGTGTAACAGATTCATCTGAAAAAACATATTTTTGCATCATGGTAAAAGAGGTATTTTCTTTTGTAAAATCCCTCTTAAAAATTTAATCAATAAAACGGGTAACTTTTGAGCAAGACATACAGGCCAGAAAAGCAGGGAACAAATAGGCCCCAAAACTGCTTTGGGTTCAGGGAGTCAACAAAAGGCACAAAGGAAAATAAGAATACACTCAAGTGCCTCAAAATGAAAAGAAACAGATATGAGAAGGCTCTGCTCACCTTTGATGTACCATCGCACCAAGGTGGTTCCCTACTGAGAGAGGAAAGCAAACCAATTAACACAAATGAAATCTTCTGAGATCATGGAGGAAAATGGACAACCTTTAAAAAAGTGAAAGTGACGAAGCAGCCAAAGAAAGAACAAAAACAAAACAAAAAAAAAAATCAGCGAGTCATAGAGGGGTGGGGAGCAGATGGAGATGGTCCTGCCAATCCTTCGTGTTGGTGTCTGACCCACAGCGGGGGGCTTTCACCGGCATGGTAATCAGGTCTGTGAGCGTTTGAGTGAGTGTTTCAATCAGAGCCGTTCAGAAAGGAGAGGCAGCAGCCGGGTCAGCGGCTGCTGGTGCGGAATTGCATTTTTTGACGGGTAGCACCAAGCAAGGGTCCTGCAGGGTCACCGGAGGATGGGGCGCCATAAACGCCAGCACCTGAGTTGATATCTAGCAACTTCAAATCAATTTTATGGCTCTTTGCACTGATTTCACTTCCTCTGGAAATGCACTGGGGCCAACGCTTGAGAACAGAACAGCTATGAATATAAAACAGGAGGTCTATCGCATTTATACAAGGACTGGACTGTTGAGAAAATGGGAATGCCGTGAGTATATTTGAACACTTGTACGTTTGCTAACTAAATATTGAGCTAAAAAGAGACCGTTCTTTCCACTATATTGTGGGACAACGGTCACAGAAAGAGACTGAAGACAAATTGCTGCATTAAACAAGACTAAACCAGAATTACAGTCAATTCATCTATCCGTGCTTTCAGGGCTGAATTATCACACAAACAACTGTGACAAGAGGACAACGGGGATAAAGAGTTTTTGTTTCCACTTCATGGAAACAAAACGGAAGGAATCTTTGATATGCGTGCGAGGGACAGCGAGATAGAATGACACGTTGTTCACGACACCGCAGTGATACTCGATAGGAACATGAAATTACAATGGCAGGGCTCTTGATTCAGATTGCACTGTATCTCCTGCTTTGCTCCTTGACTCCAAAAGGATTTGTTGCGTTTTATTATCCCTCCCCAAGTAGGTCAGGGATGTAAGGATCTGCTTTTGGTATGATGCTGATTGTAAACCATGCTAATTCAGATCATCTTTGAGCAAATACATTTAGCATGTTTGTGAGGCCTCGAGGAACACCGGGTGTTTTGGTGAGTTCACACCAGTGCAAACAGAAATTTTTGTTGGAACAACAAAATCGGGCCCCCAAATTAAGAGTGGATCACACTGGGGGCATCGCTTTGTTATGTGGGTCCAGTTGCCGGTGTACTTTCACACTTGTGTGTCCAAATCTCAAAAATGTAAATGTTTAGTTTATAGGTAAAGCTTCGGTCTGCAGACATGTTTGCTTAAGCTAACCACAACCTGTAGGTTGTTAATCAGCAACAGACATGCTGTAACAAGCCAAGTAGTTCTCATCATTACCGTTAGTCTATTATCAGGGTTGATTTCATTTTTGTACATTTCACTATTTTTCACTGACCATATCTGTGAAAACTGAAAATGTCATTTCAGATGAGGGCTGTTATTCAAACTGGTCAATATGTTCAAACTGTCGAGCTGGACTTGAGTTGAGCCGATGAATGCATCAGAACATTCTACCATGACATGTATGGCTTAGTGCTGAAGGCTTCTTACCTCCATTGTCTAGGGAGCGTTTCTGCCCCCCAAAGCCATAGAGGGAGTGGTCTATGACCGGAGGGGAACTGTTCATGTTGGGCATCTGGTCTCCTCCCATCTTGGCTGCCATCTGGAGACACAGAACACAAAAACAGATGGAATAAAAAAAACGTGAAAAGTGGAGATATTAGGAAGTCACGTTGAGAAATACACTTCCTTTTCCAAAACAACCCTTCATAAAGAATGTGAAACTCTTCTCCTGATTTCTTAAAAGCATCAGCTCTGCTGTCATCTGTTGCAGAGCGTTATCTTTTTGACAGTAGCTGAAAACTGCACTTTGCACAATGTTGCAGCGGCTTGAAGGGGTCTAGACTGCAGAGGTGCGCGTTTTCCTTGAAACATCGGTCATGTGGCAGCTCTCTCACTGACTAACCTAAATGTTGTCACGCTTTTGCTGAAAGAATTCCACAGATCATCACAGCACACGTCAGTTCCTCAAAATATTGAATTGGCCAGAAGGTGTTACAACTTAGAACATATTGCAGGGCTACCCACAAAAATGACACAAAATACAGCTTTCCACTTCCTAAATCGAGTGAAGCCTCTTCCAGCTTTAAGTGGCAGTAGTAGAGTACGGGAGATGAGGAATGGCAGGCGAAAGAAAAGGGATGGCCAAAGTCCATATTTACATTCAGTCCTCTTAAAGACCATTCAACCGCCCAACTTATTTTTAATCCAAAATTAAATCAAATTGTTGTGCTATTGAGCAGTGTCAGACAAGCAACTGTGCGAGAACTTTGTCAACTATTAATAAAACATGGCAAAACTAATTTAAATCAATGCCAGCTGTCAGCAATTTAACCGTTTTTACTCTTAAAAAGGCACCAACTAACTAAAAGGGTCTTGGTTCACACCCACACCTCATCGTGTCTGAAAGAACACAGTTCAAAACAATTGGTAAAGTTGACTTTTTCCAAAACAAGAACAGAATTGGACAGAATTATCCAAGACAATGATCACTTAAATAATGCATATTTAGGGCTAACGCAGACTGACATTTCTCGGCAAATAACTTCCCTGAAGAGTCCAGTTATTTGCATCAGAGTAGCTAAACAAACAACGATATAGTTCTACTTTTAAAATCCTCCACTTGCCAAAGTAAATATGCATGTTCTGCAGTGACGTACATTTGAAATCTTCAGTCACGCTGCACAAAAGGCACCAACAGCATTTTCCACTAACTGTTAATCTTCCACCTCTCCTTCCATACAAAAGTATAGCCTTTCAGAAAATTACACCAAATTGACATCAGTGCCTGATGGGAAATTCTTTCACAATATGAAAATATAGTGACAGCAATTAGTCTTGCATCACTTTCAGGAATGATTATCTACTTCAGTGCCCACCAGCTGAAATGAGGGGGGCAATTGGAACAAGAAGGCAGCAAAGGAAGCAGGTGTGGGTTTGCGTTTTTTCCCATGACGGCTCTGTAGCCGCGTCAAAGTGAAAAGAGAATGCTTGAACTTTAAGTTTGATTAGTTTCACTCACTTATACATTTCACTACAGCTGAGCAAATACCTGAGATGGAGCTCCTAAATGACCAGCCCGGTCTGGTTATCAGGGGACAGTATTGACGTGTTGAATTTAGTTGATGGGTTTAGTTCAGAAAATAAATTATCTTGATTCATTTCAAGTCCAAGGGGCTACTGTTGATTGCTGGTGCAACATGGTTGATTTCACACTAATCTATTGCTTGTTGAATGAGCTCCACCAACACAAAGAGTTTGTAATGAAGCCTACGATTCAAACGCTTTGAATGCAGACGGCTGCTCAGTCTGAAAGACCAATGAACTTTGTCCGAATTGAAAGACTATATTTAAAAACGTACTGTTCTCTTTGTAAGTACTGCATCGTTGTTAAGTAAATGAAATCTCCACAGTGGATTAAATCATAAATACCACGGTTATGTTGAGTATGCACAGAAAAAAAAAAGTTTAATTTTTGTGGAATATATATATAAAAAATTATAAAAGTTCCCCCAGTCAGAGGTTGGTATTCATTAAAAAATAATCAACTGTAAATATGAATAAAATGTAAATATGTGTGACCATAGCTTTGGTCTTTGAAAGAAAATAAACTAGCTAAAAGTGTAAGTGGACGTGTGTTTTTATGCGGCATATTGAACTGTTTAAAATGGCTGTAATCTGTAATTATTAATCTTAATTTAGGTTATTAAGACTTCACAAAAACCTTTATAATAAACTACACTGGTATAACTATAAATTCGGTCTGGCCAGCTTTGAAGATCAAATAACCTAAACATACATACATACATACATACATACATTTTTGCTGATTGAATACACACAGAAAGAAGAATAGTAACTATAATTAAGTTTCATTATTAAGCATTATAATATGTACTAAATGTCAGATTTGTCTAAGAATAACACATTTGAAGTCACGTGACATGTGGTTACATGGGAACCAAAGTATGTATGGTTTATATTTAGGGTCCGAGAACACCTTGTCCATTTGCCGCTGAGGCACAACTGTGGTCACTTATCTCCACCCAGGAAGCTCAATTTCAGTTGACGTGGTAATCACATAAAGAAAGAATTGGTGGGTTTGTCTTTATAGGTTTGCAGTGGTCTGATGTTAATGGGTATGTTTAGGATAAACATTGGCATATTACATGAGGCTGTGACCCTCGCAGTTGGAAAAACAAATGAACAAACCAGAAGCATCAAGTTGAAGGACGCAGAATGCAATACCAAGAAAACGGGAAGCCGACTGGAGAGTTCAACATCTGGTGATTGAGGCTGACGAGTTATTGTTAATTGTGTGCTTTACTGTCGTTTACTCCGTTAAAGACAAAAGTAGTTAACATGAAACGCATTGCAAAGCAATTTCATCTGATTTATTTTAAAAATGTTAAATCCTTCTCTCTCTCACTGGCTGCTCGCGGAGAGAACATGCGATAGTTGTAACTGCATTAGTGGGAACATCCGTAACACCGCATTAAAACAAGGCCTCCACTTCCCATCTAATCTCTTGGACGTCTGAAATCATGACAAGCAAACCTACAAGATGACTTCCCTTTTTTGTGACATCAGCCTCAAATAAAAAGTGGCAGACACTTAAAAAAATGTTTTTTTACACGGTATAAGAGGTTATTTGTCATGACAATTGTGTACAATTAATGTTAATATTGCCATTAAACTTGACGTCACTGCCAAGAGGCTGGCCTGAAACGTTCATGTGGCAACTTTTTGTTTTAATCTGATATCAGGTGTGAACATACAATTGAGAAAATGGAGGATTGATGGAGGGATCTAAAGAATCGGGTTACACGTAGTTACTTGACATACCGTATTTGTACCAGGGTGCACTCAGAATTGGACTACATGTCCCCAAATGTATTAATTCCCTTAGGTGCATACAGCTCCGTGTCAGTTATGCAAGATTCAACACGTGTATTTGTATTACTAGCGTGTGAATTACAGGGCCAAACATTGCCAGTTGGGACATAATCTTGATCAAATGCTAGCTGGGTGACTAAAGTCCACCTCAACACGTTAACAGCAGACAGTGATATGCTTATCTTCCATTACAGCCAACGTTCCTCTCGATCAACTTAAATGGCAGCCCAACTACAGAGACTCTCTGCACCACTCACGATCATCTCAAATTAGGCAATGTCTGCAGGGTTGCAGTGAAGTTAGATTTTTTTTTAAAATTTTGTGTATATTTTCCAGGCAGCGGTGGAAAAACACAAGTGTGCTCAACAGGAGGAGCGGAGGGGGGCTTATTTGAACAGATGACGTTACATTACATGGCCTTACTCCAACGCTGCCTTTAGGGACACACGCTAGCTAGCTAACACCAGCGCCTAGCTAGCTTAGTCACACAAGTGCTACTTCGTAAAAAAAAAAAACGCTTTATAAATTAGTCTGCGGGGGGTAAAGACGGGGAATCGACGGCGGTATCGCACGCGATGGCCGTTAAAGCGGTTGGTGCGCGTCTTTAACCGGGGGTGATACTTGAGCTAACTCATGACCAAACACTAGCAAGCTAACTTTTTGACAGCGTGTCGGCCAGGTCGGTTTGGTTAAGGTTTCGCGTCTAAACTTAAGCATTAGCCACGATAACGTCGCGGTTCAAACCTGCGGGATATCACACTTGTGACAGCGAGTAAGCTAGCTGAGCTAACTGCAACTTATTTAGCTTGACAACAGGTTGCAGTGTGTCGGGTTAACTTACTAAAGTTGCACAAACTTCGACACAGCGAGGGGCCTTCGTTGTTCTGCGTCAGGCGTGGTTTGTGGGATCGTTTTTACAGCGTTCACTCGGTGACTTAATGCGTCTCCGTGTCTCGTGTAAACTCTAATCTGTCCTCTCAGCTACACCGCCTCGGCTACTTAACGTTAGCTTGCTAGCTTACTCGGTACATGAGGAGTGTTTGTGGTGAGGGGGTTCGGGTTTCCCCGACCAAAGTTCTGCCCCTTCCAGCACGCAAACGCGTGGCTTGCGGGCAGAAAGCGCCGCGCTTGCGTTCGCTTGAGAACATTTTACCTGTCGAACCCGGCGTATCGTGTCCGCGAAGTCATCTTTCGTTCCGGGCTGAGCCACCGAGGCCTGTCCCTGAACCAGCTCCGCCATCATCATCATCCGCCTCGGCAGCTGAGAGCCACTCTTAAAAAAAAAAAAAAAGGAAAAAGGAGGCACACGTGCCAAACGCAAGCCGCGCGAGTCACATGATCTCGCGAGTGGATCGAGGAGCACATCGCCAGAAAAGACGAAGTAACTTATTTATTTGTAAAAGACGTTTTTATTACCAATGAAATACAAATAATCTCTCTATATTTTTTTCTTTCTCTTTTCTTATTTGTTTTTCTTTTATCTTATTTTTTTATCTTATATTCTCAGGATGGTTTAAAAACAAAGATCAAATTCCATGTAGGCATAGGGTCATTTTGATCAAGTTTATTAGGTACACCTAATGCCTTGCCTTAATTCTTCGTGGCATACTTTCAACAAGGTGTTGGAAACATCCCTCAGAGACCCAGCGTGTGGTCTTCTGCTGCTGTAGAACATTCCTTGTGTTGTGCGTTCAGAGATGGTATTTTGCATTCCTTTGTTAAATTAAGTTACTGTTGCCTTTCTATAATCTCAAACCAGTCTGCCCATTCCCCTCTGACCTTTCACATCAAAAAGGCATTTTCAGCCACACAAGCATCGCTCACTGGATATTTTCTCTTTTTTTGGACCATTCTCTGTAAACCCTTATGCGTGAAAATCCAAGTCGATCAGCAGTTTCTAACATTCTTGGACCAGTCCGCCTGGCACCAACATCCATGCCATGTTCAAAGTCACATCAATCCTCTTTCTGATGCTCGGTTTTAACTTCAGCAAGTCGTCCTGACCTCAACTACACGTACTTAATAAAGTGGCCGGCGACTGTAGTTGAAACAAGACAACCAATCAGCAGGTCCTGCTGAAGGCCTCTATGGTCAGGAGGAAGCCATGTGGAGAAGTTGTTCAGTTACCCGAGACATCTGCAGTGAACCATCTTGTTCCCTCGTGTTCCTCAACAAGATCTGTAACCTTGTTTAAAAAATAAATTGCAAAAAGCCATATAGATGCTTTCAAATTGACTTTTTGTATTGTCCTAACATTGCAAGCTGTCTTGTCAGAATAATAAAAAAATCCCATCTGGTGAAGAAAAAAATCCACATCAAGGGTATTGTTTTTTTTTCCCTTGCACATGTGGAAACATCTTGTTGCACATCTGGAAAAGGCCAGCAGACAGAAGAGAGTAAAATTGCTGCAAATTCCCAAACTGTTTATGCAAAACAGTTCCTGCTCCATAAATCGAATGCAAACCTTTATGAGCAAAGTCAAACCTGTAGTATTAAACGTATTTGTGTGGTCCAGCAGAGAAAGAAACAGTCAGACATATTCCAGGCTTTGTTTGTTTGTTTGTTTCAGAGTCTCTGACATGGCTTTTTGTTAGGCTAAATGCATTTGGATCATTGTTTAAATGATGTCCAGAAGGGCCAACAAACATTAAAGGCTCAAATCTGTCGAATCTCTGAAGGCCAAACAGATTATTTTAAAACATGACCCCACAAGCAGTTTGAGTAAATGCCCGCGTCTGAAGCCTCTGATAAATTTGATAACTTGTGTGCTGTTTCCTTACACTTAAATAACTCTCTCCTGATGCAGTTACATCTATATGCAACATGCTCATGCAGCTGCTTGAACAGGGATGATTGACCTCGAACCTGAGACAAACAGATTGGCGTGCTGCACCTAACAGACATTCATACATATATCAATTTCCCTTCCTTGTCAGCCCCTGGGCATGTTATCACCTCCTAAAAAGAAGCCTGGAAATTAAGTGCGAGCTGAAGGCTGTTCCCAGACCGGCACCTCTAAATGAAGACCTCCAATTTAGCGTGACTGAAGTATGATCCCGGCTTCTCAAACATATTGCTACCATGTGCTCTCCAATGTATTCAATGTGGCTGGGACATGATTTTAGAGCTCCAGTATCAAAGGATAAGTCAGGTGTTGGTCATCATATACAGCCAGGCGGTTTAGACATAAGTACGGACACACGGACACACACACACACACACACACACACACACACACACACACACACACACACACACACACACACACACACACACACACACACACACACACACACACACACACACACACACACACACACACACACACACACACAATCATGAATTCAGGCCCCATCTGGTCAAACAGGCTGGAAAGTAAAGGCAGATAAAGCAGGTGTAGATCTCTGGCATCCTGCCAATCAAGCAGCGGGAGTTGACTCAGTTGACCAAGTGTGTGTGTGTGTGTGTGTGGATGGTGTTACCGTAGCAGGCTGATCAAGTGTCACACACAAACACAGTTTCCTGCCTGTCATTGTCTGCCAGAGAATAGATTCTTGTTCCCAGGGTTCACTTTCGTGAATGGAGTTTGTCTTCAGCGAAGCAATTCGGTCCATCAAGAATTAAAAAATTCAAGAAATCATCAATGTGTGCTGAGTAATTGATCCACTTTCTTTTCATTGTCATTTCAATGATGTGTATGAGTTTAACGTTTCTGTGGTGAGGAAAGTGGACGGACACAGTCTGACAATTGAGGATTAAGAGAAAGGAACATCAACATTGCCACACTTACTCTCTTTCAATACTGAGCTTTTTACCCCCTTCTTTCTTCTCCTCAATCTCTAAAGAATGGGCCATACGAAACTGTAATTGCTTGATAATTACCACAGTTTTCTGCTATGGGCATACATTTCTAAAGGCAGGACACAAGAAAGGGATAGTGTTTCATTGTGAGACCTCTAAGGTATCCCCACATAGCTTTCATTCACAAACACATTGTTCATGCAGTGGGAAGCAGTGAATAAATATTATTCATAGCCGTCATGTTTAAAAAACAAACCCAACAAAATCAACATCAAATATTTGACCAATTTATAAAAGTCAATTGAAATGAAATTTTCTTTCATAATATTGTTTTTTCAGGTTTGGGTTATAATGTTTTTTATGATTATCATTATTTGACTATTTTATTCAATCTTACAATTTCTAAATATCTACAATGGGTTTCAATTCCCAGATTACTAAGTGAAAAAAAACGTCTCGAGCCTGCAAACAAACCAAATACAACTTTTTTTTCACATATGCAGTACTAATCCCAATAGTGAGGCCTGTTTCTACCACTGCAATGAAAAAAAAAAAAAAAAAAACTTTCTCCTAAATAGTGTTTTAGGATCCCAGAATAATGACTTAGCTATCTTATAATCATTATTATGTAATAGTAGCAATGAATGCAACATTTTAATTTTAAGACCGTAAGTCATAATAACGATTCAAATAAGAAGAAGATGAAGAAGAAGTCAAATCCTTGTTTTAAGATACTATCTAAGTCATAATTGAGTTTGAAAGTTATCACTGTGAAGTCAGAATTATGAGACACTAATGACAAATTATAATGACTTGCAGATCTATGAAAAAGCTTTGGCTCTTTACTCTGCACATGATTTAGCCTTTTACTAGTGTTCCAACTGCAGTTAAATGATGTTTTTGGGAATTTGTGTTAAACGTTTATTTAATTCAAGACAATACACGACAAAACTTAGCAGGTTCAGTTGTAATCTCTGAAAGTGGAATAGGTAAATGATATATAAAATGTGAAAAATACATTTCTAGGGATAAAATTTAAAAAAGTATACTTACTGCAAAATAAAATACATTTTGAGAAAGTGGAAAAAGAAATTGAGGAGTAAGAACAAAGGTAACATCCTGTCTTTAAGAGGGATGATTGACAGGAGAAAAGGATAAACAGACCAGCTTTGTCAAATAATAGCAGGTATACACCTCTTCCTCGTTGTTTTTTTTACCTCTTTCATATTACTTTGCCGTCTTCTCCTCCTCTTTCTCCTCCACAAGCCACTTTGCTTTGATTCAGCTCTGTATCTGTATTTTAAATGACTCAATTACATGGGATCCTGCGGTGAAAATTACGGATGTTTTCCACTATTTCGCTCCACTGGGACACCATGACCCCTCCCTGGCGCCAATACCCCACCCTCCTCCTCCTCCTCCTCCTCCGCCGTTCATCCCTCTCTCCACCTGTCCCATTTCCCTCCTCTCCCAGTCGCCTATTTTTCCGTGATAAACGTTTATTTTGCTGTGTGTGTATCTGCGAGGGAATAATAGCTAAATGGTCTTATTTGTGAGTCCTCAGCACCGGAAGCTGACAAAGAGTGTTTTGCTACACAACAAGCCACCGTAAAGACTTTAAGGCTGACAGGAGGTGCGCTTTTCAAATCAAAACACCAGGCATGAGAGAAATAAAAGCCGCAGAGATGGACAGTATTCTTTCTTTTTTATTCATCTACAGCAAAAGAAGAGCAGTGTTGTGATTCTTTTCACCACTTTAAACTCGCAGCTTACTAGGGTCGGAGGCATTTTCTATCTTTGATGTACGCCCTGTAGGAGTAGAACCTACTTTGAAGATAAAACCCCACTGCTGAATGCTCAATGTGCGACTGGAACAGCTTTAGTTTGGCAAAACATCCACGAGCCCCATGAAGCAAAACAAGTCTTCCTCATTTTATGCAAACAAAACGTCACAGATCTTAGATTTAGCTGACGTTCTATTGCTGTATAAAAAGGACACGAAGCCCATGAATCTGTACCACTGTCAGGCTGATAACCTGAAGGAAGTGCATTAAAATGCATAATATTACCATTTCTTCTCTGCAACAGGCTTCATGAATTCACGGAGTACCGTGTGTGTCTAATGGGTCCATTGTCGTGTACACCATATCACAGGAATCCCTGGAGGGAATTTCTTCTCATTTGGCACAAAGTCCGCTCGGACGCAAGGATGACCTGCGTTGTGTTCAGAGGTCAAAGCTCAAGGCCACTCCAAAAAAAAAACAACGTTTTACCATAACTCAAGAATCTATATTTACTAATTATTAAAATGTCTCAAATTTCTAATGGGATGAAGTGATGACATTTTGTAGGTATGAAAAACTAAATTGTATGGCTAAAGCTACACCATTTGTATGTTGAAAGGATTTAGTAACAGTAATGAACAGTTGATCAAATAAAAATCCTTATACAATAAATTTAGAATATACCAGGCCCACTAAGCAAAA